CTCGTCATACCACATCGATGGCTCAAGGAGCATCAACCAACCATCCATTGGGGACGCAACAGTGTCAGTTTCCATAGCAACAACTGTATAGTCAATGGATGCTTCGTATCAGTCGAAGATATATACGATCAAGACCCAGAAGAGCTGGTCATCAGGCTGTTGAGGGCGTCACCCAAGAGGCAGATGACGATCGAGCAACACCCCTTTTGGGCAAGAGCATCGGTAAACGAGGCTCTCGTTAGTGCTATACCGGTGGAGTTTCAGGAATATGCCGACGTATTCTCCAAGGAAGGAGCCGCTCGACTACCTGATCACTCTGAATGGGATCATACCATTCCTCTTATGGAAGGAAAGCAGCCGCCGTGGGGACCAATCTATTCGCTCTCCCCACCTGAGGATAAGGCACTCCGGGAGTATTTGGACGAGAACTTGCCCTCCGGCAAAGTAGTTCCCTCCACTAGCCCAGCAGCGGCACCCGTCCTGTTCGTTCCGAAAGCTAATGGTAAACTTCGGTTATGTGTCGATTTTCGCGGCTTGAATGGAATCACAATCAAGAACCGTTATCCACTGCCGCTCATGAACGAGCTGGCCGACGCAATGAAAGGAGCACTCTACTTCACGAAAATAGACCTGAAAAATGGCTATAATCTGATTAGGATTGCTAAGGGCGAAGAATGGAAAACCGCTTTCCGAACGAAATACGGCCTCTTCGAATATAGGGTAATGCCTTTTGGCTTGACCAACGCTCCTGCGTCGTTTCAGGTCATGGTCAATACCATATTCAAGGATCTTCTAGATCAAGGCGTAGTAGTCTACTTGGATGACATCTTAATGTATTCGAAGACTAGAGAAGAGCATACGACTCTTGTACGGGAAGTTTTGGAGCGACTGCGACGACACCATCTATACGGAAACCTCGAGAAAACGGAATGGTATCAACAGGAGGTAGAATTCCTGGGATTTATACTATCAGGAAAAGGGAACCGAGTATCACCAAAGAAAGTCCAGGCGATCGAAGGTTGGTTAGCCCCAAACAAGGTCAAGGAACTTCAATGCTTCCTCGGCTTCGCCAATTTCCTAAGACGGTTCATCCACCGATACTCCGAGGTTTGCAGACCTATGACCGACTTCCTGAAGAAAGGTTCCGTATGGAAATGGGGCAGGGAATAGCAAGATGCGTTCGACGAGCTCAAAAGGAGATTTACGTCTGCTCCAATACTCCGACACTATGACGAACACCGCGAAGCAATCGTGGAGACTGATGCGAGTGATTGGGCCGAGGCCGCAGTACTCTCTCAGGTGTTCGAGGACGGTATCCTACATCCGGTAGCTTACCACTCTCGCAAGTTCAACGAGGCAGAGGTCAACTACGAGATCTATGACAAGGAGATGCTCGCAATAGTCTCTGCTCTCTTGACTTGGAGACACTGGCTGGAAGGGACGGACATCCCTATCCAGATACATTCGGATCACCAAAACCTGCAGTATTTCACAACGACCAAGAAGTTGTCGAGAAGACAAGCCAGATGGGCCGAGAAGATAGCACCTTTTCGCTTCAAAATCCATTACCGACCAGGCGAAAATTACGGCAAGCCAGATGCACTTACAAGGCGTCCGGAGTTCGCGATGGAAGGGGGAGTAATGCGTGAGCAGCCCGTAAAACAGCTACTCAATGCAGAACAGTTTGTCAGAAAATCACGGACCAGCGTAGAAACTGGGCCTGAAGTGATTGGCAACCCCGAAGAGGAATGGAATCAGTTGGATCAGTGGTACGACATACCGAGCGTAGAGCTGCCTCAGCCACTACAGGGTTGGTATGAACAGGAAAGACGATGGGTTCGGAGGATGGTTCCGGATGAACACCTCCCTGACTCAAACCTTGAGATCTTCGGACCACCGGAGGCTGCTATCGTAAAGGTAGAGCCTGCCGCTGAATGGAATCCCGATTCGAATGACCCCACCCACGATGGTCGATGGGTAGTACCAGGCTACGCGGTCAAGCAGGTCATTGAGGAACATCATGATCGACCCGTAGCGGGGCATCTGAGGAGGGATAAAACCCTTGAGTTGATTGATAGGAACTACTGGTGGCCAGGAATGTCCACGGATGTAGACAACTTCGTTAAGACTTGCGATGTATGTCAGAGGGCCAAGCAACGTCGGAGACGCTTGTCACTCCCTTAACCCCTAGAGTTAGCCACCACACCTTGGACTGATATCTCGATGGATTTCGTAGTAGAATTACCTAAGGAGAAATCAGGATTCCGTAACGTATTGGTAGTCGTGGACCGTTTTACGAAGATCGCTCACTTCATTCCAATGACGGGAATCAACGCGGAACAAACCGCTAACGCATTCGTCAAAGACATCTGGCGTTTCCACGGACTTCCCAGGAGCATCGTCTCATACAGAGGAACGCAGTTCGTGTCAGCATTCTGGGCGGCAATTACGGACAGACTGGGGATTCGTAGAAGACTCTCCACCTCATTCCACCCCCAAACCGACGGACAAACAGAGCGGACCAACCAACACATGGAAGGTTATATTCGGGCATATACGGCAGGAACAGGCAAGAAATGGAAGGACCTGTTACCTATCTGTGAATACGCCTATAACAATGCGAAGCATACGTCGACGGGGCAATCGCCGTTCTACTGCAATTATGGCTTCCACCCTCGAACGGATTGGCCTATGGATGCAGAGATCGAACGATTAGACGCCAACGGGAACAACTACTTGGATGAGATCATTACGGCTCATGAGTTAGCAAGAGATACGCTACAGAAGACCTTCGACAGGATGGCGTCAAAGCCAGGACCGGCAGTACAGCGGTTCACTATCGGTCAGAAAGTCTTGCTGGATACTCGAAACCTAGCAGGATACTCCAAGTGGTCAGACAAGTTTACAGGACCATTCGTAGTTTCAGCAGTGGTCGGCAATCGGGCGTACCACATGGAACTTCCGGTAGAATGGAAGGTTCATGACGTCTTTCACGAGATGCTGCTGCGACCCTATCGTGAGGACCCGGATCCCACCAGGAAACAAAATACACGAAAGCGACTGGCAACACCCGAGCCACAGGAGGCATTGGCAGACGAGAATTTCCAGCCAACCTCGAACATACGACCCCATACGCGAAGTCGAGGCCCAGCGATCGATAATGACCGGGCTCACAAGCGACAAAGGAACAGGCGGGACTAAGCTCGATACCTTTCCCTACTCTATGACTTTTCCCACAGGGTTTTTATCATAGAAGGGTTTTAACGGTCGAGGGCGACGTCTAGGAAGGGGGAGTAGTGTTACAGGAACTATGGAACACTGTTCTAGAGGCGTAGGACAGTAAGGAATACGAGTGACGGGTTGTGATGCCAGGACGGTCGGGTAACGGAAGGACAAGCATAGAAAGGTATCGGGTAGTGTGGGGGCACGCGGTGTCACCACGCTAGGCCCATACTATTATGACGGCACGCTTACTGTTGGGTGTCTCACCCGAAATAGAATAGGAAGCGGGGCTTACGGCTGTAGGCTGTTCTACTTAGAGAAGTAGGTCTAGGATAATAGTATGGTACAGCCCGATGACTGGCAATTGCAAGGTTCATGGTTACGTGTCGGAATTAGAATGGAGGACGGGACTATGCGGGGGCGCTTTTCTATCTGGGTTATCTTCGGGAACGTTATCTTATTCTATTATCGTTGTATCAGTTAGTATTAGAAGGCGGGCCTTGGCATAGGTCCCAACATGTATAAATAGGGCTTGATTCTCCGAAGACTTGAGGGTATCATCAACCATCAAGTCAAGGGAATCCGGTTTACAATATCATCAGTTTAAACGCTACAGAGTTATCGCTTAGCACTAGCCATTTCCCTAAACAGAAACATATATGATCATGATTTCTATCTCCCTAGTTCAATAATGCACTACTGCGTCCATATGCTTTCAAAAAGATGTCTCTCTGCCAACGGGGTACAGTATGAGGACACCATGCCTGATGGTAAAAAAACTCATTTTGTTATTTATACCTTTCTTAAAGCCTATCTAGGAAGACATATTCAGAAAGGAAATCAAAATCCCATGCTATCATTGTTGTTAAAGCCACGGGAAGTGTCTTCTATTAGGGGACGGAGTGCAGCATACTTGGTTGCAGAATTTACTGATGAAAATTTACCGGACATAACCGATAATGAACTAAGTCAAGAGGAAGATTCAGATTGGGAGTAATAATTTTTTATTTGTATTTAACTAAAGATATTTAATATGTCTACAATTAAATCCCCGGCAGAGTTTTTTTTTTTTTTTTTTTTTTTGTGGGCGGGTTGTTAGGTTTTCATTGTTGTCTCGTTGCCACCGAAATCCTTAATTGCACTTTGGTAGTTACCAGCCGCCGTATGCATGGACCACTACCCCTCCGACTTATCCTGGCCCAAGGTCTTCACGCAGTTCCGCCTCGCCTGCGCCACACTGTTCCTCCAGACAGTTCCTAAATCTGACTGAAGATCCGTGGCCAGTGCGAACAATTGTCGGTTCGCTATCCGAATCAGCCTCTGCGATGACCTGAGACTTCCAGGCTCACTACCCCACCGTCTCTTCACCGTACCCCGTGCTGTACTGTCCATCCACCTCGTGTGCACTTCCCCCCGCCTCCTCTTTTCTTGACGCTTGCAGCACTACGACTAGGCATTTATTAGTTGAGAGTAGCATTATATAGTCTAGAGTATACGTATATACGGTGTAACCCCCACCCCATGCGCGATAGCTGGTTTGCCGCGCTGTGAACGTCACCGTCTGTAGAACCATATATTGGTTTGCCTACAAGTATTCTGGTGTCTTTAAGTAATATAGGTAGATGGAGCTCTCCCCAACATTGTCACGCATCACTTTCCAGATGGGCCCTAATATGTATTATTATTATTTCTCACTTCTTTGTGGGAATAGATCTAGACGAAGCAATAATTACGAAAAAGGATTCCACCTCCTTCCCCCCCCAACAGCCCTCGAACCAATGCGTATCTCCCAATGGCTATCATCATCATCATCCACCACGATATATACGGCCTTCCCCCCATCGACACCAACCCTGCCGCTCACCAGGCCCACCTCGACCTCGACTGCCTCCCCTCTAAATGCCTTCCACGAGCAGTTCGCCCGCCCCGGCGACATCATCTCTGTCCTCCTCCTGCTCGGTAGTGTGGTAATGCTCGGCAGAGACGTGATCCACCAGGCCCTCGCACAGCTGTCGGGGGGGTTCATCACCCCCGTCGCCTTCTCCTTCGGGTGGATCACGTACGCAATCTCCGCGCTACTCGCGGCCATTGGAGCCAACAAGCTCATGCCGCTCCCCGACGCGACCGGCTTCGTGGTCAACTCGCGCAGTCGCTACGGCCGCGAGAACAGGTCGTGGATCCTGGGCCGCATCATCCGCGACTACGTGTTCTGGTGCGACCCCCGCATCGCCGTGGAGGAGGATAGGTTCCTCAAGGCGGAGGCAGAGCGGCGGTCGAAGCTGCCGGCGGGGGAGGAGCAGAAGTGGAACAAATATCCACCGCGGATCGGCCTCTCGATATCCGTCTACGAGGCGAGCAGGACCAAGACGGCCGGCGTGCCCGACAAGGACTGGGTCTACTACACGGGCATCCTGTGCGCCTTGGTACAGCTCGGGATCGCGGCGGTGCCGTGGGGCCTGTGGGGCGACTGGTCGATCGTGCTGATGACCGGGTGCGGCACCGTGCTGGCCTTCGCGTCAGGGGCGCTGCCGCACTGGAAGGCGGAGAAGTGGTCGTGCCGGAAAAAGTCGGGCAAGACCGTGTCACTGACGGCCGGCAACGGGACGAAGCACGTATGCGTCGTGCTCGGGAACGGGTCGGGCTGGATCTGGAGGATCTGGCGGGTGGCAGGGGCGTCGACAGGCCCGAGACGCGGGCCCTGACTGCGCTACTAGCGGTGCTGTGGATAGTACTGCTAATCGCAGTCTCGGGCCTGAAGCAGAATCCGTGGTTCCTGCTGTTGATCGGCGTCCTTGGCATGGCGCAGAACGTGATTGTCTGCGCCGCACCGCGCACACCCGGGGCCTTTGGAGTCCACCTGGAGTTCAAAGAGGCCATTGCCCGCGACAAGGTCATGAAGGCGCTGATGGACCTGGAGAACAAGTACCCGTACGTGGGCAGATCGCTCGTCGATACGTACTTTCCCGGGAGCAACCTGCGGCCCGACGAGGAAAAGTTCTGGAAGGAGGCAAAGGTGAGGGCGGAGGAAGCCCTGAAGAGGAGGGAGGATTGAAATGGATTGATATCTTCTTTCCTAATTTATGGCTATTTAGCGATATATGGGCGGGGGCTTGGTTATTATCTAGCAATATATACAAGTGCAAGAGGTGTGTGTGTGCGTGTATCACTGTGGTTGGCAGTTTACGGGCTGTGTCCTGGTTTTAGACATATTCTTCCCTTTTTCTACTCTGATCGTATTTATGTTGTTGGTGCTTTCCCGATGGGGGGTTCAATCGCAGGCTATACATCTGGGGCTTGGGGGGGAGGTGCTCGAACTCGTGGGATGGCTTTCGGAGTTATGATGACTGTAAATTATTTTCTTCGGCTGGGAGTATTTGAAAAATTGAAATTGAAAGTGAGCAGGCCGGACACATCGATATCGATCATCGCCCGCCCCCGAAAGCAGGCCCCAACTGGGCTCATCCTGGGGACGCCAACAACAATTGCTCCGGGCTACGACAGACGACGGGACCAATTTGTGCCAAAGGTTGACTCGAGATTTGCCAAATAGGTTTGACATCAAGGGCCGGCTGCAGGTGACATTGAGTTGCATTGGCAATTCAATCTTGAGCCTCGTTCAATTCTTGGCAACCCCACATTGAGCCTCATAAATAAATCTCGGAAAACGCACCTACATATCTTTTTTGGGCACCGGGCGCCCTAAGGTGCTGCAACAGTGTAACACCTTGTCAATGATTGAAGACAATCGAGGATTATCCCTTGGTTCGTTTTGACCATAAACGCTATTGGGGGTGTTTAACTTGTTCCAGCGAATTTTATCTCTAGCACACCTAACCCACACTCCGCGAACCTCTTTAAACTCGAAGTCACAGTTTGTGACCTCTTTTTCAACAGATCTTTCCGCTCCTAGAGGGTATCCACTCCTGGTAGAAGTTAGGATTTTGAATATGAACTCGGCTATTTATGTGAATCGCGGGCACGAACGAAGGGATGCCACCCCGGCGAGCCAACCCAATTCTTGGCACAATTGGATAGTTGATTTTGCTGAGCTGCTGCTGCTGCTCATCCCGTATACTTTGCGTTATGGGTGTCGATGTATCAAATGATTGTAGGCCTTCTATGGGGGGGGGGCGGAAACAACCCCCGCAACCTCCCCCCCCTTTTTCAGCCGTGGTGCTCAGTAGAAACTTTGATGGTCGTGCTTACTAACCCCCCTGTCGCTGTTGACCAACCAAACTGCGGGTACCTATCCAGTAGGTACATGTAGTTATATGATCTCCCCCGCCCCCCCCCCCCCACCCCCCTCTCCCAAACCTCGATTCCAGTGTCAACTGTTTCGCGGACCACCACCCCTCATGGAACACTTATTCTACCATGATAAAGCCGACAGAAAGGATTTTGGTTCGGTCGAGCCGACAACGGAATGGTTACGCTTTCACCACCATGAGTCTGTACCTCTTACCAATTTCCATGACTATCCTTCAGCGAGGGGCTGGGACATGGATCGCGTATGGCGCGGCGATTTGGGTGCCGCCCATCCTTCGTTGAACGGGCTGAGTAGTAGCGAAATCTCCAGCTCGGTGGCAGCTCTCCTTCAAAGCTGGCTATACCTTGGACTCCTGGAAGCTGCTTTACAGAAGCGTGTACCCGTGAAAAGTTTTACAATAGAAAACACAGGTTCGATTTTCTTTTTTTTCTCTTTTTTGTTTAATTCATTAATTAAACACAGGTTCGATACCTAAGTTGTTCAGTATGCGCCTAGGGACCTATTTTAACGCATGGGACACCCAGGCTCGGATAATGCTCAAGGACCCTTCCAAACAAAAGCAGTGGAATCGGAGTGTTGTCGATGCCCTGGTCGAAGCCCACAGCTGGGTCGCCCGCCTCAGCCGCTTCCAAAGACAGACTGAGGACTGTCGTGTCACTGGGGGGCTCCAGGCGAGATATCCCGAGTTCGGCGACCAGGTATGCGGAACCCTGCCTGCTATCATCCGCCTGGCAGAAGCAATTGACTGCGGGAGACGTAGAATCTTCCGTTCCTGTCATGCCGACGTTTCTCCCGCGCTCACATGGAAGTGCCCTGATGGAGCCGCTGGAGCACGAAGACATCGTCTGCAGTCTCGCCATTGGTGCCCATTCACAATTAGCATGCTCGAAGCCACCACCTGCCAGTCTGTGATGGATTGGATCGATTCCACGCAGAAGGAGTATCCTTCGCCACACCACGCTTCCTGTACCGAGAGTGCTTGCTCCCGCAACAACCTAAATACCAGTGCATACAAGACCGAGCATGTCAACCCGCAGTGTGTGTGCGCGTTTATTGCCCCGTCCTTGGACGATATGATTCCGATATTTCAGCAGGATGGCACCCCAGTCATCCGTGTGGTACACAACGGCGTTGAAACCCGTTTGGAGGTATCTGCAAGTTCGCCTCGCAATCCATATGTCGCATTCTCGCATGTTTGGGTCGATGGGTTGGGGAGTGTTAGCGAGAAGGGGATACCGACATGTCAGGCACTGCGCCTCTCCGCTTTGGCCGAGGAGGCGTTGGGGCCTGGAGCGGCACTGTGGATCGATTCCTTGTGCATTCCGGAAACGTACGTGTGGCGTAAGCGCGCCACAACTGCCCTCAACCGAACGTATCGTGAGGCAACTGCTGTGGTGGTCGTTGATCAGACAATCAGGAAAAGTCAGAGGGGAATTGACGCGGAGGATTTCTTGTTGGCAATTTATACATCCGCGTGGTGTCAGAGGCTGTGGACTTATCTGGAGAGCATTCTAGCGCAGAGTATCTTCTTCGAAGTTTCTGAAGGCTTAATGCGATTCCCAATTTCTTCCAGTAAGTTTCCCAAGACAGTACGGGTGATCTGGGAAGCATTGGCGAAGGAGATATTCCGCCTTCGAAACCCCGACGGCCTAAAGCTGAACCTTGGGCATATAGCACGGGCCTTGGCTTGGAGGAGCACCACCAAGTGCGACGCTGAGACAATTGCACTGGGCACGGTTCTAGGTATAGATGTCAGGCGGCTTCTCAAGGTCAACGCTGAGGTCAGGAAGATGATGTTCTTCAAACTGGTGAAACGCCTTCCATACAATATCATCTTCCTTAGTGGCCCCAAACTGTCCTTGCGCCCTTTCCGGTGGGCACCATTTACCTTGATGTCACAAGTAGGGATACGCTTAGATGCAGACGATGGATCCCAAACTTCTCTGTGTACCGCAAACGGCTTGGTTGGGAATTACTTGGTTCTCAGGCTATCAAGGTCGATGACGAAGTGTCCTGTAACTAGGAAATGGTACGCATTTGATTCGAGTAGTGACGCAACATACATCCTCACCGCTCCGTCTTACGGCTGGTCATCAGAGCCGGACAGCTGCCCATTTGATCACATAGCAATCGATTCGGAATTCAAAGAGGTTCCGTCTTTCAATAGGGTGACAAGTGCTGTTGCGCTCATGGGGAAGAGGAAGTGTTCTATTCCAGATGTTACTGTCTGCAATTATGTTGGTCCAATGTTTCTTGAGTGCGTGAGGGGTAACATCAGGTCCATTGGGGCTGTGCTTTGCAACACACAAGCATTAGACCTATGTATCCAGTAGTGCGAGAGAGATTCCTGTGAATTCCTGTCCGACAACGGGATAGGTGGCTGCAAGGTTTATAGGATACGAACACCCTAGTAGAGAGATATCGCCATCCCTGGCGCGTGCGGGTAGAACTAACTTAGCCGCGATACACTAGAGGCATAGATAGTCTACAGGTAATAGAGCCCCGGGGGATGGAGAGAGGGGTGGAGTATAGAACGTATATTCAGGATAGTGGTATGCATCAAGCGTCCAACTTTGAGCCCTGTCTATACGGGTTAACGTATACATATAGTTCTATATATCGTGATCACTCACTTAAATCTTAGAGGACCCCAAATGAATGAAAACGGCTAATTCTGTAAATGGCCGATTTTGTACTTTAAATGCCATTGCTGAAGAAATGTGTTCTTGTATAGTGGTTAACCTGTTGGCGTTTTTGCTACGGAGCTTCATGGTCGGTTAGGTTACGAGTAAAGTGAGATATTAACACGATGGGGAGGTGAAGTAGGCGGTGATGATGTTAGTTATGGTGCCAGTAAGTATTATATATAGCGCTGTACGCGAGCGAGATGTCGAGTAATGCTATGTCGTGTACGTTGAGGGGATTGGCGCATCCGCAATAGGATTACTCCCTTTAACGGACATGTCGACATGTCCATCAAAGGTACTCCCTCGATAGACAGCTTCCCCCAACGGACTATAACCCACAATCAACCTTGACTATATTCGCTGCTGTATATGACACAACCCATGCTCATTCACTGCCTAGATAGCTATCTCGGGCAACTTATTATTGTTTTAATCGTAATATCTCCTGTGTTATCTAGCACGGCTGCTGTCCCAGCTCGCGTGCGAAAGGGTAGTCATCAAATATCACTCGCATTAGAGCTCCACAACCAGTACTTTTTTTTTCTTTCTTCTACTAATTCGTTGATTGTATGCAGACCGTAGTCTATGGCAATATCGCACTATCCCGGAACTACCTCCCCTCCGCCGCCATCTTCATAGTAACAGTACAGTAAAAAGAAATGAAAGCTAGTAACAGTTTGTGCTTTGTCATGCTTCTCTCTATGGGCTGTCCCTCTGTCCTTCCCAACCCCTGCCCCTTTCCCTTGTCTCTTCTTCCTCGTCCTCGTCCCTTTGTCCTCTCTCGTGACGCCACTTTGTAAACTGTTTCCAGATGCTGATCGCCGTTTTGATGCCGGCCGCCATCCAGAGTAGGTTGGTGACCGTGTTGTGCAGTAATGCTGAAGTCCGTCAGGATGTGCTCCATGCTCTGTTCGATTTCGCCGCACTCGCACTCGCGCTCCGGGCTGTCTTTAAGCTTGAACCGATGCAGGTACTTGTTGATGTTTATGTGACCTGTGCGGAGTCTGCTTATTGTTCCACGACCAGTACTACTTCCACCATTTCCACAACCTCGACCATCTCACCACTTCTATAGGAATGACCAATCTGTTATTACTAGTAGTACCATGATTCTCATGTTGAGGTATACCTGGCCGGATAAATATATCCAGAGAGTATAAGTATGGAAAAGGATTGCAATCATATACCAACACTAACCCCAAATGCAGGCAACAAAGGCGACTTGGAGGATATATATCCCCATTACCTCTTGTTGTGGATAATCTACCACTCCGCGATTGTACACCAGTGTTACCTCTAGACTGTTTCAGCTACTCGAAATTCGAAGATTCCGAGATTGTTTATCATGATCATCCGGTCAAGCAGGGGATTAAAACCACGATAAAAATCTGGAAACAGTTCACCAAATGGCGCCACGAGAGAGGACACAGAAACGAAGACGAGGAGGAGGAGGCCAGAGAAATAGGAAGAGGCTGGGGTGGACTGAGGGACAGGCTGTAGGCATGGACTCGAAGGGACCGAATTGTTATTAGTTTTCCTTTCTTTCTTTACTTTTCGTTCTACATTTGAAGGCGGATGGGAGGCAGTGTGATATTGCCATAGACTACGGTCTATATAAAATTAATGGATTAAAAAAAGCAAGGCAAATCATACGGTCAAGCATTCGTCAAGTTGCCCATTCATTGGCCGAATCATTGGCCGAATCATTGGCCGAATCATTCATCGCCTTGACTGTGGATAGGGCGCGCAATCCACTAAATTAACGCCTTGCTCAATGGGTCTGAAAAATCACATGCCCCGCGATAGTTTTGGCTCTGTCAACGCCCCTCCTATTCTTATCTCAGCTTTGCCGAACGGGTGGAAGCAATATTCTCAAATTCTCATGTGTTTTTACCGGACGACCGTTTTCGAAGGACTTGCAGTCTGGCTGGTCATTTACTTCATGCATGACCCTCCCTCCTCGTTCAAAATTGTATCTTTTCTCCCTGCCTAAAACGCAATTCAATTTCTATCTCCGCGCGGACCCAACCCCTATGCGCGGAGTGGGAGCCTGTCTTACAGAGCGAATAAACAAGGAAAATAGTTTATAACTTTAAACGAACGGACACCCTCCCAAACACTAGAAAGATTATCACCTAAGTACATGCATACACCGACTTAACGGCGGCGGCGCCTAGAATCCTGGCCACGCCTAAAATCCCCAACCAAAAGCTTTTCCATATCCGTTGGGGAGCCAGCTTCCAGGACCTCCGCAAATGTGCAGGAGTGTAGTTCCACATTACTTGGGTCAGCCCCCCTCTCCAGCAACAAGCTCACTATCTCCTCACAACGTTCTCTCACCGCCACCTGGATAGCCCACTCCGCGTCCCTACGTGATTTTTCTTTGACGTTTGGGTTGGCACCGTGATCGAGAAGCATTCGTACAATAGGTTCCTTCCGGCGGTCTACAGCCCCGAACAACGCGCTCGCCCAGTCATCACCTTCTGTGTTGACATCAACACCTTTCTCAAGGAGAAATTCCACAACCTCCGTACGACCGCGCGCGGCAGCTAGTGATAATGGAGCCTGGTGTTCGTTTCTACCGCAATTGATGTCGGCCCCACTTTCGAGCAGAAGCTTCATAACGGATAGGGAGCCCTGCCAGCTGCAGCCTGCAGCGCAGTTCCTTCCGAGCCACTGACAGCATGCCATTCTTTATCATGCGTAATTAACCACTGTATTGCTGCTCGACGTGCCGCAACTGCTGCCGCGTGATACGCCTTTCCGTGAAACTTTCCTCCTTGCGCATTGACATCCGCCCCCCATTCTAGCAGTAGCTTCACCACCACTATTTGGTTTTCAACGACGATGGGATGGTATCCACGGGCTGCGGCCTCTAATGCATATCCATAGTCACCTCTACAGGCATCTATTGCTGCCCCTCTCTCCAGAAGTAACGCCACGGTTGTCTCATGTCCTGCTATTGCCGCCGCATGCAAAGCGTAACCGTACCCGCCGCCCTCCTCGTTGATATCTGCACCCCATTGTAGAAGAAGCCTGACTATATCATCAAAACCTCCGAACGCTGCTCCCTGTAGAGCGCATCCGAAAATGCCTCCCTTCGCGTTGACGTTTGCTCCTTTCTCGAGGAGCATCCGGACGGCATCTTTATGTCTGCGGCTTGCCGCAGCTCTCAAGGGTTCTCCATAGTCCTAACCAAGACCGTTAGCGTTGGCCCCCCTTTCGAGAAGTAGCTTCACCACCATCTGATGACCTCTGCGGGCGGCTTCCTGTAAAGCATTTCCGTAGTTCCCTTTCATATTCTCGCTATCGCCTCCGGTATCGAGGACAAGTGCGGCAGTAGCTTCATGGCCTCCGACCGATGCTGCAACGAGTGCACTTGTTGCTGATGCTTGGCGCTCGTTTCCATCCTCGTTTTGCAGGAAGGGAATAAAGTGTTTTACATCGGACTGGAGTCCCATTTGTGATGCGACAAACAGCGGCTTCTTCCACCCTCCCACCCTTGGTTGATGCGAGTCCTCCCCAATCCCTTCAAGGTGCTCGTAGTTTGTAAGCCATGTCTGAAAGTTCTGGCGCTCAGGCCAGTCAAAGATCGTCATGCAGGCCGTCCTTTCGGAAGGGTCCGCAAGTGGGGCGTGTTTGAGCCACATCTGTGTAGTATATCGAACGAAAGGGATCCCGAGAAGCCGGTGCCGAGTGTCCGTATCTATTGGAGCAGGAAGGTTGAAGTCGGCGAAGGCTAGATATTGGATACACACACGGGCAAGATTGGCATGAGCGTCGCGTTCCACTATCAGCGGAAGCGTTTCGGACGTGGTTCCAGCCACGGTAATTTGTTTCTCCAGCAGGTAATCTTTGACAGACTGGTGAATCAACTGGACGTAAAGCTTCTCGCTCGCCTCCTGTGTGAAGAACTTCAACTTGATTCCTCCTTTGATCTCTAACAGGCCCCCAGAGTATTCTCGTATTCGTTCCTCCATCCGGCCTTCTGGGAGCGCGATCTGTTCCAATGGTGCCAAATTAGCGGATGGCGTCCCAGAACCAAGATAGCACAACGGAACTCTTCAACTGACAGTGGTCTATCGGCAAACAGAACCCATTCCAGCATTCTTCTCGTCTCTGCCTGAGCAGTGGTATCCAGATCTTCCAGGATATGGTCATAGAACTCAGTCAAGTCCGCCGGGAGTGAGTCGATGGCGCTTTCCAACTCCTTGTCTGTTCCAACGAGTAGCTTTCCTTTCTTCAGCTCTTTCACCACCAGTGTTACCCAGAGGAACACTCCCTGGGAGCGCGCTGCTGCTTTGGCCACAATCATGCCCACAAATTCACGGCTGCGGTGTCGGGTGAATGTTTCGAACTCGCTCGCGAGGAATTTATTTATATCGTTTCCGTTAAATTCCTCGAGATACATGGTGGGATAGGTATCTAGAAACATCTCAAGCTCCGCGTGACGACGCCCCGTCACTAAAATCCGGGGGGTGAGACTTGTGGTTGGCAAGATGTTGAGTGAGAAATCTGAGCAGTTTTTGTTTGGACTCCTCTCCACATTCATCAAAGGCGTCTATAATCAAGCTCACCGATTCGAGTCTAGCATCATCCAACATGGAAAAAAGGGCCTTCTTAATAGCGGCGACCGGGAGTGGTGCATGCTTACTCGAGCCATCCATCTTTCTTGGAGGGACATGACGGGACAAGGATGGCTCCTGTTCCACTAGCTGAAAAAGGAGAGAATGAAAAAATGTGGATTCATTTCTTAGCCGTTCAGGACCTCGACCGTTGAAGAAAAAACCGACCAAAGCTGCTGTTCCCCGTAGGTAGTTGAAGGTCCCCGCTTCTTTTTGGTCATTTTGTTCTTCGATCAGCCGGTCGAGCAAGTTCTTTGCCAGGGACGACTTTCCCGATCCTGGTTTACCGCTGACCCGGACTCTGGTCCAGCCACTCCAATGTGGAAGGATGAGCCTTTTCGATACTCTCTCGCCTGTTATCTGACCCAACCACATAGAGCGACTTCAGGCATTCTACGAAAATTTGTTACCGTCTGTTCAAGGGGGAATCGTGTAGACGGGTCTGGTTACCATGCTGTTCCGCACTCAGACTCTTCAATTGCTCTACACTCTCGATTCAGCTTACTGACGATGATCATATATCAGCGGGGGGATACTTGGTTGCTCACCTTTCTCGATCTTATCAACCATCCTGGTTAGCTGCCCAAGGACAAGACGGTAGTTCATATGAGTCTCCGACCTAAACTTGTTCATCCCGACGTTGTCAGTGACTAGGGCCACCCGCTTCACCCCCAAGTTCGTGCTCGCATGCGTATTCACTCCCTACGAGACATGCATCAGTCACGCCCCGCAAAAAGCACTAGCATATTCAAGGGCCAGGCCTACCAGTAGCACAGGAACGCCCATTGCCTTCGTTTTCTGGGTCTCAAAGAAATCCACCAAGTCACGTTGCCCGTAATTGGTGAAGAAGCTCCTGTTGAGCTCCCGGAGCGACTCTGCGCCCGGCTGTAACGCTTCCAGAAGCTCCGTACTCGATCCTAACCAGTAGGTGCAGTACGAGAGCACCTCACCCCAATAGGTGAGCTGCGACCCATCGTGCGGAACGCCCAGGAAAATGGCTCCATGCATCGACTTTTCGATGGAGTCGAACGTGGCATCTGTAAACTTCTCGCTCGCCACAACGAGTGCCTACAATCGATCAGCTATGTTTTTTGCGTAGCATGTCCTGTCAGTAGCTATGTATCTTACCTGCTTGATTATGATACCGCCAAAGTTGTGACCTATAAATATAATCGGACGCTGCTGAGCCTCCTAATCCCCGTTAAGGTGAGCTTAAAATCTTACTACTGCCATGTCGCCTCGAATTTTTCGTCTTCTAGATCTCCGTACCTTTGAGTGTGACCTCTCGGTATTCAACGCCTCTAATAATTCCTCCCCGCAAATCTTGATGGACTTCACGGGCGCATCGCGGAACCACGCCGAATTGTGGTTATACGTCATGATTCTGGCGCGCGGAATAGATTTCGGAAGGAGGTCTTTGAGCCACATGCACTTTTTCGCCTGGTCCTCCCACGTCCACGCCCAGTCAGGATTCGAGCCCAGCCCGTGAACCGCAACGATGCTGGAATATTATTAGGCGCTGTGACGACATACTAGTAGGTGGTTAGGCGGGAGTCTAAATTAGACTTACTCAACCGTTATATTCCCCTTCTCGTCTCCGTTGTGCAGAACGGTTATTCCAGGGTTGATTGGAGACTTGGGGGTGAGGCACCACGCAAGCACGAGCTGCAGCGGCGAGAGGGCGAGTGTGACAAAGTTGAAGAATACGATGACCCCAAGCCCCACTACCCAAGTACCTAGTGAGGAAATCTTGTGAAGCTGTGTACCGAGGAGACCGGTGATGAGCATGATCACGGCATGAAATCTGGGCTGGGAACCCTTCGTCAGGCAGAGGATGCAGACGGCGACGGCCAAAAGAGAGGAATTCCAGAATGTGAAAAACATCTTGTATGTAACGCAGTGAATGTCGGTCTCTCGTGTGCAAACACGCGGTGGGGGAAGTCGTTCCAGTCGTAGCAGTCGGGATGGTTGATATGGGGGGGACTGTTTTTTTTCCCCCTCAGAAGGACAACAAATGCCGACTGGTCATATATTGCCGGCTACAGCAAGGCTGGCGCGGCTGAGAACGCCAGATATACCCGACGATTGGTTTAGATTGGCATCAACCGGGTTTACGTGGATACAGTCGTTCACCTACTGACGGCGGATCCTGTCTGATGGTTCTGTTTGCAGTAATTTGCCCTTGGCGTCCAAAACTGAACTCTTTTATTGGCCTCAAGTCCCTGACCGCCATCAGACAGGATCCGCCTTCACCCCGTGAGTGACTGTAGTATATAGATACATTGCCAGTATCCTACCTGATCCGGTAACAGATCAGTCAACGCAGGCCGAATCGAAATCCGAAGAGCCGCAATTCTCGAGAATGACATATCTATGTATCTATTGTTAAAATCTTTAGCCTATAGCTACCCCGGCGAATAATTATACACAATTCTCCGCCTGATGTTCTGGGGATGCATACATGTATGGGTCTATGAAGGTGTCTATGAAGTATCTCTTGACAGCTCAGCAAGACCCCGGAACAGAATCACAGGTTATCACTCGTTGGGTAAGGTTGAGTCTTTAATTTGCCAAAAGGACGTTGGCCGATTCGATGTACGTGTGAGCTCTTCGAGATTAGTGATCACTCAAGCTAGGAGTACGCAACAGTCAAAAACAGATACTCGTATCTTCCTGACATTTGTAAAAGGAACCACTATTGCATACATGTACGCGCCAAGTCCACAAGTTATATAATTATCATGGTATAATGCAATAGCGGTTCAATTTACAAACGTCGGGAATATAGACATATATAGCTCACGAAGAATTCCATTTAGTTGTTTCCTGTAGACTTCTGTGATCCTCTCGTGAGATACAAGTACAAGCTTTGATGTGCAACACTAGTGCCGTAGATCGATCGATCCCGCGGCCCGCTCCCGTCGATCGTCTCAAACCCTTGGTGTTGTTGTTGTGAATAGAGAGTATTTACCAAGTGTCAAAACCGACAATTCACACTTCGCCACATTAAAAAGTGGTTGCCGAAACCGCCAATTTTCCAGGGTGGGGATGTAGGATACGCCTGGGGATTTTTACTATACTGAGTGCACTATATATCCTGCCTGCGTATTTCACTGTAAGCGTGAAGAATTATTTATCTACCCAGTTTTCCCTATCATACCTTCCTGGTGTGGTTAATTAGGTTACTGAGGGGAACTGTCAATTCTGTCTTCTGAAACTGTCATTTTTAAAGTGTCAATTTTCGGATTTGACACTTAATAAATACTCTCTAATCCGCGGATGGCGACAGGGCAAGGGTCGTGACAGGGCGCGAGCCATACCAATTGTGGCAGCTAGCGTCTCAATGCGCGAACATGTGAACATCTGAATCCCTCGATTCGCGTCAGTACTTCTTTCTGCGATGGTTCCTGTTCTTTTCTGAACTCAGGGTACTCAACATAACCTTTCAATGCAAGCCTTAGGATTGTGAAGGAGGTAGGAACATCGCCGGGTGATAATCTATGATGACCCCCCCCCCCCCCCGCACCAACAAATTTGTAATGAGAATACTACCTTTCCTTGAACGGTTCTCCCAGTACACTGAGATCAAAATAAGAGGCCCCCATAATGACCCATTCAGTAGCTGTAGCTCCATGTAATCACCTTGGTAGACTTCGCGGGTGCGGAGGTTGCCCACTACCACGAACATGGTTAGTCTGTCCTGTCAACGCTTCTACTTGTTGATCACTGCTCTTGCATGGCGGTCGACAGAGTAATCCATTAAGTGTCCAGAATTAACATGATCAAATATGGTGCGCCCACGCTTAAAGTAGCGGATCGCGACGAAATGTCAATGGCTTATAGCTTTTCAACGAAAAGTCGTAAAAGAAAAGCGTAATGATAGAACTCTAGTACTGGTGATGAACTTTAGTTCTATCATTGCAGAATTTTAATATCTGCCTGGGTTGTAAAGCCTTAGGAAGCTGAAATTGTGTATTTTTGTATGAACAAAGTGGAACAGTATTATACCCATTTATACCCCAGAGAAGCAAACCTGACTGATCCGTGGCAGTAATGCGGCAGAATGGCTATAAATGGGCACTCTTATTTGCCCATAAGGCCCTATTGCAGCCACAATTGTTCCACTCCCGTATGCCACCATATCACCTTTAAGAGTGTGCGCACCATACCAATATTGCGGAGAGCATCAGCAGGATATATGTAAGATCATGCTGTCCGACTATCGCCTTATGGTAATGACGACTGCTTTGGGCTTTCCGGCTTCTCTTTGTGTCATGAAATAAATGTATATATATAATTAAACGTTATTTTTGAAAATTAATCGGGCATAAATTATCCATGCTTCTATCTCCACTTTTGTTGCTGGGTGGGAGGTTATTCAAGTCATTGGAGCTGTCGAAATAGTATCCTTCCACCCAATCAACAATATCTATGGACATGTATACAGGAGTTGGGAGAGAAAACCCCCCCGATCTCTCCACCTCGCATCAATTCAACTACAGCCCATGTTGCTGAAGGTGGCCGAGTCGGCCTCTTACATCTCACCCTACCACGTCGGAAAGGATCACAGTGGTGGCATATCAATTGTTATATACGAAATGTCAATCGCACCACAGCGTAGCTAGACGCCCCTTCATTCCAATATTATAAGTATAGTAGTTATGGCCCCAGAATCAACTCTTCCAATACACAAACAGTGTCCAGCACTCCCTTCATTCGCCCACCTCACCAGTACAACAACATCTCCCCCCACCGCTCAAGCCCAAGCACAATACACCCGCACATCCACCCTCTCGACATGATTCACCCACCCAGGGTACTGCGCTCGCGGATAGACGCCCAGCACCTGTCCCGCCTTCAACGTCCGCAACCAACAACTCTCCGCCCCCGGATCGTTCGCATCCCATGTAACCATATGTGTCTTTGCCTCCCACGTCGCCGCCAGATTCCGCTGAACGTCCTTCCGCCCATCGGCCCCTTGTTCTCCGACGGGCCCGGCCTCGAACCAGGTATGGGAGCCATGGTATGTCCCCCACAGTGATCTATCGTCTGCCCAGCCTGTAGATGGGGTGTTAGCAATATATTGAAAACTGAATATTCAGAAAAACTGTGACGAGCATACCCTGATCGTGCGAGCGCATGCAGAACGTTATCCTCCTCACCGGCGCCTCCAGCGAGCTCTCGATCGGTACCTGCACATATGGCTGCTGCGGGTGGTGCTGCTGCACGGCCCACTTCTCCTCCCCACTCGCCTCCGTATACACCCAGTACTCTCCCAGATGCAGAATCCTGCTCACCACCTTCTCCGGCAGCCCCGTGAGCTTCAGCAGCAGCGTCTGCACATCCCGCACGTCCTGCGGCGTCAGAACAGGCTCATCCAGCGAGCTACGGGTGCCCAGGAACCACAGCAAAGACGGAAACCACGCCTCATCGCGCGCCCAGTGCAGCTGCTTGATCAGAAGGTTCCTGAGCCGTGTGACCCGCGCCCCGCGGCCAATGAGGAAGTCGGATAACGGTGCCGACCCCGCCTCCAGGGCGAGCTGAAGCGCGGTCTTGCCGGACACGGGCGAGTGCAGGTCGAGATCGGCGGCGGGGAGCATGTCGAACACGGTCTGCAGCATCTCCACCGATCCCGCCCGCACCGCCGCCCGGGCCGCATGGGAGCCAAACTCGTCCATCGCGATGCCCTCAAAGCCCCGCCGTGTCTTTAGCAGCTCAATGAGCAGCGCCAAGTTCTCCGGCACACCTCCGCTGACCGCCGCTTCGATCGCTGCCCACATCGTCGCTGTGCCCGCCCCCACGTCTGGCCCCGCCTCAATCAGCGCCTCCAGGATCCGCTTCCTCTCGTTGCCCGCCGCCGCCACAAACGCCGCATTCACATTCCTCCCCGCCTCCCGCTGCAACAGCACCTTCACCGTGCTCTCGTGCCCGCCCCGCACCGCAGCCACCAGCGCCGCTTCCGAGTTCCACCCGATGCGGTGGGGGTCTGCGCCGTTCTGAAGCAGCACCTGCACACCATCCGCCTGACCCTGTGCGGCAGCATAGTGCAGCGCATACCCGTACTTGCTCCCGGCCTGGTTTACCATCCCCCCATGCGAGATCAACGTACGCACAGTTTCGGTGTGCCCTGAGCCTGCGGCCAGGGATAGCAGCGACAGACTATCGGCGGCGGTGCGGGTATTTGCGTCGAACGGCTTCGTCAAGTCCAGCAGCTCTAGAAAGCCATAGTGGCATGCCGCCGGAAGGACACTGAGCGGTGTAGATGTGAGTGACGGCGTCACGGCATTGTGCGGGTCGGTCAGCCAGAAGACAAACTGCGGAGACGGCCTTTCAATTGTCCCGAAGAAGCGCAACAGCTGCTCTTTGATCTTCTCGCTGTCTCTGCACTGCTGCACATGGTGTCCCAGAACTGTGATGCGTAGGCCGCGAACGGGGCGGGCGGCGCGCCGATGGCGGCAGCGACGGCGGCAGTGACGTCGGGCTCGGCGGTGAGGCAGTGGAGACAGCGCTCTGCGGCCATCTCGTGTGCCTGTGGGATTTCCCCGCCCTTGCGCCCCAGGAAGTCCGGTATTGATCGGTGTGCGAATCGCACGACGCCGGTCTCGTGGTCCTCTATCACGAGGTTGTGGCACACCCGGAGGACGGTGTTGATGTCGGCGGCGTTGGTGGCCTCGACCAGCTCTTCAGGGGAAAGAGCGTGGGGAGCGCAGAGCAGCCACTGGGTGACTCTATGGGCGAGATCCTTTTCTGTTACAGGCTGCGTGTGGATGTGTTCGCTGAGAATGTACTCGTACAGAGATTCGAGGTCGGTGGGGAGGTTTTGGGACCGGAGATACTCTTGGACGAGGGCGCTTGATGAGAGCTGAGACAGCATCTTGAGCTGGAGATCGACCCAGAGGAAGCTGTATTTCACGTCAGTCTTTCTACTTGCAATTCAAGACACTGGGATAGACCGAGCGAGGGTATTTTACCATCCGTTCGCCTTCGCCCGCAGTGTAGAGCGGATCAGCTGCCCGACTTCCTCACTTTCCCCCGCTACTCCTAGGTTCTTCATATTTTTAACGGAAACATCCAAAAGTGTATCGATATCTCCTTCATTCGCCATCTCCAGCGCCATCACCGGCGATTTCTTGTCAGACTGCTCCCACCCCTCCACACCCTCTTCCACGGCCACAAACACCTTCACCGTTCCCTTCGTAGCCAAGACAACCTCCTCCAATATCTCAAACAGGGCCGAGCTAGGGTTATATATCACGATTGTGTTTTGCGGATATACTCCCAGCAGGTCTACGAGCAGGCTTCTTGTCGGCAGATATCCCTTCTTCCAAGCACGGCACACAGCGCCGTAGACAGCTGTAGCATCAAGGTTGGTGCAGAGCTGTACCAGCAGCGCCCTGAGCACCATATCAGGATCCCAACAAGCCTTGTCACGCGGGTCGCAGTAGAAGTACGCAAAACCCTCAATACCTGGGTGGGTCTGGCGGTCGAGGAGGAGCACATCTATTAGTAGCGACCTACAGCACCCGGGTCAGTTCTGCAGCTTCCAAAAAAAAATACGGAGCATGAATGGGTACGTGAGCGTTCTCTTCCCGGAACCGGCTGTGATTCGGTTGTCAGTATCTCCTTGCACGTATTCAGATCCAGAGGTGTTTCCTACGCATTCCGTGCAGTCGGATCAGGGTGGAGGAGTTCGAGTCCCGCCACTCCCGGAAAACGGTGCTCTCAAAGAGCCATGCGCCGGTTCCGTCGGTGCGGGCGTGCGCTGCGGATCTGTGATGCTGCTCGTAGGGCACGGGGGTTACCCATTTCAGTAGCTCGGTTCGCTCGGAGTCTACTCGTGAGTTAGTATATATCTGGGGGGTAACAAAGTGATGGCTTGGGTCGTACCGTCGAGGGTTTTGTAAAGTGTGCTAGGGATTTGAGGAGCATCTGTCACTTGTGGCTTCCGGAAGCCGTGGAGAATGGCGAGGTAGTGCAGCAGCGCAGCTGGAGGTGTGGCATCTTTGGGCTTTACAGGAGGTATGACAGTCCCTTCCGGGGCAGACACTGGAGTCCGAGACGCTGTCAGTATCTATATATTCGCAGGTGGAATTTCGTCTTGATTGTGCTATATGCGGATGTCTTCGCGGGGGGGTGCATATAAGGTCAATACCCGGGGTGTAGCTAATCCCAAGGTTTATACTAATCAAGCCCTCGAAAGAGCTACCACCGGACGATATATAATTCCTTGGGATATCCGAAAGTGACAATACACAACAGATATAAATATCCTCTACTCACCTGAACTATCTCCCTTCGCACCATCCTCACCCGCCAGCTCTCCTTCTCGCTGAATCGACTCCGCTTTCTCCTGGACCTGAGCACCTGCATTCGGGCTCACTCTTCTCCCTGTGCAGCACAAGACATCAACAGTTTGTCCGCAGCTGTGAACATCAAGAGCCTTGTACACTACCTTTATAGAGCTTCCTAGGATCTAGGATAGATAAAACGCCTTTAAAAGTCGCAAAGAAATTCTTCTTCTGGGGAGCACGCGCTGGGCCCGCGCCCACGGGGGTGGTAGTACATTCGGACATCGTTCTCTGATAAGGATCTGAGATTCAAACCTCCAGCTTACCGGGGGGGGGGCACCACACCTTAATAACTATGGTTGGGGACGCCTTGTACCGGAGTGTCGCGACATTGGTTTCTGACGATCAATTTCCCAGTCAGGTAATTATTTAATCATTTTACCGCCTGTAACCTGCCAAGAGTAGCCACTTGGCGCTCTTAATGGGGAGCATTCCGCCAAATCCAGATAGAGACCTCCCTAATCAGGCAATTTACCTGTCCCAAATAGGCAATTATCGGCGCGACATTGGTTTGGGTCCCCACCAAAAACCCAACTTTTAGAAGATCAATAGCTCCACCACAACAAAAGATAGAATTAATCCGGCTCTGTCACATTGTAGAGAAGAAGCAGAACTACCGAATAACAAAGAGAAAAATAAATTAGGGTGTGGTTGGGGAAAGTCATTAGCGGTTGAAGTTGACCCCCGAAACCACTCCCCAACCATATCTACCGGGGGGCCAAAAATTAAAGCGCAGCGTTGCTAATAAATTCCCTTATCTACCTACAAAACCTTATCGGCCTCTCACCAAGCGTTTCGGTACACAAGAGAGTGCCTGCATGGACGACTTTGGAGATAATCCCCGGGGATCTGTATTATCGCAAGCTGAAGCGGGGGCGGGCCGAGCCTATTGGCTGATCGGAGGTTTTCGCGGAACCGACCAATGCGCTGGTGGTAGGCATACGGCCAATAGCTGGTTCCCGGTAGCGCTATCGCGACCTGCATCTTGGAATCGGCCGATTGCTTTTGTAGAGTACCCCAATTAGAGATCTAACTCACCGTTCACTCTCCCTGTGATATTATATTATGAGTTTCATGGGCTGGAGTTCAACGTCAGGAATGGTAAGCGACGTCATATTAGGACCCTAAACGAATACCAGCTTATGACACCAAATATGCGGGTGGCAGTTTGTATGCAGACATAACAAAATACCGAATGACAGGAAAACAACCTCCAACAAACAGGTGGTGTGAACTCGCGAGCTGTTGCGGAAGACCGAAGGCTGGATGCGTACGCCAAGACTCTTCAAGTAGGGTGACTTCAGGGATAAGCCGAGTGAGACCTTATGATCACAGCCAGACAGGACCAATGATAAGCCAGACAGGACCAATGATAAACCAGACATAGAAAACAATATTACCGCCAAGCCCCAACTTATTCGGGTTTTCATATGCGCAAAGCTCAGGGCCTACTCCACGGAAGGAAATAATCGGAGTCACTTAGAGTAGGCTCTCTCTACGATTGGATCTAAGCTAAACTAGTGGTGGCCCTGGCAACCCCCCCCCCGAAGCGCTCGGTCGATTTAATTCAACGCTAATATTTGGACATGATAGGCCTTGGCCAAGCCCTATATATCCAAAACAGAAATGCAGACATAACATGATATAAAATCAAAATTGCTGCCCCTCTATTATTCGCCCCCCGTGTTCTGGCAGTACTGTCTGTGCATGGATCTCCTCTACATTATTCGGGTTACCTCTATCGGAAACCCCCTCATCGTACTTCAAGAGCAGTATATTTGAATAAGTAACATCAGATAAATTTGAATAACAGCAAATCCATTTAAACTTTTCAACTTCCTCTCTCTGCAAATATCACCAACACCACACGATATAGACGAAAAAAAAGAAGAAAAAAACGCTAGGCTGCAAACTTCAATCTGCTCCAACGGATGCTAGAGATTTGAAAAAAAAAGAAGACTCAAAGCTCACTGATGAGCTTGTTTGCCCCTCTAAGAGACATTTCTCATATGTAACCGTGGCGGACCACCGAGAACCCCCCAAGAGAGGACTTTCCCAGCTACCAATGGCGCCCAAATTAATGAAGAAGAAGATCAATGACCTATCTTCTTTTTATACACAGTCACGAACTATATTATATATTTTTCGTTGTTTTGAATCTCAACTTTAGTAACATCAGTATTACCGGTACGTACGTGCGCCACACTGCGCACTGACATTAAAACTAAATCACGAACACTTTTGCTGAGTGGCTGTACGTATGTACTTGTTTGGCGAGTACACCAATAGGCGAGTACGAATATTTACCTACAAATCTCCCTTGGCTACCAGTTTGTATATGATGGAGACATTCTCTGCTCGGTATACGGTGTGTTCCATTAACGTAGGGAAAGACTGTACCGCTTCACCATTCCTATGAATCTAGCTCAAAATCCTAGATGACTTAATTTGGTACTATATCTCTAGTAGCAAGCTATCAATGACTTTGTCGTTTAGTAGAGTCGTTTAGTGTAAGTGACTTCGTGATGTACTATAAAACTAAACTAAACAACTTTTGTCACTTATACTAAATGACAACGTCGAGTGTATGACGACAGTTAATAAATGACTAGTTGTTTAGAAATATATAAATTTATTTAATGAATTAAACAAAAAAACTCAATTTATTTATTAATTCTAATGCTACTGCTGCTGCCCCGCTGCTGCTGCTGCTGCTGCTGTCTATTAGTAATGGCTATACTAATCAATGGGCTGGATATGACTTACCTTGACACTGGTGATGGTGATGGTGACCCAAGCACTGAACTACGCTAGCAAAAGGGGAGACCATAGGGGAGCAGGTGGGGAACGTAGAGGAACAGGAGGGGGAGCAGAGGGGAAAAGGCAGGAACAGATGGGAGCAGTACGTTGGGGAACGGAGGGGAATGGATGGGGCACTGATCTAATATGCATGATGAACCTGATATAAATGAGGGAGAAGGGGATGATGCTGAAGACATTGGTGATAATTATTGTGGAGGTGTTGGTGGTGTTGAGGTGTTCGTGTTGAGGAAGAGGAAGGCCACCCCTGGTGGTGCTTTTATAGCTGGCTACAGCTGGCTAAATACAGTACCAGAAAATGGGGAGGTTTTGATACCGTAGTACTAGTTAGTATGATCCACTGGGTTACACAATGGTAGCTACATGTAGTATACCTCTACTTAATTGGGTGCCACCTGGCACCAGTCCGAGTACACTGTATATAAACCTACATATCCCTTCGTTCGTTTTGACCATAAACGCTATTGGGTATGTTAAACTTGTTCCAGCGACCTTTATCTCTAGCACATCTATAGCTAACCCACACTCCGCGAACCTCTTTAAGCTCGAAATCACCGTTTGTGACCTCTTTTTCAACAGATCTTTCCACTCCTAGAGGGTATCCACTCCTTGTAGCAGTTAGGATTTTGAATATCAACTCGGCTATTCTATGTGAATCGGGGGCACGAACGAAGGGATAGCTATATAGCTTTTTTTTTTTTTTTTTTTTTAAATCATTTTCATTGATTCTAGGAACAACGTTCGCATGCAGTCATAGACTATGGCGTGAAAACCTCTCCCCTTCCCACCCAGAATCCCAGTTATAGTGACTATGGTCCGACACCAACCACACATCCCCTTGCAGAGCAGATGACAGAGATCCTCCCCCAATTTTAACGAAAAATAGAAGGAAAAAAAAGAGAGAAAAAGAAATCACACTAGTGGCCATTGGCCGTGTGCCCATATAGGGACTTTCGGAGAGTGTAGGACAGGCCCCTCGGTAGGGGGTTGTGAGAGAGAAGGAGAAGAGGGGCCCTGTATGAAAGGACCTCAAGAGGTAGTGAGCTTGATCAGATCTGCAAGTTGTACTGGCGAAAATACTCGACTGTACAGCTGGACAGTACATGCATGTATGTAATAACCCATGTAATATAAGTCGACCCCGAGAACACTACCTAAAATTTAACTACCCCTACGGTATTGACCTTGTATTGTTCCGTTTTTACCAGTACAGTCGGCGCAGGGAAACGTCGGTTATGGAATAATTTGCGCTCTACACGTGCACAGGAACGCAACAGCAATGTCTATAGTTGCAACAAGTCCAATTGCAATCAGTCATGCCGGATCTCGCTAGTAATCATTGCAACTTTGATCGACGGCGGCTGCATTAGCCAACCTTCCCCAATTGCCCACACTACACCCGCACACACCCGCACCCGCACACTCGATCACATCTCATGTTAAGAGACCATACCGATCAACCAGCACATGAGCAGTGCACCACAATCTCCCAGTTCTCTCCACGCAAGGAGGATATACTCCAAACAACAGGGAACCGGAAAATTTAGCCTTCGTAATCGACTCTCTCTCTCTTGGCTTCCTTTCACCGCTCACAAAAGAGTCAACAACAAAACTAATCCGTTCCTGCTCGCTACCAGTAGTGGGTACTGTGTCACAGAATGTCACTCGATATGCGACTCATGGTGTATCACTCGCACTGGCAGGCGAGTGATAGTTTGTGATTTCACTCCTTGTCCCCGCGACTGTTGGTCGTACTGCGGTACAATAGGTTGGTGGCTTCAAACCGCCCCGCAAATGCGCAGTTTACACCAGTCGTGCGGTGAGCATATATATATTCCATCTCTCACATAACCGAAGGACGGGGCTATATACGGGAGATGGATCTGCAATACGCGTTTACCGGTGGGGTTTATAAGATATCTAATAGTAATATTTATAATATTTAGTTCAATACCCGCGAGAGTGGATATATAGCAGTTACCTTTTGTGCGCCCTTTTGGCGGTGGTCCCGGTGGTGGTTTCGTTGTGCGCGCGACATGGCGCGCGGTAGGGAACAGGATTCATGGAACATACGGCTTTCGGTTTGGGCTGGCACTATCACCGGCTTTGCCGAGTCGGTCGGAGCGGGGGCCGGTAATCTATAATACCAGGCTGCTTGTAGTGAGGGAAGCTTGGTTTAGTGTATATTGATAATTTAGAGAGGCTCAGCTCAATGAGATACAATATTTATATCTATACTCTCTATGCAATTCCTCCCTAGGATGTGTGTGGGTGCCGGGGGCTTGAGTTGAAGGTTGAGACTGCCGCAGGAACGAACCAAGTACAGGTACATGTACATACAAGCTCAACTTTGGGATTCAACTACTGCGGTAGGATCTGCTAAGGTTAGGGTTTAAGTCATGTCATTTGACTAGTCCTCCATATCAAGAGACATGAATGTGTTCAAGACGCCTCTACTACGGGTTTTAATGCATCAGGGAAATGTGTGCTTGCACCACCCAAAATTTGGTAAGTAAAGTCGTTCCAAATAATGTGTACTAAAGATGTGTATATTCGGCATACAAATTTAGTGTAGGAAATGGACATCACAAATGCATCATTTAATGCATCAATTAATTATTAATGGCCCATTTAATGAATCCCGTAATACATCGGTAATTGAATCAGTGAATACACCGGTAATTGAATCAGTGAATACATCGTTAAATGAATCCCATAATGCATCAGTAAATGAATCCATGAATGCATCAGTTAATGCATCAACATATGAATCAGTTAATTCATCAACAAATGAATCATTTAATCTTTAATAGTAAAAAAAACCCGAAAAAACAAAAAGAACTGTGCAGGAATTGAACACCTGACCCTAGGATAACCTAGTATTCTTATAACCACTAAACCATTGCTGATGTATTTTCCTAGCACAGATTGCTATCAGAAGCCATGAGTTTTATTGAAAATCGGAAATATTAGTAATGTGTACCATAATGTGTACCATAATGTGTACATTGCAAATGTTTAGTGAAATGTGTATCATATTGTGTAGGATAAAGTGTAGTGTAATGTGTATCTGGTAAATGTGTATTGGAATGTGTAGTGAAATTTCGTAAATGTGGTAAATGTGTAGGGAAAGGCATCTCATGATGCATTTACAAAGGCCTCGACAGGTAATGCATCATTTGATGCAATACCACGAAATATTTGTATGGGCAATGCATCAAATGATGCATTCCCAGCCGTAGTAGAGACAATCATTCGGGCGTTTCCAAAACTTGACTTTTTTTCCACCCTGTGATGTTTTGTCTCGTATCTCAAGACAAAAGTCTCAAGATTCTTCCAATTGTGCATATCGCTAGTTGCTGACCGTTACCTAATATATCTTAATGTTTGATGTCATTCATTGCAACGATCATTAAATGCACTGCCTGCACTAGTAGTGCTTTCAACGAGACGGCTCAAGTCAAGCCTAGCTTGGCCAGGCCGGCTCGGGCAGATTTTTCTCGTAGAAGCTGGTTAATTGGGCTCGTACTTGTGGCTAAATTTAAACATTAAGCTCGAGCTAAATGATGATTTTATTCATGGAAAGATGGGTTCTGTCTTGCTTTATTATAGGCATTGTCGTTGCACATACTGAAGAGAGCGACTATAAGGAGATCTAGAATGTCGGAGCTAGTGATGAATAGAACACAAAACAAGACGAGGCTTCCATTGATCTCGTCTCGTCTCGCCTCTAGGAGGCCCGGGTCTTGTGGTTAACGGGATCTATGGTAGGTATCGCGCAAAGTGTCGAGGCCGCAGCCTAAGCACTAGAGGCATTGTATTGAAATCACAAGTAGGGTTAGGGTTCGAATAATTCTTGAATTTACATAAGCATCAGACCTCCATCCTCGAAAACCAAACAAAGTCTCGAGACATTTCGCCTCGTGTGTATCGCTAGTCCAAGCCGTCGATATCTACAGTGCAGCTGTGTCTAAGGCCAAACGAAAAATAAATCACGAGTTCTACCAAGAACTATCCTACTGAGCCAGAATATCGAATAGAACATATAATAGCTCAAGCTGTCTTAAGTTGAATCATTGCTTGAGCTCAAGCTAACTTGAGCTCAAGCTAACTTGACTCGTGGTCTATCCGAGTTTGAATGGTTCAAGAGAGAAGCTCGGGTCAAGAATATCGATCCGAACTTGATCATGAGGCATGCAGTTCGACCCATCAACTACCAGTAACCAGACAGACTTAAAAATCATTTTCCTATGGGAAACGAGTTTGGTTGTTGCTGCTAATTCTATCCTATCAAATCGCGAATACGGCTTGTAAAAGATTCTTCCACTCTATTACACCAATGAGTGAGAACTGCCCGACGTCAAGAAATCGTAGCGTCATTCAACCGATTCTCCTAGCGCTAGCCCATATAGAGATCTCGAGCTCCACCTTACCTTTCCCATCTTCAAAATGGTTCGCTCATTTTGAATGAAGTACATGTATATGTAGTCATTAATGTATATATACATGTTACAAATATCGAGTATATCACTTCCCAGCGCTGCTCCAGAATTAGAGCTTAAAGATCTCAACGCACCCCTTCCAAACCTTATCAACCAGCCAACAATAATCTGTTTAAACGCTCATGTCAGCTCCCTTCAAACCTCCCCCCAGGGAAAATCTGTTACCTACATCGTCTATTGATGCCTCGAGTTTATAGTAGCGCAGGAACACTCGACAATGAGCTTCACATGTACCGCAAAAGCTCGCGTTATTCGGGGGGTTGCTCAGGCCACCTGTTAACCTATATTTAGTTCAGATCCTGTAGAAGAGGGCGGTTTTCTTCGGTGGCAACCAATAGCTCGAGATTTTGCGGTACTGCTCGACAGGGGTGTGTCACTGACCAGGAGGTCCAAGGATGGGTGAGGCTGAAAAGCCCATACCTGTATTCGGAGTAGGTGAGACATTGGTGTTTTTTGGCTATCACCTGCCTAATCGAGTAATAACTTGGTATTTTATTGCCAGCTCTTTGATGCCAAGATATCTGGATCATCTTCAAGAAATGCCTAATCAAGTAACCAAACTGGTCAACCTTCTAAAACTATTGACTAAATGGGCAACCTTTGGAGACATTCATTTGGTCTCTTACCAAAAACCCAACTTCTAGAAATTCAATAACTTCACAGCCATAAAATATAAAATTAATCCGGCTCTGTCATAATGTAGAGCGGAGGTTAAAGCATTATTTAACAGAGTGAAAATAATTTTAGGTGTTTGGAAAGTCATCATCGCCCAAGGTTGGGGTGTCCACATTAACCATATCATAGGTATATGCACTCTACTTAGACGTTGTTCCCATTCGTCCAAGCAGATAATATTACTCGTGGCGGCTTTCGTTCGTCTAGGCGCAATACAAGAGGACCAGATATGCGAAGGTAAGCAACGCGTTGAGTGCGCCTGAATTTTCCCCTCATGCAAGAGGAATGTTCTCTACACCCTCCCTCCCTCCCATCCCAAGTGCTCTCTACGTATACCTGAGCAGCTCCGGTAGCAATTTATTACAGTTTATTTCCCTCCTAGTCCTGTTCTAGCTATAGGGACATAGCTCCAGTCTATTTTAAAACCACTGCACGACGCGCATACTAGATACCTACATACTTAAAAGATCCAGAAGACACTCGGAATCCCCCCAGACTATAGCTAGTCAGCCCATATAGGCGTGAGACGAAGTATTCTTTCCATTTGCTATAGACCTGGTGAGTGTTATTGCCAAATTCACAGGCCTGATCACATCGATCCTCCTCGCTTAAGCAGTGCACACTTCATGGCAGTATACGTACTATATTCTAACCAGATTCCACTCCGCAGCTTTAACAACTCCAGAGCAGGCCAATTGCTTAAAGTCACTCTCTCATATCGATAATGGTAGAATTAAAGTGCCCTATAGCGCTGGTTACGGTTCTCATCTTCGTAGGGCCAGCCATTGCTGCTTCTCTGGATGGTGATGAGTTTTCCAATAATTTGATCTCGGATTTAGCTCCATTGCTTTCGCTCTTTGGCGAACAGGTCACCAAGCAATTTATGAGCGAGTCGATGGGCTGGGCGGATCATTTTGTGTTTGCAATGGTCCCACTGGGAATAATTACAGCGATAACTGGCGCCATCCGAGTTGGAGGACCTGGATGGCTGAAAGCTATTATAGGAAGGGCTCGGGAGAACATAGCCGCTGCTGAGGTAGAACTGATGTCCTCCACTTCGCACGAGGTCGGTGAGCTCTGGAATGGTCAACAGATTGTGAGGACAATGGGCATACCACCAGTAAAGGATATTCTATTTTTATCGCGGAAAGATTTATGGAAAAACGAATATAGTTTGCTTTCTTCAATTGAGAAAGCTGTTGCCGAGAAACATATCACTGAAATTAATGGGTTTGATCTCCAAGAAGATAACTCATCCGTGACAGCTCGGCAGCGGGCAGGTCGTAAGTGAGATTATAGTATGACCTTTTTGATTCTAGTTGGCTAACCTAGCTGGTGAGCACAGAATCCAGTAATTCGGAGAATCCGGCACAAAAGTCTCGACCGCTACTAGAAAACCTCCCTGCTCCAAACATCAGCCTCAATCTTCACAACCGTGTTAGTAGGACCGAGATTCGAATCGTGGCCGCCATCTCGATAGTTATTCAGGTCGGCATCGTTGTTTACGCTGGGTTTGCTACCTATCACCCGAGGCTTCAATATAAAAAAGGCGATTCCTCTGTTCAAGGCTATGGATTTCCTGTAATGTGTTCGGGAACCATAATCATCTCAATAGGCCTACTCATATGTGCACATGTGATTGAGGATAGCACCACGGAGAGAAGGTACAGAGGAACAGCCGAGGAAGGCATCGAGATTCGCAGTCTATGGTTGCAGAAGGGTGAGCGGGTAGCCGATCAGTCCTTCGAATCCTTCGCGATTTTCTCGAAAGGTATACGGGAAACGATCACGGTTTCTGAGCGGAAAAACGGATGGGGTGATCCGCTGGAGAACAGAAGAAAAGCAACATTAAGCGGTCAGCCAAGGGGGTCGAATTCACATGAGATGTATCCTTTTACTGGTTTTCTCGCAACCGCCGGCACAATGATATCTCTTTGTGGATTCATTCTCCAATTCACCGGTCTCCGTGCTTTACACTGGTCTGTCTCTCTTGCCCAGCTTTGTGGAATGTTAACAATGGCTGGCTTGAGGGCCTTTGTCCGCCGAGGCCTGACCCGGATGCCAGTTGTACAAAGCCTCCCTAAGGGATTTGAACTCGACTGGCTGGCAACAAGAATCCCAGCACTACACTCTAGCTGGCCAAATGATTCGTATTCGAGACCGCCCAAATCCCCGTCACGGTGAGGAAGCAGGAAGCTGTTGACGACCATTTTTGGTCGGAAGGCTTCTGGAGCCCCCCCTGGCACTCGAAAACTCTGCCCGAAAATTACCGAACGTTTGACGAAATAAAGAAAACACGAATGCGACTTTGGGTCCTCACAGAATGGCGTAGCAGTGTGTTTTCGGAAGCTAAAGCTCTTGCGTCTGCCATCGATGTCGTTCTAAACTCTCTCGTGCGCTCTCTCCAGGATTCTCCCCAGGGCTCAATGTCCAGCTGGCCACTACCGATCCAGTCCTTTGGGAATCAGCGGGTCATCATCACCGCTAAACAGAAGGGAGAGGGGAAATGGGGTACGGATATTGACGAGATCGATGCAATATTGTCATTATGGGTGTATGATGCCATGCAAATCACGGAGAAGGGAAATTTGAGTGGAGCTATCACTCGCCCTAAATTTTGGGACAGTGAAGATACTAGCGTGGAAGGCCCAGAGGACAGTGGTATCTGGCTTCTGGGTTCGGATGAAGCTGCCTTGCGTCGAGATTTAAAGTGGTGGTCCGACGATACACTTGTGTCTTCACTAGTCCTCGCACGTGAGGATCGTTCCATACGTTGGGATGGTGGCAAAATCAAGGATTCTAATAGTACAGGGATAACAATTGAACCCCAGCGGATATTGGGCTGTGGGAGCGTGAAAAATCCCCGTCGCCGAGCAACCTTCGTTATCAGCGATATTGAAGATAACCCCCAAAATAAGGTCAGCGGACCAGCAGAGCCCTATATAACGTACATGTACCTACGTTTTGATTACTGACTAAGTACTTTATCTAGGGCGGTTTAGAACACCAGCTAGCTGTAATCTCTAATGCACCACAGGCACTACTCTGTGCACAAAGGATTCTTTCAGAGTTTATGAAAGCAGTTGCGGCGAGATTGTGTTACAGGAACTACGGAAGCACTGTTCTACAGGCTTAGGACAGTGAGAAATACGAGTGACGGGTTGTGATGCAAGGCCGGTCGGGTAACGGAAGGGCAAGCATAGAAAGGTATCGGGTAGTGTGGGGGCACGCGGTGTCACCACGCTAGGCCATAGTATTATGACGGCACGCTTACTGCTGGGTGTCTCACCCAAAATAGAATAGTAAGCGGGGCTTACGGCTGTAGGCTGTTCTACTTAGAGAAGTAGGTCTAGGATAATAGTATGGTACAACCCGATGACTGGCAATTGCAAGGTTCATGGTTACGTGTCGGAATTAGAATGGAGGACGGGGCTATGCGGGGGCGCTTTTCTATCTGGGTTATCTTCGGGAGCGTTATCTTATTCTATTATCGTTGTATCAGTTAGTATTAGAAAGCGGGCCTTGGCATAGGTTCCAACATGTATAAATAGGGCTTGATTCTGCGAAGACTTGAGGGTATCATCAACCATCAAGTCAAGGGAATCCGGTTTACAATATCATCAGTTTAAACGCTACAGAATTATCGCTTAGCACTGGCCATTTCCCCGAAACAGATTGACAAGTCCGATCCAAGGAACATCAACCGTACGTCATGCAGATACTGTGAACTTGAGTGCTGGCAGTTTATCGTGGCAGTCGTTCACTCTACAAAACGCCAAACTTCTCAGATTGGCCCAAGATCTTCAAAAAACTGGAATAGGATCATTGCACGAAGTTTACTCATGTATTATTCCTCCACTTAGTGCTAATGAGCGACTTCCGGACGCAAGTGCAGTAATCGAATTCGCAAGGCAACGATCAGAACAACACGAGTTGCATGACCAGTGGGATTGGTCTGCGGATATCCATATCTGGCTGTTTCGGACGGGAAAATCCTTTACTTCCTCGAACATATTTGCCCGAAAGGCTACTGCGACTATGATGGTATGTTTCAGATCAGCTCTAATAGCGGAACAGATCGCGGTAGACCAGAATTTACGTATGGTAACAGACCGGTCCGCTCCCGGGAGTGCGTCCCGTGCGGTGTCCAAACTCCGTGCAGAGCTCAAAGGCCATGAGTCAGGCAATACCCTCGATGTCTTGGAGCTATTCAAGTTGCAAAGAAAAACGTATAGCCAAGACCATAAAGCAAAACTGGATTGGGCACCCCTGAGCCTGAAGGAGGTGGAATCTAAGGGCGTCGACGGTCAATCTACTGATCATCCCACCCAGCCCACAAAGCCTCACCATGACCGGTGCTTCTTACACTCTCCCTCGGACAGCGACCTATTGTATAATCGTTCCGTGCAATTTACAAAGCTTCATGACCGGTGCTTCTTCCACTCTCCAGATAAGGACCCGGTATATGATCAAATTGAATCAGCGGACATTCTTGGTCTTTCGCCGATCCATTACGCCGCCAGCCCCATCGTAAGTGACGACTACTCGGGAGACAAAACCTATGTCTCGGTCCTGCTTCGAGCCGGCGCAGATGGAAATGTTAAGGACCTGGCGGGATGGACCCCGTTGCATTACAATTGCTTGTGGGGCGGCGAAGCACAATTTGGGGAGCTCATGAGCGAGGGCCTAGATATAGAAACACGTGCAAGGGATGGCATGGCACTCCTCCATTGTGCGGCGATAGGCAATAACCACACTGCAGCCAAGCGCCTCATGGAAGCAGGATTATACACCAAGGTTCTGGATTCGTCTCGAAACACTCCCCTCCACTGGGCCGCTTATTACGGAAACCTTCAGGTCCGAAATGTCCTGCTCCAGGCCGGAGGGGTGAGGGAACGTAATAACGACGGAAGGACACCCGCTCATCTCGCTGCTCTGGGCGGGCATGTCGAAGTTCTCAAAGTCATGCTGGGCGAGGTTAGCTCAATGGAGGATAAGGACAGGTCCGGATGCACGATTCTACACCTCGCTGCTGCAAAAGGTCACACAGAACTGGTCGATTTTCTTGTCAGAACGGAGGAGGTAACGGATAGCAAAGCTGTGGAAGGAGTAACCCCCGGGGATCCGGAGTCAGAATGCAGTGCTCGTAATGATGCAAATGCTGTCTCCACTCGATCGAGATCTAATATCGAGGCAGCGGACGCGAGAGGCTTTCGAGCACTTCATTGGGCTGCCAACACACCTTCTGGAGATTCCATAGGCCGCATTCTCGTATCTCGGCACGCCGACATACATGCGACTGACCTGGGCGGCAGGACCCCGTTGAATATTTGCGTCCTCTCTGGAAATGCGGAACTTGCCCGATATCTGATAGATGAAGGCGCAAAAATTGATCCACGCAGTGAAGCCAACATTCACGCCTTGCATCATGTAGCAAAAACTGGGAATCTACAAATGTTAAAAGCCCTTTTCGAGCTTGAAGGGCGTCTTAGTGTTGATTTATTTCATCTTACAATCAAGACCGGAAATATTGATTCTATTAAATTCCTAATTTCGGAGCATGCTAATATGGCTGCTTTTGGGTCTCAAGGCGCCACGGCATTGCATATCGCAACAGAGACAAAAAAACACCCCGAAACCATTGTCCAACTCCTTGCCGATCATGGGGCAGATTTAAATTCTAAAGATAGATCTGGGCAGCCTGTGGTACATAAGGCAATAAAACTGGGTCAGTACGACTTGGTGAAGTTCTTGATCGAGAGGAAGGTAGATTTGGATGCGCAGGATAAATATGGAAACACTGCTGTGCATGTTGCAGTTCTCAATGAGAATGACAACTACAGGATACTTAAGATTCTTGCCAAGAGCGGTCCCGATGTAACGCTCTGTAATAATTCTGGACGAACCGCACTGCACGAAGCGGCAAGGCTCTTCAAGCCCGATTTAATGCCCATATTAGTTGGCATCAAAGGAGCGGATATCAATATGCAGGATGTAAATGGGAAGACAGCATTGCACTACATAGCATCTTTGAAACAGCGTGGAAGGCTCCACGCCGCAATTACACTTCTCGCTGAGAAGGGGGCCGATTTGAATCTCAGAGATAAATATCACTCAACACCAATTCATACAGCAGCAATGCGCGGAGAAAAAGAGACAGTGTATGCCATGATCGACAAAGGAGCTAATTTGAACGCGAAAGATAACCGTGGACGGACCATCCTCCATATCGCAGCTCGAAACCATGATTGTGAGATGATTGCCTGTCTTGCCGATCTTGGTGCCAAAGTAAATACAAAAGACAATCGTGGAAATAGTGCAATACATTGTACAGTCGCCCATAATCTCGCTGCAGAGACGATTTTGAGATCAGTGGAGGCCTTAACGGACGAAGGTGCGAATATCAATTCGCAGGACTCCTATGGGCGGACTATCCTACACCTCACGCTTATAACCATTCCAAAAGACATCAACGAACTATTGCGCTTTTTCATTACCCAGAGCAAAGCGAATGTTTGGATTAAAGATAAACTTGAGCGTACAATTCTGCATTACTCAAGCCTTAATGTTGAGATCTCCTTGGTCAGGTTCTTCCTAACCCGTGGGCCGGATCTGTTAAACGCCTTGGATGCAAACGGGTATACCGCCCTGCACTTTGCTTGTTTTGAGGGGAAGCCTGATCTTGTTCGTTTCCTCCTTGATAAAGGGGCCGACTTCGGAATAAGGGTTTGCGGTTGGACACCACTGCATCTAGTGATTCTCTCATCCCTTACCGACCATCAGCGAAAGGATTGTGTGGAGATAGCGTATACGCTCATCGAGAGAGGAGTGGACAAGAGCTGTAAAGACCAAGATGGACGTACAGCACTTGACATGGCAGTCATCTTAGAGGCAAAAGACCTGTTACAGGTCTTTCATTCGGACCCAGAAATGCCGAATATCCCTTTGGGAAGCGATGAAGGTGTCAGTGAGATCGCCTTTGAACAGGCCATCGTTGGCGAGAGAGGAGATTCTTTTGAAAACAATGCTGATGTCGATGCTATCGACGACGAAGATGTCGACGAGAGCATTGATGGGGATGACGGTGAAAGCAGTAATGGAGATGCTTATGATGGCAACAATGAAGATGTTTGGGGAAATAGCCAGTGCTAAGCAATAATTCTGTAGCGTTTAAACTGATGATATTGTAAACCGGATTCCCTTGACTTTGATGGTTGATGATACCCTCAAGTCTTCGCAGAATCAAGCCCTATTTATACACGTTGGAACCTATGCCAAGGCCCGCTTTCTAATACTAACTGACACAACGATAATAGAATAAGATAATACTCCCGAAGATAACCCAGATAGAAAAGCGCCCCCGAATAGTTCCGTTCTCCATTCTAATTCCGACACGCAACCATGAACCTTGCAATTGCCAGTCATCGGGCTGTACTATACTATTATCCTAGACCTACTTCTCTAAGTAGAACAGCCTACAGCCGTAAGCCCCGCTTCCTATTCTATTCCGGGTGAGACACCCAATAGTAAGCGTGCCGTCATAACAGTATAGTACTAGTGTGGTAACACCGCATGCCCCCACATTACCCGATACCTTTCTATGCTTGTCCTTCCGTTACCCGACCGTCCTCGCATCACAATCCGTCACTCGTATTCCTCACTGTCTTAAGTATTTAGAACGGTGTTCCGTAGTTCCTGTAACACTACTCCCCCTTCCTAGACGTCGCCCTCGACCGTTAAAACCCTTCTATGATAAAAACCCTGTGGGAAAAGTCATAGAGTAGGGAAAGGTATCGAGCTTAGTCTCGTCTGTTCCGTTGTCGTTTATGAGCCCGGTCATTATCGATCGCTGGGCCTTGACTTCGCGTATGGGGTCGTATGTTCGAGGTTGGCTGGAAGTTCTCGTCTGCCAATGCCTCCTGTGGCTCGGGTGTTGCTAGTCGCTTTCGTGCGTTCTGTTTTCTGTTGGGGTCTGGGTCCTCACGATAGGGTCGCAGCAACATCTCGTGAAAGACGTCATGAACCTTCCATTCTACCGGAAGCTCAAGGCGGTAAGCCCGATTGCCCACCACTGCCGACACTGTGAATGGTCCCGTGAACTTGTCTGACCACTTGGAGTACCCTCCAAGGTTCCGAGTATCCAGCAAGACTTTCTGGCCGATAGTGAACCGCTGTGCTGCTGGTCCGGGCTTTGACGCCATTCTGTCGAAAGTTTTCTGTAGCGTATCTCTCGCTAACTCGTGAGCCGTGATGATCTCGTCCAAGTAGTTGTTTCCGTTGGCGTCTAATCGTTCGATCTCTGCATCCGTAGGCCAGTCTGTTCGGGGGTGGAAGCCATAGTTGCAGTAGAACGGTGATTGTCCGGTCGACGTATGCTTCGCGTTGTTGTAGGCGTATTCGCAGATAGGTAACAGGTCCTTCCATTTCTTGCCTGTTCCTGCCGTATATGCCCGAATATAACCTTCCATGTGTTGGTTGGTTCGTTCCGTCTGGCCGTCGGTTTGCGGGTGGAATGAAGTAGAGAGTCTCCTACGAACCCCCAATCTTTCCGTGATTGCCGTCCAAAATGCTGACACGAACTGTGTTCCTCTATCAGAGACGATGCTCCTAGGAAGTCCGTGGAAACGCCAGATGTCTTTGACAAATGCGTTAGCGGTCTGTTCCGCGTTGATCCCCGTCATTGGAATGAAGTGAGCCATCTTCGTAAAACGGTCCACGACTACCAATACGTTACGGAATCCTGATTTCTCCTTGGGCATTTCTACTACGAAATCCATTGAGATATCAGTCCAAGGTGTGGTGGCTAACTCTAGGGGTTGAGGGAGTGACAAGTGTCTCCGACGTTGCTTGGCTCTCTGGCATACATCGCAAGTCATGACGAAGTTGGCTACATCCGTGGACATCCCTGGCCACCAGTAGTTCCTATCAATCAACTCGAGGGTTTTATCCCTTCCTAGGTGCCCCGCTACGGGTCGATCATGATGTTCCTTAATGACCTGCTTGACCGCGTAGCCCGGTACTACCCATCGACCATCGTGGGTGGGGTCATTCGAATCGGGACTCCATTCAGCGGCAGGCTCTATCTTTACGATAGCGGCCTCCGGCGGTCCGAAGATCTCAAGGTCTGAATCAGGGAGGTGTTCATCCGGAACCATCCTCCGAACCCATCGTCTTTCCTGTTCATACCAACCCTGTAGTGGCTGAGGCAGCTCTACGCTCGGTATGTTGTACCACTGATCCAACTGATTCCATTCCTCTTCGGGGTTGCCAATCACTTCGGACCCAGTTTCTACGCTGGTCCGTGATTTTCTGACAAACTGTTCTGCGCTGAGTAGCTGTTTTACGGGCTGCTCACGCATTACTCCCCCTTCCATTGCGAACTCCGGACGCCTTGTAAGTGCATCTGGCTTGCCGTTCTTTTCGCCTGGTCGGTAATGGATCTTGAAGCGAAAAGGTGCTATCTTCTCGGCCCATCTGGCTTGTCTTCTCGACAACTTCTTGGTCGTTGTGAAATACTGCAGGTTTTGGTGATCCGAATGTATCTGGATAGGGATGTCCGTCCCTTCCAGCCAATGTCTCCAAGTTAAGAGGGCAGAAACTATTGCGAGCATCTCCTTGTCGTAGATCTCATAGTTGACCTCTGCCTCGTTGAACTTGCGAGAGTGGTAAGCTACCGGATGTAGGATACCGTCCTCGAACACCTGGGAGAGTACTGCGGCCTCGGCCCAGTCACTCGCATCAGTCTCCACGATTGCTTCGCGGTGTTCGTCATAGTGTCGGAGTATTGGAGCAGACGTAAATCTCCTCTTGAGCTCGTCGAACGCGTCCTGCTGTTCCCTGCCCCATTTCCATACGGAACCTTTCTTCAGGAGATCGGTCATGGGTCTGCAAACCTCAGAGTATCGGTGGATGAACCGTCTTAGGAAATTGGCGAAACCGAGGAAGCATTGAAGTTCCTTGACCTTGGTTGGGGCTAACCAACCTTCGATCGCCTGGACTTTCTTTGGTGATACTTGGTTCCCCTTTCCTGATAGTATAAATCCCAGGAATTCTACCTCCTGTTGATACCATTCCGTTTTCTCGAGGTTTCCGTATAGATGGTGTCGTCGCAGTCGCTCCAAAACTTCTCGTACAAGAGTCGTATGCTCTTCTCTAGTCTTTGAATACATTAAGATGTCATCCAGGTAGACTACTACGCCTTGATCTAGAAGATCCTTGAATATGGTATTGACCATGACCTGAAACGACGCAGGAGCATTGGTCAAGCCAAAAGGCATTACTCTATATTCGAAGAGGCCGTATTTCGTTCGGAAAGCGGTTTTCCATTCTTCGCCCTTAGCAATCCTAATCAGATTATAGCCATTTTTCAGGTCTATCTTCGTGAAGTAGAGTGCTCCTTTCGTTGCGTCGGCCAGCTCGTTCATGAGTGGCAGTGGATAACGGTTCTTGATTGTGATTCCATTCAAACCACGAAAGTCGACACATAACCGAAGCTTACCATTAGCTTTCGGAACGAACAGGACGGGTGCCGCTGCGGGACTAGTGGAGGGGACTACTTTGCCGGAGGGCAAGTTTTCGTCCAAATATTCCCGAAGTGCCTTGTCTTCAGGTGGGGAGAGCGAATAGATTGGTCCCCACGGCGGCTGCTTTCCTTCCATAAGAGGAATGGTATGATCCCATTCAGAGTGGTCAGGTAGTCGAGCGGCTCCTTCCTTGGAGAACACGTCGGCATTTTCCTGAAACTCCACCGGTATAGCACTAACGAGAGCCTCGTTTACCGATGCTCTTGCCCAAAAGGGGTGTTGCTCGATCGTTATCTGCTTCTTGGGTGACGCCCTCAACAGCCTGATGACCAGCTCTTCTGGGTCTTGATCGTATATGTCTTCGACTGATACGAAGCATCCATTGACTATACAGTTGTTGCTATGGAAGCTAACACTGTTGCGTCCCCAATGGATGGTTGGTTGATGCTCCTTGAGCCATCGATGTGGTATGACGAGGTCCTCTCCTGCAAACGAGCCAACCTCACAGGTGATAGCCCTGTCCAGATGGTTGCCGATGCCGAGGGTAAGGGGTTGAGTGATGTGGGTGCCGGAATTGGGCATAGGGGTGCCATCGGCTTGTCTGATGATGAGAGGCTTTGGTCGAGGTTGGGTGGGTATTTTCGCGCGGTGGATACAGTCCCAAGACATGATCCAGTCTTCTGTGCCACTGTCCAAGAGTGCGTTGACTGTTGCGACATGTTTGGTACTAGTTGCGGGGTGATCCCAAGAGATCTCGATCTCGAGGCGGGTTTCTTGTGTATTGGAAGACATGTTTATATGTTGGTTTGGTAAAAGGTTTGTATTGGTTTTGGGTGTGAGTTTTCGATGATTTTTCTTCGTTGAGCGCGGGGTGAGGGGGTTTATATAGAGAGTTCGAGTGTTTGATGAAGATCATGGTACAACACTTACGCACCAGGCGTTTCGGGGTGTAACCCCATCCTCAGAGTGTGTGTAAAGAGAATTGAATTTCCGCGCGTGTAGCAAAACAAAAAAAAAAAAATCCCGTAGCCAACCGATAAGAATAACCGTAATACCTAAAAACCTTGTTTCCAAATAACCAAAAGAAAGAAACCGTAACGCAGTATAAAACACCGAAAAATAGAAATACCCAATCAATTTTGATCCTCCAAAGTTGTAATCCTTGCCCTAAATGCCTCATTCTGGGGGCCCAATTTCCGCTTCTTTTCACCCTCCCTTCCGTGGTCCTTTCCTCCGGAAGGATACTGTTTCCTCTTCAGGTTGGTTAACCTGACCTTACTCGTCGCCACGCAATCTTTCGCGAAGTGGTTATCTCTACCACAACGGAAACATTTTCCTTCCTTTTGCCACTTCTCCTTCTCGTCCTTGGTGACACCTAAGTCATCCGAGGCCTTGGAGTTGTGCGCTGTTGCGGAGGAAGTTCTCCGAGGTGCGGGGTTGCGTGATTTTCGCCGTTCCGACTTCTCCTCGCGAGGTTTCACGACATCCTTGCCACGTAGGATTTCTTTCCGGGCCCTCACCTCGTGATCCTTACGTCCGATCTTCCTAACCCAGGCTAGCCATTCCGCGAAATCTTCTGGTTCTTCGATCGCATTCGAGAGGCGTTGTTCCAGCGAGGAGTTTATTCCTGTTAGGATCATGGATTTCATTACGATGGGTCCGACCTTCGCGTCCCATTCCAGATTCTGCATCTCATTGATGTAGTCATCGATCATGCCAGTTTGACGGAGCTTATCCATCTTCTGTTTGGCTTGTTCTTGACTTGTTCGATTGCCGTACTGAATCCGTAATTCGTTTTTGAAATTCTCCCATGTTCCGATGCTGGGGTCTACCGATAGTCGCTCCACGAAGTTTCGCCAAAATTTTGCCGCACTCCCGGTAAGTTCCAGGGATGCCCACAGGATCTTGGTCTGGTCGTCCCACCTGACCTTCCTCTGAAGTTCCATTAAGACTTCCATTTGGTCGATCCAGTGTCGTACGTCTTCGTCGGCTTTCCCGGAGAAGGGGATCTTTGCCTGTTTCGGCGTATCACCCAGGGTGGCGCGAGGGGGGTGCGTGAGTTCTATCTCTTGCTGCCTATTACGGCGCCTCCGCTCCTCCCGTCTTCTTTGCCTTCGTTCGCGTGCTCGACGATCGTTCTCTGAATCGGAGGAGCTGGATGAGTCTGAGGGGGATGGATCTCGTGGTCTTGCGCGGTTTCCGCCGTTGCCGTTATTGCCATTGCCTCCCCTGCCTCCCTGTTCACTCCGTTGGCTTTCTCTTGCCTCAGAGCGAGGGGGTATGGGGGGCTGGCTCCCTGATCCTTCCGGCCTCTCTCCGGAATTGCTAGGGGGGTTCTGAGGGGGTTGGGGGGGTGCTACACCTCCGCCTCCTGAGCCTTCGGGGGCTGCTGCCGTTCTATTGGCTGCTACCCGCATCTGCTCAATTATTTCCTCCAGGTTCTTCTTCGTGCCTGCGAACTGGTCTTCCATCGCAGCTTGTCTGTCTCGTTCCATCCTTTCGAGGGCAGCCATAACCTCCGCGGGTATCTGCACAGGGCCATCTTTCGGGAGTTGTTGAACGAAGTTGGTCAGCGCATTTATGTGCTGATCCTGTCGCTCCTGCCTTTCCTGATGCGCCCTAGTAGCTTCCACGATCTGCCCAAGGACTTGGCCCAGGTTGCTGGTAGCGGCGGTGGATTCCGCTCGTAGCTGAGCCATGACCTGGTTGAGCTGACTGTCGCGTTCGGCTCTGTCCCCAGCGAACTTGGCGTGGAGGTCCTCGACGATCTTGTTGGTATACTCCTGCTGCTGCCGGGTGAGTTCCCTGAGTATGGGGATATCCCGCACGTGCATGCTGAGTTCCTCGATCCCGCGGCTGAGCTGCTGGACCACTGGGGCCCCTTGCCGCTGGACTTCTTGCCCAATGAGATCGCCGAAAGGATTCTCTACCCGTCGTTCCTCTACGTCCATGTTGGTGTCCTCGTCGTCGTCCATTACCCGAGGCACCGAGGGCCTCTGAGTAGAGGATCTCTCTCTGATTGGGGTGGCGTATGGGGAGAACTCCCGGTGGTCTACCTGCCGCCTCCTCGCCTGCCCATAGGATTCTTCCTGCCTCGTCGATGTGAAGAGGGAGCCTATCGGCACATCTCTCTCTTTCCTGTGGCGCCTCTTCGCCTGAGTTTCTAATATACCTCGATCTCTCAAGGCGATTGAACTCTCCATGTTGTAGTCTTCCTCCGACCGTTGCTGATGAGCCCTTGACATTGCTAAGTTGCTCGAGTTTGAGCTGTGGATGCCTTCTGCACCAGGGTTGGGCAATGAACCAGGGGGCTGGATGAGCAAGTCCGAAAGATCGTTGGGAGAGAGTGATCTTGATCGGGAAGAGTTCTGGGTAGTTGAGGATTTCGGGGTCGTGTTCCTCGAAAGTAGCGGTAGTTCCTGCTTCTGCGAAGAAACCTGTGTAGTGGAGGTATCCGCAGTATAGATGTTCGGCGCTTCCTCTTCGAACGATAAAGGATGTAGCGCAAAGGTAGTTGTTGATGGCTGCTGTTGCCACTCGGGGTGCATATAGTACCTTGGTCTTTTCTAATAGACTAAGCGCTTATTCTTCTACTGAGAGCACGGTGACTATCCGCCACTAAGCAAAATACTCAGAGTATTGGTTTAAGCGAGTAGTTGTCTTATCGAGACTTTGGTAGTGTATGCGATAGGTAAGAGTAAAAGTTAGGGATAAGGTACAATATAGTGTTTGGGGAAATAGCCAGTGCTAAGCAATAATTCTGTAGCGTTTAAACTGATGATATTGTAAACCGGATTCCCTTGACTTTGATGGTTGATGATACCCTCAAGTCTTCGCAGAATCAAGCCCTATTTATACACGTTGGAACCTATGCCAAGGCCCGCTTTCTAATACTAACTGACACAACGATAATAGAATAAGATAATACTCCCGAAGATAACCCAGATAGAAAAGCGCCCCCGCATAGTTCCGTTCTCCATTCTAATTCCGACACGCAACCATGAACCTTGCAATTGCCAGTCATCGGGCTGTACTATACTATTATCCTAGACCTACTTCTCTAAGTAGAACAGCCTACAGCCGTAAGCCCCGCTTCCTATTCTATTCCGGGTGAGACACCCAATAGTAAGCGTGCCGTCATAACAGTATAGTACTAGTGTGGTAACACCGCATGCCCCCACATTACCCGATACCTTTCTATGCTTGTCCTTCCGTTACCCGACCGTCCTCGCATCACAATCCGTCACTCGTATTCCTCACTGTCTTAAGTATTTAGAACGGTGTTCCGTAGTTCCTGTAACAGAAGATGTCTATGAGAACAGTAATGCGGGTACTTCCCATGAGAGCAGCGATGAAGATTCTGGTGAGAACATCAACCAGAATATCGGTGCTCCCGCCCATGCAGATGACGGTGCTCTCTCTGATGAAGACGCCGATGAAGACGCCGATGAAGACGCAGATGAAGACGCGGATGAAGACGGCGATGAAATCGCCGATGACAGCGCCGATCAAGATGTCCGTGAGAGCACCGATGAACAGCTCGTCGTCGTCGTTGATAGGCGGGGTGATGAAAGTGTTAGTGAGAGTAGAGATGAACATAAGATGATTATTGGGGAAAATAATACTTTGGAAAGAGATGAGGTTGTGAGTGACAGCGCCGATAAAAAGTTCGCCATAGCTGTGGAAGATAAGAAGAAGCTTCTAGAAGCCGCGAATGGGATCCTTGCTCATATACGTGAATATAGGAATGAGGAAGATATCGATGATGTATAACTCTGGCAATAACTAGTGCCGGACTTGGCAATTCCATCTATGTTTTTATATTTGTATCTAGAGTGGTGTATTTAGCGGAACGTTCTTACCTATGTAAATACTTAACTTAGATTGAAGAAATTGTCTCGTCTCGTTATTTTCTTTGCTTTCACCGAGGGATATTTGCATCCAATATGGGTGATCCTTCTTTCTATTAGATTCGGCGATCTAAAGTGGATGTAAGATTACTCCCATACTAAAACCGCCCTACCCCGACATGGCTGAATTCATGAAGTAGTTGGACCTTCCCAAACATATCCTCCAGCCAAATGTAACTCACTTAGCCGTCATCATGAATCGTGTTATGATGAACCTTCTAGCCCATCGAGAAGAACACAAAATTTAGTAATACTCGTAGTGACATTCCGAGGATATACATGCAGAGCTGAATAGCCCCTAGACTAAAGCCTGCATAGATGAGCCTACGATATCTGTATTATATGTAGACCCCCGATATCTTCTTGACATTACAAATATTTGCCCATGATAAGTAGGAAACCCAGCCCGATCTGTGCTCGCCTGTTTTTTTTCTTATCGGAGTTTCATATACATCTATAGAGGGTATACATACAAGTAGCTGCCGAATGCAATATTTTATACATGTCGATCCAGAGATTTATCTACAAAGCTAGATAGCCGGGGAGCAAAGATGGTGAAAAGCGGTCAACAAACAAACAAATAGACGCGTACAGCTCTGAGAATCAGACAAGTGGGGTTATAATTCCCAGCACTTTGGTGAACTGAAGTTGTTGCGATCCTCGCAACTGAAAATTACAATTCTCTTAGGCTCCAAGACTAGGTACAACATTTTTTCAATACGGTCTTGGAACTTGCAGACTGGCTGTTGAATACCTCCCCCCCCCCCCCCCCCCACACACACACACACACAAACACCCCGACTCCTTGCTCTCCACCTCACCATAGGAAGTAAAATTCTCATCATAAAATATCACTCGCTATATTTCCGACTCATATCTCATCACTCGCAAAATGGCCGAGTGACATTCTGTGACCACAACCCCTGACGATTTATTCAATGATTCGGGGTGAAGGGACAGGATTCAAGAGCATACAGATGAATTCAACGCCTAACGAGTATTGGCGTGTGCCTCTGGTCATTTTCGAAAATGATAGAAGCCGTCAGGCCCCGGGTGTGAGTACCAGCACCGGACACAATGGCATCCAACACCGCGATAGTCAGGCTGGTTTCTGCTACTAGACTGATCTGGCCTCTCCTTACATGTACCTCTATGTACGCCTACACAGCAACACCTTCATCACTCGGCGCACCTATCCTCGAGATGATTCAGCACCGAGCAGGCACTGGCCCCTTATGCTCCGAGTCGCGGACGACCACTACAGCGGGCGCCGACAAGTACTACACTCTACCCTCCTGAGCTGAAAGCACACCCCACCCACCTGACACCAATAATCCTCCACCCCAAGCCAGCCAATAACAACGCCGTGACACTACCCTATCGATACGGTTTAAGTAGTTTCATGTAGTATGCCTGCACAGTCGCAACCAGCCACACCAGCCACCAAGCCTCGCGCCACACGGCCACGCCACGCCGCAGGGACCAGTCATCACGTGACTCCTATCCAACCACATCCACATGCACATACATCCAACATCTACATATTGGCCCTCCGAATACCTCTCCTGCCCAGAATACACTCTCTATGTATCTACTACGCCTATCTGCACTACTCCTGCGACAGAACCCTCCAATACCCACGAAATCCAAAAACACAGGGTTAGGGTTGACTCCGTGGACGACAGACACTGCATATCATGTCGCAGCAAAGAGAAACGGCGTTCCGGGCGGGAGCTGGGGTGTATAGTGGGGGCTTTGTGCTAAGATGCGTCTTTGGTGATGTGAGGGGACGCACGGCGGGGCGTGGATCATGGGGTATTGGATTTTTTTGGTGTGGTAATCGAATCGGTCAATAGATCTTTTTACTCGGTGTTTATATCTGGAGCTCCACGTTTCGGGCAGTGTTGTGGTGTAGTAAGTGTCCATAAAGAGCACTGTCCTACGGAGGATGGTCACCGCCATGCTTAGAAAAACATAGGAATACTAGAACCAACTGCCTTCATGTATTGAGAAAATGATGAGCGATGAAGAAGAAAAAAAAGACAAGGTAAAATAAAAAAATGCCATAACGCAAGGTATATGTAGGACAGCATATCAGCAGAGCCTGATTTCATATATATAACGGGTGTATCATTAGCCAGGTCAAAGGCGAGAAGAGAGCGGAGAAGAAAGACAGGCTCCCCCACCTAAATAATTCATTCGATTAGAAATCACCAAAAACTCTATTCTGATTGGAAAACCGATTTAACGGGAACAACTGAGAAAAGCGAAACACATGTGGCAGGGCTTAGGGTGCGGTAACAAACCGTCACCCGCACACACCCACAATCCCTATTGCTGCCCTGCCAGCCTGTGGTGGTGCCCGCCTATAAAAAGGGGGGTCTGTTTTTGTATTTAGAAGAATAAGCAAGTTTACCTAGACGGATTCCGCATACAATTAGTCATCTACTCACTCCAGCTTCCACCTCCGCCCCCGCCCCGCCCCGGCCTCACCTTCACCCACAACCCTGACTCCTAACACCCCCCCACCCGGGCTATTCCCACGCCCCTAACGGCTCTACGCAACCCATCGCTCTACCCTCCGCCCCCATGAATGCAAGGATTGAAGCAACTCAAAGTCGAGGGTTAGGTTGGCTTCGTGGATGGAAATGTGAAGCTGTAGAGAGGGCAGGGCGTTCCGGTCGGGTGTGAGGTGTGCGAATGTGATTTCTGGGTTGCTCTAGGTTTGGCTATGGGGCGGGCATGGATGCTGATTCGAGGCTGAGTGAAGGCTGAGTGGTGCGGTAGGTGGCCCTGTGGTTGGATTTATGGTGATGTCCGCGTGTGACCATGATGGAACGGGAAGTCACAATGATCGCTCTTGCGGTAATCGAGATTTGTACGAACGAGTAAGGGCCGAATCTGTGCTCTCACATTTACATGTATCTCCAATCGGTCACTAGGCAGGAAATTGGGGGTAGTCTTACTACAGGATCCGCTCGTATCCGGTCGTGTATTGGGAATAGGTCTTTAGACTACTTCTTGCTGTAATAGTTGGTGGTGTTGTGGTGGGAGGTTTGGAACTATTATTGGTATTGTCAAGATAGACCCAGTTATGTATGGGCTTGTACTGACTTGTTTGGTATGATCGCTGGCATGTCATATGGTATAGATAAAAAGTTTAATAAGAAGAGTACTCTGGCTTACAGTCTTTTACCAACACAAAAAAAGGAAATGCGGAAATAGAGGGAATAACATCAAGCAAGGCAAGGAAACAGTAGATATATACTATGTCCAATCCAAATCCATCCTAAGCCCCCCCCCCCCCCCCAATCCCTCTGAGTGCGTTCGGAGATAAATGCATTTGCGGTGAAGGAAAACAAGGATGGTATGGATGATGAAAGAAGAAGATACCATTTGAAATCAAACTATAAGCAGTGTGTGACGGTTTTAGTATGAGTGATATCATGTTGAGTAGTCAGAAGAGGACAGAGTGTATAGATATAGTAGAAAGTAAATCTTGTAACTCAGTCGAAGGTATGGAAAGAGATAAGAATATTGAACCATTACTCCACTATAAAGTTGATAAGAGACTTTTGGCATACAATCAGCTTGATAATGCCAACATGTCCAGAGAATAGCGCCCCCCCTAAAATAGTTAAACGTTTTCTATATGGTTTTTCATCGCCTGATACTGCGTTCACGTCGGCCCCGCGGTCTAGCAGAAGCTTAACAATGTCCATCTCGCCGGACCTAACAGCCAGATGCAAAAGGGTTGCTCCATTTACCGGCGTATTGACGTTGACGCCCCTGTCCCAATTCAGTAGTCGGCGGACGATATCGATATTTCCGTTCTGCACAGCCGCATGCAGCGCATTGTGTATGGAATATCGGTGATTCGGGAGCAGTAACGTCTCGATCATCTCCAGATCTCCATCCCCCGCAGCCGCTTGTAGTGCTACTTCACCATGCTCCTTCCCCAAGGTTGGATCAGCCCCGTAGCTTAACAATAGCTTGAAAATATGGATATGACCCCTCTCCACAGCCTGTGTCAAAATTGATGATTCGAGTAGATCTTCCACGCGAATAGTATTATTGCGTTTCACAATTTCCCATACAAGCTGAACTAGATCTGCTTGGCCAGTCCAGCAGGCAGTCTCCAGGATCCTTCTCAACCTCCAATTATACCCATCGGCCTCGAATGCGGAGTCAGGGGCGTTCTGCAAGATGAACCTGACAGTATCAAAATGGCCTTCTTTGGCCGCCGCTTCCATCATATATTGTACGGTCAACAAACTGTAATCGCATTTTGTTTCACACAGGAGCTTAACAAGCTCGATACGTCCGCTCGAAGCTGCCAAACTCAAGGCATCTATCCACTCGTTGTTGGGCGGGGGGCAATCCGCACCATAACCCAGCAAGAACCTTACAACATCAATGTGACCGCCACCGGCAGCAGAGTATAAGGGTGACTGTCCTGGATAATTTCCATTGACGTTGGCACCGTAGTCCAAGAGAAGCTTGACAAGATCAAGGTGGCCAGCTTTCGCCGCATCTGCAAGGGGATTTCCTTGATGAAATATGTCGGCATCTGCACGCCTCTCCAATAACATCTTTGCAATTGTAGTACTCCCAATCTTGACAGCTGCTTCCAAGGCAGTCATACCGTCCTTATCCGCCCCTCGTGCGCCCACGTCAGCCTGGTGATTTAGGAGAAGCCTAACAACCTTGACGTGTCCACCCTCGGCTGCAGCTTGTAGAGCAGTTCCACTCTGGTAGTTGTTGGCCCTCGATTCCACATGTGCCTTATTATCCAAGAGTAGAATGCAAATATCGAGGTGCCCAGCTCCTGCCGCCGCTTGTAGGGGCGTTGAAGTATAATCACTTCCATAATATCTGATATCGCTGCCATCAAGGCCAACTTCTGCCCCATTAGTCAAGAGAAGTCTCACATAATCGATGAGCCCTTCCCTGGCCGCCCGCACAAGCATAAAATGGCTCGCTCTGGTTAATTTTGTAGTTGCTGGCGGTACCAAGAGCTGAAGGATCTCGAGGTTTTTCTTTTTATTTGCTCGGCAGGCTGCGTTAAGCCTATATTCGAAATCAGGCCCAGGGCTCATCTGTAATATAGTTCTAATCATGTCGGCACGTCCAGCAGAAGCAGATGGCTCAAGTAACCCGGAGAAAAAACGGCGTATATCGTTGGGGGTTCCACCAAAGTCCTCGTCACCCACCAAAAGCTTCAAAACCTCAAGATGTCCACCGCGCTCTGCCGCACCGGCCGCTTGTTGGATTCGGTTCTGTATTATGATCTTGTCATTGACGTAGGCGAGCTTGACCTTGTCTAATAAAAACTTTATAATGTTGATATGTCCGATGCCAGCTGCAGGTTCCAAAGAATCTTCGTCTCCATTTCTAAACAACAACTTAACAATATCAAAATTTCCCCCTTGAACCGCTGCTTTCAATGCACTTCGAGAAGAATCCGGATACGTGGACAATTCCGGTACGCTAACCAGTGCTCCATTTTCCAGTAGGATTTTGACAGCTTCGAGATGTCCACCCCCGGCAGCCGCTTCCAAGGCTGTACACCCACCCCCTCCCCTTGCTGGCGCGTTCACGGAGGCGCTTTTCTCCAATAAAAGTTCGACAATCTCGACATGTCCATTCTCAGCAGCCAGTTGCAAAGCTGTCCGTCCGCCCTTGTTTTCTGCTCCTAAAGCATTCACATCGGCATTATGACTCAAGAGGAGCTTGACGATTTCCATGTGTCCCCCACAAGCCGCCGCTTGTAAGGCTGTCCGACCATGGATGGGTGCCGCCTTTGTGTTGACATCGGCGCCATGGTCCAATAAGAGCTTCACAACGTCGATATGTCCGCCTCCAGCGGCTCCTTGAAGGGCTCTTCGCCCCCTGTCCTTTGATGCTCCGGCATTAACGTTCGCTTTCTTCTCCAGAAGAAGCTTGACAATTTCCATATGACCACATTCGGCAGCTGCTTGTAGCGCTGTTCGTCCATTCTTGTCTCCCGCTTTTGCGTTGACATTGGCGTTTCTTCCCAATAAATACTTGACAATCTCGATGTCTCCACCTTCCGCTGCCAATTGCAATAGGGTCCTACCTCCGACATAATATTCTGCGGTGGTGTTGACGTTGGTTTCGTCATCCAAAAGCAACGTGATAATACCAAGGTTTCCTGCGCTGATTGCCTCCTGTAACGCAGCACGGTGTTTTCTACCATTCTTCGAAAAGTTGCCGTTCTTAAAGTTCATCGCTAAGATACTTCGCACCATGTTCGCTTTTCCTGACCTCACGGCCAACAGGAGTGCGCTTTGGGTGTCACTCACATGATTCAGGATTAGCTCAACCATATCATCATTATCTGTGGCTAAATTGAGCGCCCAATATAGCAAGGAGCTTTTTCCGGCACAAGCTCCCAAGTATAGCGTACTTTTCAAAAGTAGCTCGACAGTATCGAGGATCTCGGATTCCACTGCTTGCTGAAGTAATGTTTTCTTGAATTCGCTATCCACTAATTCAGGGCAATCCGGAGACTCCAGAAGTCTAGAAAGAGCCTTGTTAGTCCGCCCCGTCACAGCCAGCATAACTAGATCCAGAATCTTTTGTTCTCCCGACTTAGGCAAGAAGCGACTGATGTTTTCTTTACCACATTGTCTCATGAGAATATTCTCCTCACCAAAGTCCAGCTCTACCCCGAGTTGCAAAAATTCCTTCTTGCATGTCTCAACTTGGTCGCTTGTGTACTGAAGCCCTGCAAGCCATGAGCTTTGTAAAGCATCGGCGGCTGTCGGCCGAGTTCGAAGGTGAAGAGCTCATAAACCAAACAGCCTAACGACCAGATATCTAGAGCATGCGGAATCAAGCCTTGAGCTTTAAACTCTCGCTGGTTAAATCCAAGAATCTCGGGAGCAAGATAACCATGAGTACCGGCTTCTGTTCGTATAGAGGTATTTTTTGCCTGTTTCGATACACCAAAATCGGCTATCTTGACCCAGACCGGATCGAAAGAGGCTATTAGGATATTCTGAGGTAGTAAAGCTTTCTGTTAGTGGATTTAAGTAGAGAGGGGTCATGGAGCAAACCTGGGGCTTTAGATCACGGTGGTATATCCTCTTACTGTGGAGCACCTCAAGGCCCTCCAAAATCTGCCTAGTGATCTCTTTCACTTCCATCAGTGACCTCAGGGCACTTGCACCTTGCCTAGATCTCTGAACGTATTGGCTCAAATCACCATGTTCAACGTATTCCATCACAATGAACGTGTTATCCACATCTTCGTACCAACCGTGGAATTTTACAAAAAGGTGGTCAAACTGATACCTCAGTACCTCAACGAGCCACGCTTGGAGTATGGAGAAACCTACCTGCTTAAGTTTAAGAAATGCAAGCAACTCCTGCGATAGAGTCGCCTCTTGCGAGAGGTTTCGCGGCACACTTTTCACAGCTCTCAATTGTGCTACCCCCTTCTTACCCCTTCTTGAAGATAGTCCACCTTTTCCTGTAACCAGACGATTCCAAAGCTTCCGCGCCCAATAACTTTCTTTTTCTCCCATTTTGACGTTTTCCACGACTTTGTGGAACTTCCCTTGTCCCATGTGCCCACCCGCTGTATTACACAGTCACTCTGAAACTCGGTTTCTATCTTCAGTTCGTCCAACCGTTGGTTTAAGGCCAGGTTTTTAACTTCTTTGCTTGGGTGTGGTGCAGGCCTGAGTTGAATATCCTTGCTCGGGCCCTGAGGGCTACTAATGATCGATAAAGGTTCGGGATCTAGTTGATTTGGATCCATTATAATGAGGCCATTTTTGATGGGATTATGCGGTGAGAGTGGGTCTACATTGTGGTCCTGATGCCCTATTGTGGAGGCGTCGAAGGTTTGTTCCTCTAGTGAGGGGGACTTGTTGTCTTCCGGCAATGACTCTGTCACAATTTGTAGAGGTGGTTGTAGTGCGTCGTTAACATCCACGGCGTGCGGTGGTTGGGTTCTCACTTCTCCAAGGTCCACCTTGGTTGGTGTATGCTTGCTTCCCTCGCTTCCTCCTTCGCTTTCGATTCCTTTAATACCATCAATGTTCTGCTGGCCTGAAGAGGACGGTGACTCCTCTGCAAAGTCGCGGGTCGCTATATCGTGATCTTCTGCTTGATGAGCTGCTTCGGGACTGGCAACTTGTGAGGTGTGATGAGTTGTTGACTCGCTCAGAGAAACCAGCGTTGTTTCATCGGTGGAGGTCGCGCGCTCTCGTTCTTGACTACATGCTCTAGTCGGTTCAATTGTCGCCTCGACGTCTGAATGCTCGGGAAGGCTCGATCCACTCTCTTGTGGGGGGGTTGATGACGCCGGGAGAAGCCCTCTGCTTGGATCCCCGAGTTCATTTTTTTTTGCTTGTGGGCGAGGGTTAAAGAGGCGCCGAAACCACCACTGTGAGGCGCTCTCGGGCATCGAGTACGGTATGCTTTTACTACCCTTCAGGTTTCCGGTCCCTTTATCTTTCGCTATCTGCGCGTGCTGGTTTCTGTACTAGTCTATCTTTCACAGAGATTATTGTCAGCTGGAGATTTGAATGCAAGATAAGAGGGATTTTGGTTGATAACTGCGGCCGCCGGAGGGAAAGATGAGAGTTTAAAACTCTTGTTGGAGCGTAGAAGTGTTTCTTGGAGATGGAGGTATCAAGGGGGGCTAAAAGAGGTTTTGATGATATCCTTTCTGTTTGAAGATCTAGGGAGAGGGGGAGCAGTGATTCTCGCATGCCTTGTAGATAACATGTCGATCCACAATGCATAGGAAGCAGTCCAATCATTTCGAGCCACGGCTTCGGTTCAGCTTAGGCGAATCTTGCCCCCCAATCTTACTCGTGCCAGGCAAGAAGTACCCTAAAATGCATCAGTTTTTGTTTCTTTTAATCCAATAACAATTACCCGCCGCGAGTAAATCGCCCTGGCAAATCTATTTATAGGCGAACCCAATACAATTTCATCAGGAATAGGTAGCTTACGTCAAAGGGCGTTTAATACGGCGACAGCATGTTCGGAAATGATCGTTTGGCATGATTTTAACTCAAGCCTAGTGCCAAGCTACTATGGTGCGGAGATAATCCATGGTACAGTGGCCACCAGCACCTTCGTTGAATTATTATTAGGGAAGTACCCAACGACCACAATGGGAATTCGGTTCTGGCACAATTGTAGGTTTTCCTGCCCCAAATCGGGCAATCTGTTCCGGGCCGTTGGCGGATATGACGGATTCGCGAATGGACTTGAGGTATTCGCAAATGGACTTCTAGGCTCATACATCTGTGGCTGGACCAGTCTATTCGCGAATGGCCTGGGAAGACTGTGGTTTTAGTAGGACACAGTTCATCACTCACAACTAATAATGATTTATATCAATCCCGAACGGTCTCTACAATTATTAGAAACCTCTCGACCCTAAAGACCAAACTTACAAAAAGAATTAGCATCTTCAAGATCTTTAGCGAGCTTAAGAGCTCGGTATTAATAATTGACGCCTGATATGTGATATCCTGTGGTCCCTATGAGCTTCAGCGACCCCTACAGCCACTTATTGGGGCCCTATGAGCTCTAGTAGAGCCCAGATCATTCTCGAGTTAATTTAAAGACTCAATTTCATCACCCTTTATCCAGTCCATTCGCCAATAGATCAGTCCCGCCCCCGATGTATGGAGCAAGCAGCCCATCGGCGAATCCAGGGTATTTGCGAGTCGCCCGGAACAAATCGGAGTTATCTTATTTTTTTTGATCCCGGGCATTTCCTCGTGGTGTGGTTTTATGAGTTTCTGTACTATGCCACGTTCCTCAGAGGACCTCCTACAAAGACACTCGGTGTGCATGTGCCACTCGCCGAAAGGCTTTACCACCACGAGAAAGCTTTTTCCGGGCCGCTGTGGCTTTGGAAAACATTGAAAATAGAGGAAGGGATCTCGACCCTAAAGTGAGATTTTTGAGTACGTCCAATATACCCGCTCGTTCAAGTTTATTGCACAAGAAACCACTTCGAAGACGATATGCCAACCTCATTATCCCAAGTCAAATGCAACTGGCAAACGTCCTCGAGCTCTCCCGGATCCCACATATATGATGATACGAGATTGTTGTTATTAATTCATTAATTGTGTGCAGCCCGTAGGCTATGTCAATATCTGACAATTTTCCTCTCCTACATTATATATACAATCAAGACTATTATACGGTTGTGTAAACACATAACTCTAGGAGATAAAATTGTGTAACTCACAACACAGAATCGTGTAAGAAATTGTGTAATTTTACACAATTTTTTTGTACCTCGGTGTACCGCCAGATTCAGTGCCATTCATTCTTTATTACCAGATATTATTATCCTGGCAATTAATATCATTTTACGCCACATGTACAACAGCTGCGAGAGCGCGGAGGTAATTATACTCACATCTCTACCTCCACAGCACCCTCTGAAGACATCATAGATCAAGTAATAACCCCAGGGCCGACACCATGATCATTTCTACCCCCCGTACACGTCCGCGCAGTCTCCAAGGGTTATATAAGAAACAACATCTTCAATATAATAGCTAGCTACAGAGCCGACAGGTCCTGTCCGAAGGCTGTTCCGCGAGCAAAGACCGGGACCGCAGAACAATCAAACAGATGATAACCGATGCGCCTTGCTGTTTCCAATACTGGCGTTGGCACTCACCGGGCTGCGGTGGGGGATATTTGCGTTGGACCGGATATATAGGCTAGCCCTGAGATGTCCCGGCACAGGCCATGTATTGCTATAACCGCCGAGGAAGTGCGCTTTGCGATCAACTATAGATAATCCCAATTCTTCCATTTCCACAGGATTGCATAGGGGCTTGAATAAGCCCTCATAGCTTGGTCATAATTGATCACTCGGTCACAGATAGGCACTCGCATACCAGGACAGCACTCAACTATGTTCCGGCTCCCGCGATACTAACGATCGATGCATGGGGATTCTTGAAATACAGTCTTATATCTAGGAGCGAAGGACCAAAAACCCCGGCTATATATTCCCTTCTCATTGCTGTATACTCTCCACAAACAACACCCAAACTAAACACTAAATAATCGAAATACTTACTCTAGCCGTCTAATCGAAAAGATCCGTCCGAAGTATGATTTGCGGCTCGTCATCAATCTCCATCACATCCTCCCTCGGACTCTCCACCTCCGGTTCCGGCCGTTCCTCCTGCGCTCCTTCCTTCGCACATCTTTCTGCCCGCTCCAGCGTCTCCAGCGACTTCTCGGCGGCCAACACCTTCGCATGTAATTCATTCGTCGACTCGGCCACTGCCACCTTTATGCCCCTTATCGACGTCGTATACGCGTACACCCCGTCCACCTCCACACACTCGTACTCGACAGCGCCCTTCCCTAATCGTGCCGCAGCCTCATTCAGCCGGGTGAACGGATGCATGACATTCGTTTCATCCTCCAAGAATATCCTCAGCACGCGGAAGATATCAAATCGTTCTGCCAGTGCCTTGGCAACCTCAAAGTCCCCTCCGGAATCGACAAACATGGCCCCGACGATGGCCTCAAACATGTCCGCAAATAGCTTACACTTACCGTTAATGTCTGCTTCGAGAAGTGCGATCTCGGCCCATGGGTAGCGGTCACCCTCCGCTAGGATTGTGAGGATCTGGAGCCGCGAGCGGTCGTATTGGTGGAAAAATCGTTTTCTTGCTTTGATCATCTCTGGGTGGGAGAGCTGGACGTAGTCCCAGATGTTGGCCTCTTGTTCTACATCTATGACATTAAAGACACCACGAGACTCTTCTACTGTGGGTATTTTCTCGCTGGTGGAGCGGCTCATGGACAGGAATGCTAAAAGACCGCCGTTGACGACTGAGCTCTTGTAGAGGTGCATGGAAACTGGCGGGAGATTTTTCGGACTCTGGTAGAGCTCATCAACTACTAACATGTCCAGTATCGCATCTCCGAGGAACTCGAGACGTTGATAGGACGGCGAGGGTAACTCCGAGGAAGGGTGAGTGACCGCTTCGAGAAGGAGCGATTGGTGTTTAAACTGGTAGCCGAGAAGGTCTTGTAGGCCTTTTAAGTATGTGAGTTTGACGGGTGGAGCTTTTCCCGCTTTGTGAAACAAGGAGCTCGCTCTGCTTTGGAGCGGTTTCAGGGCCAAATCTAAACCAAAGACATCGATGCATCTCAGTGCCTGGTCATAGCCCCCTTCAACATACGCTGCTCCAATGAGTGCCTCAACGACATCCGCCAATACCTTTCTTGATAGGGTCTTAACAGAAGGGGGGCAATCGTTCGGCATCCTCTTGGCACATTCTTCATTCGCTGAATGGATGTATTTGGGACTCCATTTAGCCCCGGTAAATTCTTCGGAGATGATCCATTGAGCCAAGCCCTTTCCCTGTGCTGCCTTAGCCAGCGTGGAATTGGATATTATTTTTGCCTTCTTCATAGAAAGGACGCCTTCATGCCATGATGGATGCTCGTCGAGTAAATTGATGGAAACCAGAAATTTCAATACCGAGTCGCCAAGAAACTCTAGTCGTTGGTAGTCATGTAGCTCCCTCGCGGAAGAGGTGCATAGAGCGGTAAGAACGTTATTGACTGACTTGAAACCTACGCTTGAAAGTAGAGAGTTCTGGATATCTGAAGCCATCAAAGTTAAGCCAATTCGGTGAATTATACCAGGTGCAAAAAGCGCAAATTGAGAGTATCGCCACGGGATTTTATCGGCAGTGCAGTACTGGGGAAGTAGAAAGGTTGGCGCTGTGTTCAACTCATAGAGTGTTTGATGAAGGAAGTCGCGTCGATGGGATAGCCTATGAACTTCCATAACTGGCTGGTCTGGATCGATTGGCCTGCCTTTGTACTTCTCGAGTATTTGCATATCCTCTAATGGGGATATATCAGTCCTCCATTGAATGAATACATATCTTGAATGTTCCTGGCCAGCTTCTCGGATGATTCCCATGTCCCCCGGTGGGACACAGTTTTTGTACGCATCGTATGCACTGATATTGATGCCGCCTTCCTCTCCCCATAATTGAGCCCCATCACCCCAAGAAAACAGATATGGAAATTCCATCACATTGGTCTCCATTTTGGCTGCGTGTACCGTGTATAGGAGATCATATGTCCTTTTTTTTGCTTTTTCCACAAAACTCTGGTCGACGGAAAGAGGGTATGATTGACCCAAGCTAATCTCTCCTTTCTCGACCTTTGTCCAAAAGATCGGGATTGTTTCTATATTAGGGCATTCCATGGTCGTAAATATATTGATCTTAACCAGCTCCTTGCTCGGCATAGTAAGTATGATTGGAGTAGCATATATCATTGAAGCCTCTGCCCAGTTCGTGTCTGCCCATGGATCAATAATTCTCCGGATTGGATCCAAGGCCGGAGGAAGCTCGGTATCTGGCATACTCTTCGTGTCTTCGCTAACCGCAACAAGAGGCAGCAGATTATCATTAATAAGTGGGTCTTCCAACTTATATAAAGCAAGATATGCTTCAAAAGCTGCATCCCGCCTAGCCAAGCCTTTTTTTGCCCATGTTTCTTTGCTTACAACACACCGGACATTTTGAGGGACAGAGTTTGGCAGCATTACTTCAGCTCGATAGTGAACTTTGTCCGCGTCAAAAAATCCCCCAGAGGGGTAAACAGCTTCCGTTTTAAAGATCGGACGGAGATCGGTGAACTCAGTGTATGGTAATGTATTGCAAAAATGATGCAGGTGCGTCAGCGCTGAACCCAGAGTCAAGAGCGCACTATATAATCATTAGTATCAGGTTGAACTGATGTAGGTTGGAAGTCAAACTTAGTGCTTTTCACTAGAAACTTTCTATTTTCCGCCTCACTTATTACACCATCTTCATCAGGCTCGCCTTCTTCCCTGTTTAGCCTCTTTTCAAGCTCCCTGGTTTCATCCATGTACTCCTGGATCATTTCTCGCTCCAATTGTTCCAACTTTGCAATCTTCTCTCTTGTATCTGATCCCTCCTCAAACATAAGATAGTATGTGCTCTTCTCCTGCCGCGCTCTTCCTCGCCTTTGAATAAAACTCTTGACATTTTTGGGCAGCGAGAAGCAAACCACCAAGTGGCAAGCCGGGATATCCAAGCCTTCCTCTACAACGCTGGTCGAGATGACGATATTCTTTGTTTTTCGCCTAAACCCTTCAATTGTCCCTTTCTGCTCCTGTAATGTGGTGGGCTCATATACAAGCCTTCCGGTTTTCGCAGAATTATCAGATGTTCCAACCAATGTCCCAACATCAAAGATCTCTCGTGTATCTGGATGCTCCCTCAGAATCTCCGCCAATACCGACACCCCCACCCTCTGCTCCACGAATACCAAGCCCGAAAATTGGTTTCCTCCACTCTTTCCGTTAAACTCTGCGACTAGCAACGCGATAAGTCGTGCTACTTTGTCCGTAATCCCCCATCTTATATCTCTGAGCTCTGTCGTCACTGTCACCTTCCTCAGCACATTACAAAAATAGATCTTCTCCTCCTCGTCCCACCCCGCCAGCACGGAGGACTCAGATTCGTCCTCTATAGATGCAAGTGCCCTGTTTACAATCATAGTAACGTACCACTCCGCCCCCCAAATTCCATACTCTGTGATAATGTGTTCGGCCTTCTTAACAATCCCATGCATTTGGTGGAATGAGCGAGTTTTCTTGTGTTCGATTGTCTCCCTGATTTTTTCTAGATCAGGAGGCTGTGTAGCAAGGAGAGTGATAACACGCGGGTCTTCCATGATATTCATGGAAGTATAAGCTTGTAATAAGGTTCGAAATGCTGGTGTAGACCATTCAGAGGTTTTTGATAAACTTGTCCTATCGCCCGGATCTTGGTTAGCATAGTCTCAAGGCTTTATCAGAAACATGATGAGAGACATAGGGTCTATTCATGTTTTCCAAAGATCCAGCATTGCAAGACGCCCATGTTACCCCTCGGCCCCCCTCCTAATATGCATGGCTCCACTGATGGATTGAAGGGCAGATGAAATAAGGAATACAAAAAGAGAAAATAGAGGATACAAAGTTCAGGCGGCAACCCTAGGGGTGGAAGAAATAACACTCAGGTTGAAACATCAAAGGTAGCGTAGTATATATGATATTTAGATCCCCTTATCTTACCTCGAGATATAATCATTCTCTGTTATCTTTAACCTCATAGCAGGGGGTTCTTCAAGACTGATATACTCCGGACTACCCCCTCTCTTCCCGCCCAGACCTGGAGACTTTATATAATCCTGAAGTTTTGAGTTCGCCACCTGATCAATCGAGGGCGATGCTTCATGGGTAACCTTCTTCAATAGTGGTGTATGGACATGCTCCATTAGCTCCTCCCGGTTCAAGATCGGTGTTCTGGATATAGCATTCAAATTCGACTCTATCACCCTGCAGTAAAACGGCACATGACTTAGCGAAAGGGAACGGATCGCGACAGTAGAACGACCCACTGCAGTTGTCTTGGCTTAGACTTGACAATTGGGCTAGCCGTAAGCCCAAGGATCGAGGGGACCTGACGATGGAGGTTTGGATGGTAGAAGTCTTGCATGATGCGGTTTGCCGGGTGGTTGCCGGCACAGTGGTGGGCTAGAGCATAGAATATCAGCTGGATGCACCTTCATCCTGCGATCGCCCAAACAACGACGGACGGACCTTCATCAAATATCAATAATCCTATCCTATCGATACCCACAAACCCGTGGGTTAACGCATCTAGTAATATCTAGTTTCCCACCCGCGTCAACTTCGCCCGTTCATCCCCGCTTCTTACCTTTCGACCATTGAGTACAAACCTGATGCGTACTAACAACGACCGTTGATGCGCTCTCTTGGAGTTTCAAAATCCGATCCCATATGTCTTGAGTCTTCCATTTATCAACATTATCGCTCCCGCTCAGGAACTGGATGTTCATAGGCGGTAAAGATGACCTAATAACATCGAATTGCTGATTTCCCAATGGTACGCTTGGGACCAGAAGCCAACATAACTACATATTGTCTTGATGTAAGCAATTTCATTGAGATGGTGCCGGTAGAGCGCGCTATCCATACTTTACCTCCACCGGATTCAAGGTAGGATCGAATTCTCAGTATAGCACTATTATTGAATATTGAGTATTAGGAATCGCCCGAAAATACATGTAGTTCTTAGAAAGGTCTATAGGTGTGTCGCATGGGAAGTGAGGAGGAATCTGTGTCGCTTACGTACATGTGAGTCTTTCCTGAGCCTGTGTCCATCTGTTCACCCCGCAAGTCGGATTAGCCACCGCTCAGCGTCAGTCATGATAAAGTGATTTGAATTTGTCGCACCGCAACGATGATATTCCTCTTCAAGCTCTCATCCAGCATTTCCATTTGGTACCCTCGTGAGCGGATTCTTTCTGGGCTAGATGGAATCACATTTGACTGTAGAGCCATGTTGCGCGGAGAGGGCGGGGAGGAATCGAAACTGTTTGATGGATATCTTGTAAATATTCAAGGTGATAGAAACAATCCCATGTAGCACCTAAATTCGATAGTACTCAGGATGTGGGAAAACGATCTTCAATAAATAGCCACTACCGGATCCATAGTCAGGCGTCCAACTGCTCGTGTAGGGAATCCTTTAGGCGTTCTCAATCGGGTAACTCAACCGGATGCGGAACAAGCAGTCCTTGTCACGACTTTCCTATGGAGTTTGAGTACAGTATAACCCCTAATTCGATTGAACATGAGACCTAACGAACTAAACTAAAATTATTGACTTCATAGGCGTCGCAACAGGAACTTTTTTCTTTATTTCTTTGGCGGGGGGTTCTCAAGTCGTCTGCCTTAATGTAGAGTAAGGGGATGTGCGGTTGGTGGCGGACCACAATTCAAATGACTTCACACGTTTCTCAGAGGAGGCTGAAGTCTGAAGATAAGAGAAAGAGGCTCAGATGATGGGCTCTAAGCCTCTAATAGCAGTGCTAGAGTGCCACATAACACAGACATACTTGGCGTTAATATAAATACATGTACCTGGGGTGCCGGCAAGTGATGCAACGCTTGACCTAGCAACGCCGAAATGTACTCAGAACTTCAACTTTTAACACAACACAATGCTTGGGCAGGATAGATATTCTAGTCATACCCATGATAAATGAGTCTCTAGAACAGAGTCTGCAATTTTTCAGGTCATTGGTTTGGGGTTTTTAGCCTGGGGAAGGACAACTTGTGACAAGAGACAGTAATAAAAGGAGAAGCAACAGTCAACCACATCAACTCTCGCCATAACTACATGTATGGTCTCCAGCTTCTAAATTACAATATATTTGCTCCACATTCTGTTAGCTAGTTTGGTTGTTGAGAAGTATGGGCTATTTGACCGTTGCATCACTTTCCGGTACCCCCGGGTACATACATAAACCTGGCCATGGCGCATCCCACGTTAACATCGGCACTACATGTAGGTACATACATCTACAGTACCGGAAAACGGGGTAAATTTCCTACCGAAGTGAGAAAATACAAGTATGTAGTTATATACCTACACGTAATCATGTAAGTACGTCTGGTTATAAGAGACAAGCACATACATACTCTAGAGTACTTCCAATATCAAGTATAATATCCCAACCCTCGGTAACGCGCATCTTCTGAGGCTCTGTTTCTCTGATATCGACTCGATTTTACTCAATTCATGGATTAAGTACCTACATGTAGATTGGCATGAGATCATGCATTGACAGTGTAGATTGCTATGCAACTGCACTCACGGGTCCCTGTGGATAAATTAGCACAGCCCTCTCACTCCCATATATGTATATCTAGTGAGTACTTGGCCTCGAAACTAAACTCCCTACATTCTGCTACCCATCTACCATACCGGCCTCTTTACCGTATACCAAAGCGCCCCTGCATCGATAAAGCTAGATGTCATTCGGTTTCGGCATAGGTGATATTGCGGGCTCAATGCAACTGGCTTGGCATCTATAAGAACTGCCTCCAAGTCGGATTTAGATCGCTGAAACAAGAACTCGGCAATACACATAACTCACTGAGGATTTTGCAGGAAGAATGTACCGATTCCAAGTCCATCTTACTATCCGCAGGAAAAGATAGGATAGACACGCTTAAAAGCCTAGTGGATCAATACTGGGATGCACTGAATGCATTGAGTAAACATGCAAAGAAGTATGAGAAGCTCGGTGATCAAAACCGATCGTCACTGAAGAAATCCTGGATGGGGTAAAATGGTCGGCTAAAGCATCTGATCTATGTAGATGTCTTGAGAAATAAGGTTTTTCGAGCGTGAGCAACCTAAGATGCCACTTGTGCCCCTGATCTACTCAGGGCTTCTGTTCCCATAAGCTACATAACTGGCTAACGCTGGCACTTTTTTAGTTGGTTTATCTCAACGGCATTCTTGGTCTTGTCCTCATTTCAACCGGAAAGTAAGAATCCCGAAGACTTACTACAAGGGCATAATAAACTAACCCATTACTTAGTTCATCCTTACAATGTATACAATCCATCTCTCTAAAAGTAGAGCAGGGCATCAGTGATATCAAAGGGATAATCAAAAACTCCCAGCTCAAGTACCGTTGATCTCCGCGATCGAGGACGGCCGAATCTTTGCTCTTTCCCTCAGTGAGAAATTCATAGAGCATGCTGAATCTCAACGAAAGTGGTCGCCATCGGAGTTGACCAATGGATCTCTGCAGGGACATGGTGGCTTCTGAAGGTCTGCAACCCGCAAATCGCCCTAAAGAAAATGATGCGAGTGCTAGTATTTTTGCATACCTAAATCGCCGATTAGCTACTATTCAACTCTCACTCTCAATACCCATATGCTTCAGTTCTAGGCTAATTTTTGCAGTCACAGGCAAGCATTCAGAAACGCCCATCTTCGTCAGCTCCCAGCGATAGTAATTCATTCCAATGGTATGCGGACTTGATCAAAGCAGCATAGATTTTAATCGACATAATTGCACGGCACCCACAGCTGGACTTTCTCGATTCAAATACCGCCATTCGCATAGAAATCCTTGTAGAGGTTAGTCTTTACCGTTCTTCCTGATAGAAATATATATCGAAAATGCCGAGAATTCCGGGGTTTGAATTAGATTCGATTTGGGTAGACGACCATTCTGACGGTTGAAAGACGATCAAAAGGGAGCTCCGGAAAGTCGATACCTTAGGACTTGAGAAGCCGAAATTCGAGCAAATCGAGAATTGTGATTTGACGATCTGGGAAAAGGAGGGCAAATGCCCTGATTTACAACCTAAAGGCGGTTTTGTGGGATCAAACTCTGGATGGATGGTTGAGGATGAGTATATCTTATTCCAACAGTATGTGAGCAATATTTGGACATTTCTTCCTCTGTATGGCTGGTTTATCATAAGAAGGCCACAATATACTGTTTGTTTCGGAGAAACACCACCTATAGGGAGAGCTTCTTTATTCTGTATCACGAGTGCTATTTTACCCGACGATTCTTCCCCTCTACCTAGGCCCCCTAGAGGAGGAGTAATAAGTTTGATTGACCAGTAAATAACAGGCCGTATCTCTCGTGTTAGGTTCGCGTTATATCGGCCGAATGAGCACGGAACACTTATTTCCTGTGTTGTCCTGGTGTTAATGCATAAGAAAGAAAGGCGCGGAAGATTCCTGTTGGCGGATCAGAACTGGGTTGCTCGGTCCTCACTTCCTGATATTGATCAGACCAAAACCACTCAATACCAAGATAATTGCTAATTCGCCGTGGTTGTAGTAGTTGATGATATGGGTATGATCACTGAAGATAACGTCCTCCTCCTGGGGGGTCAAATGATCCATCTCTCAACTCCACTTGGTAAGAAATATGATATGTGCCCAGACTTCCTTACATATGCATCTAATTCATCTCCCCTCATGCCTCGTGTGAGCTAGCGTTGATTCACGAAGGTTCTACGGGCCGCTAACGTTAATGCTAGATGCAAAGACTTTATGTGATCATGAAAGTGTTTAGCGAATATATTTGGCGGTGTCAACTATATGGCAATAATCCAAGTGTGGTGATAGCTTTATCTATACTCTTTGCTGTAATGTTTGGGTACCGATCTGTCATTGAAAGCATGCTTGGCGCGAGGATGGGTGGAGAGAATGAACCCCAGAAAGGCTCCCCTGAGGAAAGCTACCTGTTCAGAGCACGTCAAGTAGCTCAAGGCAGGCTTCCAGAATTGGCCGAGAACAATCTGTTCACTCCTCCACTTATTCTCCTACATTTCACGCTTTTTACTTTGGCAGTGACAAACAATATAAATGGCATTGCGCTTCTAATTTTAGAGCTCAAAGGCATCTCAACAAGCCTAGAAGAGAAGAGCACATGGGGGTCTATATCTGGCGCGGCCCGCGAAGGCCACACGCCTCTTGTGGCCCTCTGGTTATCAGAGGACCCATCCAACCACGGACCGGTATTTCTAATGGCGATATATGAGGGACATCTAGAAATTGTCAATCTATTTTTGGAGGAGGACTCCCTTCGGAATATAATAAGCCAGAAGGAAGTATGCTCTTGCTGGTGTCATAACCCCCTCATTTACACCACCGCGGAGGGACATCTCAACATTGTTAATAGACTCCTTGAAGCAGGCGCCGACGCCGACCCTCAGCATATAGACACGAGCTGCCCTCAATGTGTTGAGGAAATGGGTGGGCATCGATCATCGAAAACTAATACGAACTCTTGCACCCCACTTGAGTTTGCTGCACATTTCGGGAACTTACCTATCCTCAATAGGCTTCTCGAGATGGGTGCTTGTGTTAGTAAGGAAACTGGAAGCTACTAGAAGAGGTGTAGTCCACTATCGCATGCCGCCGAGCAAGGACATCTACATATATTAGACCGACTTCTTGAGCTAGACAAAGAATTGCACTCCCTTGTGTATAGTCTAGAGAGGGCTATAAAGAGATGCCAGGTACCGGCTGTGGAAATACTTCTTGAGGTGGTCACCCGCGCAAAATGCACCACATCTGGCACAAGAAAGATTGGAGTGACCTCTTTGTTTTAGCCCTGGATTTAAAACACATTGGTATTTAAGCAAATTTCTGGAGTTCGGTGCTGATATCAGTGCAGAGGGCCCTAATGGGTATACTGCGCTTTTGAGAGCCGTTGCTAGAGGTAACCTTCACATGGTTAACTGGTCCCTGGAGGCAGGCGCCGATGTCGAGTCAAAGATAAATGGAGACACCTCACTTGTGCTGGCCGCATACAAAGGCCGTCTACCTCTTCTTAACATGCTTTTAGAGGCGGGCGCTTCTGTTAATCCAAAGAGTTCACGCGATGGACACTCACCGCTTTCGGTTGCCGTAGAGGAAGGCCATCTATGTATTGTCAACAAGCTCCTGGAGGTGGGCGCAGACTTGGAGGTGAGGAACTGCGATGGAGACACCCCACTTTTGCTGGCCATAGAGAAGGGCCACCTAAACATCATCGATAGACTTCTGGACGCTGGCGCCAATGTAAACGTAAAGAATCGTTACGGACTTAGCTCGCTTTCAAAGGCCGCAGGAAATGGCAATCTCTCTATTGTGAACAGACTTCTGGAGGCAGGTGCTGCTCAATATAGGACAGCTTATGTTGTGGCGCTTTTCATGGCCGCATCCTCCGGATATCTGGCTGTTTTCAACAGGCTTTTGGAGGTTGGCAGCGATGCTGAAAAGGAACGGTGACGCGATTGGGATGCCAACGATCAACGGTATCTATATATCTATTGTCAGTGGAGGGAGGGAGGGAAGGGGCGGGAGGGAGTGGTAGAAGCTAGTGTGTATTCTGGGACCAGTGATTAGCTTCCGGAAGAAGGGGGGGCATGTAGCTAAGACTCCGGTGTTGGTGTAGAGGAGAAGTGGGGGGGGGGGGGGATGGATTTATAACTTCGGGTCCGGTCAATTGAATACCATCATGTAGATTTATTATGTCAGGCTTGTATACACGTTATAATATAGTGGACCTAGGGTAGATACATGCATGCACACATTTATGAAGTACTTGTTCTATACGTACATTAAGTACATAGTTGGCATGGGCTAGCGGTTTCCAGTGGTGATTTGAGTCTGAAATGTTTTGCCAATGCTAGTGGTCTAGCTTCAAAAGAGCTATGGACTTGTATCTATATCCAATTAGTTATTGGGACACATGGCCGAACAATTGATTCTACGCCTTCCCCAATTGGATTCTCTGGGCTTTTGGTTGTGGAATGAAATTTTGTCCGCACGGACGGTTTTACCAGATCTATATATGTATCGAAACCCATATATAAATTGTTCATTTCCACAGGAGCAACTGCACACACAGTCGAATCTCGCTATAAGGGTATGGAAATTTCGGAAAATCAGGCTGCAGCTTACCCTTACAGAGAGCATACCCTTATAGAAAATTAGGGTTAGGGTTATTTGGCTGGCGTGTGTCGGAAATGGGGGTAAAGAGAGAAGACATCACTGTGTTTTAGGTGGTTTGTTGCAAAACTTCTTCACAAACACCCTAACCTTACCTTTTCTATAAGGGTACGCACCAAAAAAAACCCCAATTGTCTAAGAATATTCTTATAGTAAGTATTTGGTCATTTACCCTTATAGATGTTACCCTTATAGCGAGATTAGACTGTAATCATATAAACAAAAAAAAGAAAAAAAGAGAGAAAAATTCTCGAATAAAAAACCTAACCCCGTCCCGTCACCCAGCATCCAACATCCCTCCTCCCCCCACCCCTCAAATAATCCACCAACACCACATTCGGCACCCCCTTCCCTTCCCACACCCCGCCCACAACCTCTTCCACAGCGCCCTCTCCGCCGCCTCCCCCGCCATCACCTCCAAGCTACTCATCACCAGGTCCTTTGCCCCCTCCTGCGTCAATATCCACGGCAGGATGAAGAACTTGTCCTTGGCGTGCTTGGAAAGCTTGTCTAGCTGGTCCGTCACCATCCAGTCGGCGCTCATGGTGTTGGTGTAGCGGTCGTGCATGTCCAGCTGCGCGGCGGTGTAGAAGCCGGCGTCCGGGAATATGGAGAGCGTGCGTGCGGGTGCATCGGTGAGCACTAGGACGGCGGCTTTGGGGGGTGGCGCCGCCGATGAAGGTGGAGAGGGGGAGGTCGGCGAGTGATGCGATGGAGTTGGGGAGGCCGTGGGGGTGAGTGAGCTTTGAGAGGTGCTTGTAGCACTCGGCCCACTCGGAGTCGGTGAACGGCCTGGACCAGAGATATCTTGTTAGCACACTCACTTCCACCGCATCAACCGCACAACGAAGTGGGGGGGGGGGGGGTCGTACTTATAATCCCCCAACCCATCCAACTCCTTAAACTCCTCCGTAAACCTACTCACCTCCGCCACAATCTCCTCAATCCCCTGCCCACGCATTCCCTGCCACGTCTTCAGCACATCCCCCCCCCAAAAAAAAACCGGACTCCAAGCTAGCGAATAACGGCCCGAAAACCAGTCGTCCTCCGTAATCGTCGGCCTTATGTCCAAATACCGCGCTGCCGCAAGTAGCGCGAGACGCTCATGCCGCTGTTGTACATGCCGGGCATGCAGATGTCGCGCAGCGGCCGGGGGCCCAGCGTGGCCAGGTTGCGCTGCATCCAGTCGGTAGAGGGGTACGTGGAGGTGAAGCTCCCCGTGGCGCCGGAGAGAGTGAAGCAGACGTCGCCGTCGTGGGCGAAGCCGAGGTCGATGGCGGAGCCTGCGGGGTTGCCCTCGGTGGTCAGGTTGGTGAGGATGATTTAGAAAGTGAGGGCGCCGAGGGCAAAGTGGAAGGGTGTGTCGGAGAGGGTGAAGGTCTCGTGGGCGAATTCGGGGATGTGGGCGGTGAGGACATCGGATGGACATTCGATGTAGAGGGTTGTGGACTGGCCGGCGGGGAAGATGTCGGGGATGTTCCAGTTTTCCATGCGGTGGTGCGGGGGTGCGGCACGTTTCCAGTCGTGCGGGGTGCCATTGATGAGGGTTATGCCGCCGCCTTGACCCATTTCGAACTCTGGGGGGTGGTTAGGGAATTGAGATCCAGTGGAATTGTTTGGTGGATATATTGGGAATTACTTACTTTCTGCGCTGGATATATTATGAGGATATTTAAAACAAAAGCTGTCGTAGGTAAAAGTTTCGAGTCGTAGAAGCCCTGATCTTGAAGGAAGTACGTCTGATACCAAAGTCCGCAGTGATACTCTTCCACCACCACCAGAGCAGGAGGCCAATATTTATATTCCCCTCCTCTCTCTCGCGAGGGCTAAACCACTTCATCCTTAGACGAACGAACCTCTGCCAAACAAACCTCGACCGCCATTCCGCTCGTTTACCACCGAGATGCAAAACCGACGAACAAGCTGAATTCAAGATACTGGACAAATGTACTCACCCACGTGCCCACAATAGGATTAGGCTGTGCACAACCCCGGGCATCTGGCGCTCCCTTCAGCCAGCCACAGAGTACCTACTTGTCGTTTGATTGTTAGGAAACACTTTTGAAAGCATCAGCAGGTTCATTTCTAACTATACTTACCTCGAGGAAACGTTTCCCTAATGTTGCAATGTTGAAGCTATAGCTAGCTAGAGACCTGCGACGTTGGGGGAGTGTGGTCAAGCGGGTTAGGTCGCCGCGGCACCGAGACAAGACTAACCCATACATACATGTGTGTACTTTAGTGTTACCTAGGGCAGTCAACTGCCCGCTCAACTATCATTGACCCTCTTGCGATCTAACTAGACCGACTGGTCACCGTAGTGCCCGATCGGTGGAGTGAGTGAGTAGGTACTCTGTGTATCTGTTTGTGCGACACCGCCGGCGTCAAAGTGCCCCCCTCCCCTTCTGTCGACCAATCGCATTGGTCGGTCTGGAAAGAAAATAATAGAAAATAAAAGATAAAAGAAGAAAATAATAAAAGTAATCATAATAAAAGTAATTATATTAAAAGGCAAATAAAATAAAATTGGATAAAAAAGGTAATCATGTGTTAAGAGCTGATCATGTAGTGAAGACAACTTGACATGTAGCCCCCCCCCCCCCCCCCTCAAACTTGTAGAGCACCTACATGTACCTGTGAAGATATCTCAGCTGTCAAGTAGTATCTTCAGCGCTGCCTGTCCTCTCAGGAGCCTATGAATTGTGCAGGTCCCTATTCGCTCGTTTTGGTACCAAACGGGATCCCCGATCTGTGCGATATGGAACACTCTTTGTCCCACCCTGATCATGAGCACTGTGGGGATGCGATGTCTCATCTGCAAGGCAAAGAAAACTGCCCATGTTGTTTGAACGGGTCTGTCTGGGGGGGGAAGGGAGATATATCACAAGTAAGTACTCTGCGTAGTAATCTAGTATTGCATGTCCGGTCACTAGAATGGACGTATGTAAGCGTGGAGATAACAACTCCGACTCCAAGAGCGAGCGATGCGCTAGTGCCGACCGCGCTTATCATCAGTACTTTGTTTTCGTTTCTTCTGGTTTCACGGCACCGGCGAGCAGGTTGAGTAGGTATAATACTATACAGGTCTGGAGAACTAACACACACCGACCGGCACATCCCGCCGCCCACGGCTAGCACAAAACAAGCATTATTCGCGTCTATCGCAGCGGTTTGGCGAGTCAGACGCCACCGGATGTGGGTACGGGGCGTCGCTCCACTGCTAGTACCCATCCTGCATGATATACACTCCTCCCTCCTCCTATATATGTACGAGTACTCGTATTTTCCTGATGTTTGTAAAAGGAACCACTATTGCATACCATTCAAATACGCACCAAGTCCACAACTTACAGTCGCACCTCGATATGCCGGATCTCAATACGCCGGATCCCTTGCTATCCCGTACGAAATCCTCTGGGGTTTTGGTTTTTTTTTTACTGCAAGATCCCGTATGAAATCCTTCGAATCTTGGCAATCCGGCATATCGAGTTGCGACTGTAGTATGGTATGCAATGGCGGTTCTTTTGCAAACGTGAGGAAGAATTGACACTATCGCGCGCGTGTGGGTGTGTACTCTATGTGTGCATGTGTGCGTGACATGTCAAATGTCAATGATAGCCGGAAGTCAATGGGCCGAACTCCCACCTGTACTGTCCCGTCTATTTCCCTGCTACTCTCTAAGTCTGCGGAGAACTGTACTCTTGGGTAAGTCTGCAACATGGGGTGTTATGCACGATTTACTAATTGTCCAATCGATCCGGAAACCGTTATTGAAAAAAAATATCGACTAGCTTTTCCGAGTATATTTGTGGCGAATCAACAAGGGTCCAGCAGCATGCCCACATGTGGGAAGCCAAGAAGTGTTATACAGCGAGAGGTAGAATTATTGTAGAAACAGGGGTCTAAAAACAGGGTTTCTCTGGCTGGGCAAGCTAATAGGACTCCTCCCATATTTCTACAATAATCTTACTGCAAGCTGTAATTACTATTCATGCGAATTATTACTATTCGCCCATGAACAGACCATACCCCCACTCTTGCTTACTCTAGTTGCGTAGTACTGGAGACATACTTGCGTGGAAATGTACCTATATCACTTCGCCGGCACCAATATTCCTGATAATAAGGGCCCTGGGTCTTGGCAAGCCCACGAAACTCACCGGGCTTACCCCATACCTAGCTACTCGGCGAGTGCTCTGTGGTGATTCAGGGGGAAGGAGCTCGAAGGGAGGGAACACAACTAGGCTCGCCCCAGCTCCCGGGAGAATATACATCTCTAAATATATTTATATTCTCCACGGATACTCTGCGAAAACAAAAGAGCTTCTGATCTGGAGCCCTCCCTCTGCTAGCGCTGCTGGTGATTCTCCATGCATACATATGACCATGGTCTCGAACCGGAGTACCGTAAAATCTGTTGCAGATTGACGTTAAAAGACTGCCTCTGATAGCTCTATATGCGCATTTATCCCTGCTACAGCGCAACGAAATTTCTCAGATTTTACGGTACCATGGTCAACTTTTGCCCTGTGAGAATCAAGATCTCTTTGTCTGTGCCACTTGGCAGATATGAAGAAATCAGGTATGCATGTAGCCATCTGCAATAATATCAATAATAATGTTTACCGGTATACCGGAACCCCGGTCACACGTGACAGCTATGTATGTACTCGGGTACAAGGGTTAGAACCAGAACATGCCATGAGGTTATTTGTATGGCAGAGCGGCGCCACTCCATACAAATAATCCAAGTCTCTTCACTTGCATGTTCTGGTTCTTATTGCTACACCCGAGTATGGTACTTGCTGCTCTCGCCTGCGGTACGGAAATCGTTGCGAGTCGAGTAGCAGCAGCTAGGACCAATAACCAGTGCAGACGGATATTTTTCCAGGGGCCCGGGAAATTTCTGCTTGCGAATTCTAAGGAGCTAGACCCTAGAATTTTGGGCATACCTAGAGCGGGGTTGATTGCGAGCGTCCCTGCTGAGGACAAAGTTTCCATGATAATTGTGTCAAGTACTCACTCCATTCTGTAAGTACAGCGATTCACAGGCATTTGGCGAATACCCCCATTTGGCGAATTTGTATGTAGCAACCAGCCAGCAACCAGTAAACCCTCGAGTTTGACTAAGATATCTTGATTCTTATTGGCCTTAATCCCTGTTCGCCAAACGAGTATTCGCCAAATGACTGTAAATCGCTGTAGAGTACTTAGACAGTGAATGTATTCGACCAATCCTACGGTTACATACCGAACCTGCGGCAACTTTCCCACATTCAACCTGCACGTGTCTCGGTGCATTGTTTGACACTTCCATGGCGTTTATACCCTACTCGGTCCGAGCCGCTGTGCCAGCTTCGCTATACGACAGCCAATCCTAATCCTAGGCCGAAAGTCCCTAAAAAATACCGCACCCTACAAGAGCAAGAATACCAGAAGTAAGATCTACAATTTGTGCATGCGCTATACCAAGCACGGATACCATGTGCATTAAACCTAGTTTATTAGGGACTCATCGATGTTGCACTTCCGCTTTGTTGTCTGGCTTGGGTCGGTTTGAAAGCTTCGATATCGGGGTGTTGTCTAGGTATATCCGCACGATCCCAAGTGGACATGCAATAGCATCTCTATAGTACACTCCTGGGCCGCCACGGCAGAGCGACTGGCCACCCTAGAATTCCTTTATAACCAGCTCCCAACCACCTCCTCGCACCATACCTCAAGCACTGCATAACAAAAAAAGAATATATAACAAATGGAATTTTCTAACCATATCCCAGTTGACTCCGATTATGTTTGTACCAAGCTTCCCGACTGTGATTCTGGCCTCCTAATAACGTGAATGGCTAGGATGATTCCTCGTCGACAGATGATGGTGCCTCGTACGCCACAGCAAACCCCTAAACGCGACGCCTCTCGGGGGGATAGCTAACGGTTGTCCTTCAGGAGTAAGAGATCGAAATACTCGACTCAGTCGTTGACTTCGAGTATCTATGAGTATGTTTTGATGGATTGCCGGTATGGCGCAACACGAGGTGCTGACTATGGATACAGGTACCGTTACGAGAATGGCAGAAGATATGCTGCGATGAAACAGGGGTAAACATCTCCATCCTTAGTTAGAAGATAAAGGCTGATGCATTCCCATCCAGAGAATATACCCTTCCAAATGACGAAGTATGTCTCTAAACCCCTCGTGCTGTGAATTCAAAGGTCACTAACTGTAGTTCATGTAGGCCGAACAAGAAAGGCAAGCACATACTCCCCTTCATACTTGCCTGGTTTCTCCATATTAACAACTCCTCAGACTCGACATAATCCACCACATCTACCTCCTCCTACTAGATGACAAGCTCCACCTCGCGCCTATTGACCTAAACCCACAAAAAATTCTTGATATTGGCACCGGGACCGGTATTTGGGCCATCGATATTGGCGAGTAGGTTCCCACCTGCCTCTTCTCCAGGTTCGGAAAAACGTCTACTAAGTCCCCAATAGACGGTATCCTTCTGCACAGGTAATCGGTACAGATATCTCACCCATCCAACCGTCATGGTAAGGCGCTTCTTGCTTTCCATAGTCTCAAGAGTCACTACGAATATTGACCCCGCGGGCGATTTATAGGGTTCCACCAAATGTAGAGTTCCAGATTGACGACGCGGAGCTTCCCTGGACATTCAAGAATGATTCTTTCGATTTGGTGCATATCCGACACATGTGCGGGGCCGTCAAGGACTGGGATGAGCTGATAAAGCAGGCTTACAGGTAGTCTGCATATGCTGTTTACCTCTAAGAACCAAGAACTGTATCACTGACCTCGTCTTCAGGGTCTGTAAGCCTGGAGGATGGATAGACTGTTCCGAGTACGAGATGGATATCTTCTGCGATGACGATACCCTTCCAGATACCCTCGAGATCAAGAAATTCTATGTTCTCGTCAACAAAGCCGTCGAAACCACTGGTTCTCCTCTCCGCTACCTTACACTTCTCCATTCTCGCAACACTAACCACCGTATCCGCAGGTGCCGGTTTTACCATGGCGGACAAGCTAAAGCCCCTCATTGAGAAGGCCGGCTTTACGAATGTCCACCACGAATTAGCTAAGATCCCTGTCGGCCCTTGGGCGGCGAATCGCAAGCAAAAGACTATGGGCGCGTATGTCATGATGTCGGCCGAGACAGGCTTTGAAGCGTTTGGCATCCAGTTATTCACGACTGTGCTGGGAATGGGTTTGGAGGAGGCGAGGCATGTAATACAGATGTCGCTGAAGCAGGCACGAAATAGACATATCCATGGCTATGGCCAGCAGTGAGTTCATTCCACCTTGTTTGCTTATGATACGACGGCAGATAAGCAGTACTGACACCCCGGGGTAGCCATCTTTACTATGGGCAGAAACCGTTGGATGAGTAGGAGAAGATTCTTTATTGGTGGATAAATATCTAGTAAGGCTTTCAATTAAGTCAGCGTACTTCGAGTTGTGTCTTGATGCAAATGAAAAAAAAATGAAAAATACACGCCTCAAATATCCTGCATGTTGCGTGAGGAAACCCTTGGCGCGTACAGTGTAAGATAGGGGCCTGGGAGGTGATGCTCAAATCGACGCAATGTATGTAGCTGAGAAAAGGTTGTTCTTGTAAAGTAAGGAATCTGGCTCGCTAATCTCTTGATTCGAGTGATGAGAAACTGGCTTGGCATGATAATCTGGTGCTTACATGATATCGAAATCAGAGGCTTCAGGTTTACTTTATTTTAGCCTGTAGCACCAATCAACGATACTACTACTAATTTCATGACGTTTCCGAACACGACTCCTATTACATGCCATACAAAAAAAGGCCAAATCCACCTTTTTGTATGTGATGCAATATTGGTCGTGTTCGGAAACGCTATGAATAGAGCAGTACTAGTATTTCTCTGACGTTTTTGAACTGGGCCATTATTGCATACACCCAAAATCATGAGCTTGGCGTATTTTTGTATGGCATGCAATATCTGTCGCGCCCACAAACGTCAGAGAAATACGAGTATACATCTGCATGGGGGTAGAAATGCAGCCCGAGCATAGATGGCGGGGTAAGCTTGGCCGGGATACGAAGAAGGGTGATGACCAGGTTTCAGAATATCATCGCTCAGCTGTCCCAGCGCTGCAGCCGGTGGTCTCGGCCGAGGGGTAGCGATGTGTCTCTGACTTGTCGCCTAGCTCTTGGCCTTCCTGATATCAGGACAGATCCGTAACGGAAGAGGGGCAGTGAGCGCGGTCAAAGCACTCATATTAGGGTCATAAGATATCACTCGGTATTCTTGGCAGTCTTCGTGTTGGAATTGTGTCAGAGCCTCCTAATACATACGCATATGAGTATCAGCATATACTCGTATTTCTCTGACGTTTGTGGACGCGACTGATATTGCATGCCATACAAAAATATGCCAAGCTCATGATTTTGGGTGTATGCAATAATGGCCCAGTTCAAAAACGTCAGCGAAATACTAGTATGTCAATATGTACAGTCTTTTACCGTCTCTTGATGAATACTGCCGCTTGACGAACAGGGATTCCAAGTATGGAAGCAACAGCCAAGCTACGAGACCCCCGGTCCTTTTAATTTCTATTGGCCCAAAGTCCCCTGTTCGTCAAGTGGCAGTATTCGTCAAGAGACGGTAAAAGACTGTACTTATGTAGTCATATATAGACTGTTCTAGGCACAATATTCTTGTATAAATAAGGCCTTTATATGCCCCCTGTATTATAGTCAAGCAAGTCAATTAAGAAAGTCACATGCTTCCGCATTTATTATTTTTCTAGCACTTCGTGTTCGTTTTACCATCAATCACATGCAACCCGAACGTTATGATAATATAGATCAATACATGTTTGCCCCTCAGAATCTACTGCCATCTCAACCAAGGGAAAGAAATCAATTTTGGCGATGTCTCTCCTCCCGTCTCTCCTCCCGTCTCCCCTTCCCTGACCGTATAGGGGGGCTTTTTGTACCCTGAGTGCTCGTCAAAGTATCAGAAAGCTTCGCTTGGGATCTTGATGGTGCCTGTTTTCTCTTGACATTCCGTGTTCGTTTTGGAGCTGGGGTGATTTAGTGTAACGGTGGCTAATCTACCAACGTACTAATACAGAAGAATAAATAATTCTGAAAAAGAAAATTCCTATGATATAAAAGACTCCCGAAAGTCTGAAGAGCTGGTTGCCTAAGCCACCGTCTCAAGCTAACCGTTTTATGAATCTACCCATCTAGACGCATTCACTTGCAAGCTTTAATACTTCGATAATCCTCTCTCGAAACTCTTTCTGCAACTGAGTATCCAACTTGTCGTCGTTCTGCACCCCAAACCTTTCTTCTCTGCCTTCCAAGCACAACAAAACCAAATTCTCATATCTTTCGCCCATTGCGAATCCTAACTTACCTTGGGCCGACTTCCGTAGTGCATCTCTGACGTATTCACGATCAGAACTGTGGGATTGGAAGCCATCTCTCGATAGTGTTTTTGCGCTTGCCCAGAGTCCGATCTCGAGAAAAATCACACCTAGAGCTTTTGGATCTCAGATTAATGGGCTACATCCTGTCATCTGGAGGCTCACCATATATGTCGTGTATCTTTGCAGAGCGAGCAGTTGGTTTTCCCCAGCGTTCCCAGTGGCGATATCTCCAGATTATGGTCAGCCTAAAAGCCCATTTCGACGGATAGGTGAGCTAAGCTTACATATTTTTCTCTATACGATCTTCCATCCGGTTACTAGAAAAGTCTGACTCCTGACGACTATATTCGAAGCCTACAATCCATGGTGCTTCGTAAATGCTCCCGGAAGAACCGGCAGAACTGTTTTCTGGCGTAAAAAAGACAATATTCTCACTGTTCAGGTTTTTGTGCACCCATCCAACTGTATGTAACAGGTAAAGAGACTCTGCAAGGTTGTATGCTAGCTTTAGACGAGTAGTTACTGATGGTTTCTTTGATCTAGAAGTGCTCAAGTTGAGTGCTGACTCAAGTGTCAATGGTTTCGGTAGTGCTCCAGATGGTACATCATAAACAAATCCCAATCTTGACCCTGCACGATCATTGATGTATCCTCTGCACGGGAGGACTCTGAAGCCTGCATCCTCCTGGCTGTAAAGAAGGGTGGTCAATTGGCGAACTTGTCTAATGGTAATATCGGGAATGTTGCCATTGTTGTCTGGCTCGTAGTCTTTGTACTCCAAAAGAACTGGACTGTTATCTATCTCGGCCATCCGCTGGCTTCCAGAGCCTCCTCCAGGCCCTGTGACTTGGTTTTTGACTTTGTGATAGGGAATAAATAAGTCCGTTGCAGCGTCACCACTCAGTATCAACTTCCTCATCTTTGCACTTGGTCCCAAGCCGAGTGTCTTTGTATCAGGGTTTTCGGCAACACTGTGTACTTGGGAGGCCGTCAAAAGACTCATCCATATGACATCTTCGATAACGCGCCTAATTCTATCGTTCCAGCCCCCAAGGTCCTCAATCAGCCCTTCCAGACGCCTCTTTCCGGATGTTGACCACTGGAGCTTTCTTAACCAACCGCTGTTCGACTGCAAACCCTGCACCTGTGGGTCTTCCGGGACGAGAGAAGTGCCTCGCAAGAAGGTATCCAAGTCAAAACCGGTAGCAGAGTCGAGTGTAGTCAAGTTGTACTTCGCTTCAAGACTGGTATACTCTTTCAGCCTGGTAAAAAGCTGTATGATCATGGAAAGTGTATGGCTCTGGGTTGTAGGTGGAAGAGTTTTAAAGATGCCCCCATCGATGGCCGGCGTTTGCCCAAAAAGGAACGAAATACATGCTTTCATTCTTTGCTCCTCATCCTTCAGCCGAATTCGCAAGACTCCCGCATCAGACGCAAAGCGTTTGCTATTGCCCACCAGAGCCGATATCTCGCCGATGAGGCTTAATATTGGTTGGACTAATCCTGGGATAGCTAAAGCTAGGCCCACAATCTCTGCCATATTTTTATGGTCTTAAATGCCCGCAGGAGGAGGTAGCTTTCGAATTTTGCGAGAAAGGCGCTCTGGGGATTCCTTGCACGTTTGTGTAGATACCTCAGGCTGGGGAAGAAGGTCAGGCATGTGTTTGACTATATACATGTAGTGTTGATGTCGTTAGAAACCTTTCTCTGTACTACATACATACATGTATATCTCCAACTGCGCCGCATCTTCACGTGGCTGTAGCCTAGAGCCCATCGTTTACCCCTGACAAGCTCCGAGCCGAGCCCAAGTGACGCGATCTGACGTGAGTCACAGTTTACCCGCATGCGCATATGTATGTAATTAAAATTTAACGAGCTCATGGGTTGTCATTGGTTGACCATTGAGTGTAAAGTACCTACAAAGTGGCTGTAAATCCGGGGGGGAACACGAACTGACATACATACAGGTATCTCTAAGCCACCAGAATCCGTTTCAATCCGGCCGATCCCCTGCTATCAATATATCTACCCTGGTGCCACTGTACGCTCTATCAAAATGCTCATCCCCTATCCAATTAGGACCGAATTTACCCAATTTCAGACTTCAAAGTCCCTCTAGATCAATGCTGGTATTGATAAAAACCTCGGAGCTTTGTTAATTGTATATATTGACATGCAGACTTAGGGGATAGTGGAGAAATTTATCCCGTGAAGCTGCGCCTTGAAACGATAATATTCGATGTACATCACCTCCACATCCCCGGGACCGGCAAGGAATTGAGATAGCTGATATTCTATATATATAAATCCCAACCTGGCACCTACTCAATCTTCTCTAGTTTATTCTCTCAACAGCATTATTGCTCTTTCCTTCAAGCCCTACAACCAATATGGATACTCAACAAGATGGAACAACTTACATCAAGTTACATCCCTCTACCACCTATGGGTGCTCGTCTAGATATACCTCCACTCGGGATTCTGTCCGCCAACAAGATACCAACAACTTCCTTCTCCGTGGCAGCTTTATACTGCAAAAAGCTGGGCTCAAAGATTAAGGACGACATCGACCACTATGTCCACATAGGTACGAAGATGTTTGGCTCGGGAGGGTTCTCAAACGCAATTGGCGTCTCTGAAACTGGTGTCGCCAAGTTCCCTAAAATTGCTCCGGGCAGTGACGGATTCGGAAAAGGACTTCTATCGCGACCTGACCACCGAACTACGTACATGCCCGGTCGATCGAAGCACTCAGAGTAAACCCAAAGTTACCGCCGCGAACCGAATCACGCATCATGAGAAAAAAGGCGTCTGATCCGAAGACTTTCTGGGGGCCGGTGCCTGATCGCGATGCTATCCTGAATCTAGAGCCAGTTATACTTTTAGAAGACGCCGAAGACTATTTCGGCCGTGACTACCATGGCGACTCCTTCGATGAACGGCTGTGCCAGATTTACACCATGGTCCGGAATCCCGGGGGGGGGGGGGGGGGTAAGCGCCCTGTTTCCTTATCCACTGGCATGTACTGAGCGGCTTGAAAACTGGACTTCAATGTGGATTCAGATTGGTCGAGAAGGTTCATCGTAGCCGGAGAGTGAAGCGCGTGAAGTGATTGACCAGCTAGTGAGAGTTTGGGGTCACCAGTTGCGTCTTCCTCATGTAGATGGTAGGTTTAGCTATCTTGATGTAGATCCGCATGATGTGTCTGTGACGATTGATAGATGCGATTGATACGGTCCCAGATGACTTCAATTACGAACGGGTTTAGATGGCATATTGCGTGTATATGTTTAACTATATTTTTCTTTACATGTAGTTAGTTTTCATTCCTGATAAATGGAAATTAAATATCTCGATTTCTATGATTTCACTCCAGTATATTTGCGATCCCATAATCGAACTTGTATCTTGGAAAAACTCACATCCTGTATTTTGATTCACCAGCGACTCGTAAAGCTACATGACTCGCCGTCGTCACACAAAGACCCCCCAGTTGGTAATTACTTGGCGCATAGGGTATCACTCGCCCTTCTAAGCCTATCTCGGAGATCCCCGTGCTCGGTCGTTCCGCATGTAGCCACACGACAGACTAAATTCCGAGTATCGTATATAAGCCACATCCGACTTCCCAGCACTACCAGCTATCGTCATGGAGCTCTGTTTCCTTTCTTTTCTGAACTGTCCTCCTGTTTTTGATCGCGAGTGGTCAAGTAGGCAACATCAACATCGACTATGCAATCAGACCAGCCCACCGGGCTACGGACTTTATAACTACGTACGGAACCTACGTTTAGAAGCAGTTAGAGCTGGCGCATGGTATAACTTTGGGGGGATGATCCATACCGCGTACTAACTCAAAGACCAACTCAGATGCTAGGAGTCCCCGCTCCACCGACAAGCAGCCCAACGTCGACCAGGCCCTCTCCAACCTTTGGACATTGCCTCGCCTCTTCTATACACCTTTTGAAGTTCCGTAAGACATACATCTTAGTCTTCGAAGACCGAGGCCTAGGTGCTGCATGATCAACGAGCATCGTTTTCCTCCGCAACGACTACAAGTCTATCCCGCATCATGACATGGCCAAGCTTGCAACCTCCTCTAGGCCATCTGTATCTTCTCTCTCGAGTACCCTCTATCTGCCTGCTCTTACGTCTGTGGTTTTCGTGGGCGATAAGGGATGGCCGTCCTGAAGCTCTATGACAACGGGATGTATCCGGTTTATAGAAGTATGATCTTATTACCCCCCCCCCCCCAAAAAAAAAAAAACTTCTTCAGGCTCTTTTCAAGTCGTTTCCGTTTCTACGTACAGGAATGTTAGTTTAAATCTCATCTCTAGCTCTCCCTACCGCCTGCAAGTACTATCAGAGGGGGGTACTTACAAAGCCACAAGTTGCAGATTAATCCCATCTTAGCCCCCCCCTCCCCCCCTTTTTTTTGCAAGGGCTTCTAAGAAGTCCTTCCAACGTAGCCACTAGGCACCGGTAACCACTCCTCGGTAACTCTCCGACGCGGCCTAGCCAGCCGTCATCTGTTTTGTAGTAAGGATAGATGACTTCTACAACTACCTCCATATTTTCCCCATGGCTTTCGGAAGTCTCTTCATCCTATGCAGCGATGTTAGATACAAACGAAACATTTCTCTCTACAAAAATGTCATAGAGTGAAAGGAGATACGTACAAAAGATTCTGGACAAACTGCGTATCATGCTCTGGCTTGGGCGTTTTTCGTAGCTTTTAAAATTATGAAGTCTCCGACACGCAGATATAACCCTTCAATGGCTCAAAACTAACTCTTCACTACTCGTACAACTCCCGTATTGCCACCCAACATCTACCAGTAAGTGGCGGTATGTGTCATCTCCATAGGGAATAACCCATATGCATCAGACACTTGACGAAGCCCTTGCTCACTCCTACCACCTTACACGTCAGTTTAACTGCCAACCACCGAAAAACATAAAGGACAGGAACGTACAGCAGCCTAAGTGTACCGGGACACAATACCTTCACCATATCTGAATACTCGACATATAAAAATAGTCAAGCAGCTCATCCATCACCTCGTACTGCGACCAGGTAAGACAGTTGAGCCCCCAGATCCCACAAAGTGGTTATCATCACCATGCACAGTGATAACAACCACTATAAACCAAACCCCACGAGCCAAACCCCACGAGCCAAACCCCACGAGCCAAACCCCACATAAACCAAACCCCACATAAACCAAACCCCACATAAGCCAAACCCCGCAAACCAAACCCCACAAGCCAAATCCCAACGAGCCAAACCCCAATGCAAAATCCCACCGAGCTAACTATTTCCCAAAAGCCAAATTACAACTCCCCCAGATGCTGCAACCCAAACTCCCCGAAAAACAGTCAACTCTATTGGAGTGACAAAACAAATACCAATCCCACCAACGGTTCCGACGAAGACAGAGACCAGACACCCACTATGTCAACCAAGAAGCCAACCAACCAACCAACCAGTCAGCACAGAATCGTCATGCCGCAATCGCAGAGTGATAGCTTGCCCAACAATCCCACAGCACAGAATCGTCATACCCATAAAAGGCAAGTGATAGCGTGCATACCGGGACAGTCCAGAACTCGTAAGCCATAGAGAACGAACTGCCCACGGTATTGTATTTGAGCCAAAAGGACTCTCTAGTCTAGGCCCAGAACTCCCCAAAGTTTAGGCCCAAACTAAAGAGTCAATCCCCCTCCACACAGTAAAATCTCACGCAATTAATGTACACTCCCTCCCCAACTCAAACCCCACGCCGGCAAACTCCTCCTGCCGCTCCTTCTTACTACTCGTCGTGACGATGACCACGCCCATCTCCACGCCCCACCTAATCAGCACCTGCGACTCCGTGCGGCCCTTCTCCCCGCGATGCGCTTCAGCACCGCATCCAAGGGGCCACCGGGGAACTTGGTAAGTGGGCCAAGGGGTGAGTAGGCGGCGAGCTGGATGTTGTGCGATTGGCAGAAGCGCAGGAGGGGGAGGTCGAGGCAGTAGGGGTTGAACTCGACTTGGTTGTAGGTGGGTGGATGGTGGCGTGCGTGAGGAGGGACGTGAGCTGCGGGACGGTGAAGTTGGAGACGCCGATGGAGCGGGGTCTTGCCGGATTTTTGGAGGGACTCGAAGCGGGACCAGATTTGTGGGATGGTGAGCGGGTGGGTGGGGGGGAGGAAGGGCGCGTGGATGAGGTACCTGGAGGGTGGGTGGGTTAGTGGGTGTGTGTGGAGGTGTCGGGGAAGGGGGAGGGGAGTTGGGGGGGCGGGGGGGGCGGGAGTGAATTGTGGGGTGAAAGAGTGGGGGCGGGGAGTTCGGGAGTGCGGGAGTGGGTGAGGGCGGGAGTGAGTGAGTAGGTGGGTATGTATGACTTACAGGTCGACGTAGTCGGTCTGGAGCTTGCGGAGGGTCTCGTTGAGGCCCTTTTCGGGGTCGTCGAGGGTTTTGAAAGACTGGTCCCGGCGCACATGGTTAGCTTTTCTACTCTCTCTATATCCATAGTTATCTCCCAATTCCAATTCCAATTAATAAGCTATATCTACTATACCTTCGCAACAATAAACAGCTCCTCCCTCGGGACCCCGCTCTCCTTGATCGCAACGCCCACCTCGGGCTCGGTGCCATATATCTCCGCGCAGTCGAGATGGCGGTACCCGAGTGCGAGCGCGGACTTGATGGAGTCGATCAGCACGCGGTTGAGCGGCTCGGACTCGGACTTGTACCAGGCAGTGCCGGTGCCGAAGCCGATGGCGGGGATGGGCGCGCCGGTGGGGAGGTGAAAGGTGGGGATTTGGGTGGCCATTGTGGTTATTGCTATGGGGTTGTGGTTGTGGTTGTGGTTGTGGTAGTGGTGGTGGGTGAGAGTATTAAGAGGTGAGTGATATAGCGTGAAGGGGAGGGTGGTGATGTGGGGTTGATAAAGGATCCGGGGTAGATGGAGCGATCTTCAATTGCATGTAATTACAAATTGGCCATGATGTAAGGAGTGGGTTAACTAAGTCCTAACTACGGGCCGAGAAGCTAGCAAGCGGGGTGTCCGGTTCTCGCGTGCTTAATTGCTTTGTGAAGCTTATTTGATCTTCTTCATGAGCTATCATCCGATCTAACTAGACAACCGGCTACTCACGGCTCTGGGAGTTGCTTAGCAACAGCTTTGTTATCAGATTCCGTGATTGCGGAGGTCGGGCATCGGGCCGGATATGCATAACCAAGTATATACTTTATGTGCTTTTCAGATTACTTATGAATCAGTGGGCGTCTTTGTGGTGTTTCATTGTTTGCGCCATGAATTGTTGTAGTTGCATGTGTTTAGCTACTTCTAGGTGAGGTGAGAAGAGCAACTAGAGAGTCTGGCTTGGTTGACTGAGTACTGCGTAACAACAACCAGGCCAACCACGGCCTTGCTAGCCGAGTGAGAGCCGAAGATGCAGCTGTGCCGACATGTACAAAATACGCCACTAGAGTACTGAGTACATAGGTACATGTATTCTAGAGTACTCAGAGAGTGCTGGGAATGCGATGTGAGGAATGTAGATTTGCATCGCATCAATTGCGATCCATCAGTTTGATTCCTTGGTTCGCCAGGCATGCCGAAGTAGAAAATGCCTACATGATTACTGTGCTTGCTCAGTTTACCTCTCTACTCTACTCGCTCAACGCTGTGGCGCATACCGCTTACGTAGATGACAAATCGTGTTTAAAAAAAAGAATTAATGAGACAACTTGTAGCATGGCATATTATGTATATGTAGTTACATCACGATCGTTATCATCAGAATTCCATCGGTTCATCGCTAGTCCCAGTTATTCTTATTCACGTTGCATCAGTTACCTGAATATAAACAATATATAGCTAAGAGCGCTTAAGACGTGCATACTTCATCGTGGTGAGGTCTGATTAATGTATGTAGTGTTAAAGACGATGCATTGTACGTGTTTTCCCCCAGTCCCAGTCTGGATCACAATCGATGATCTCCTACCTACATACATACATAAATTACAGCGTCCAGCCTTGACTCACCTGAATGTTTGGTTTACAGTTGTTTTGTTATACATACCTAGAAACATGTAGCTCTTCATTCTTCTTGATACTACATACAGCCGCAGAAATTAATGCAAACAACAGTGTTTTCCAACTGCATAGTAATTCGCCTGAGTGTGATGAGTTATTAATTCTAGACTCGAGTCTATTCTTGAAGTACGTATTATGGATATTCTCGTTAATTAAAAGATATTCGTTGCAATATGATGTGCGGCCTTGACATCACAGCATATATGCAATTGCGCGCCCTAATTAATAATGTGATACTGTTGGGCACGTGACTGGGCAATTGGCGGCCAACCCACCAGTACCCTCAAGTTCCATAATATAATTAATATAAAGTATATATTATAGTTATTTATTCGTCACGAAACAGATCTCCTCGCGTGGTCGTCTTTGAATCCACAGATGATGATATCCTGTCGATGTGGTGAATATCACTATCGATCAACTACTAAAGCACTTTCTCGATTGATTGGTCCAATCGCCGTGCTAGTAGCAAAGCACGGACCAGCACTAAGAAAATCTCTTATGTCGCAGCCCTGCTTTACTTTTGAGCCTCCTACTGTTTCAACAACCACCAACGACCGCACTTCATCCAACCATTGGCGCTGCTTCCCACAATTAAATCCTCAAACGAACAACACACCTCACCCCTAGAAATCTCAACCCCACAGCACAAACAGCAATGGTCCGCAAACTCAAGCACCACGAACAAAAGTATTTCACCACCTCACCTCGCTGCTGTTGCCCCCCCCCCCCCCCAGTCCCCCCCCCTTCCGCTCCACCCCTTGCCTTCGCTATACATCATCATTATCATTATCGCTAACAATAAGCTCTCCTCACTCCAAGGCTCCTCCGAAAGGTAGATTTCCTCGAATGGCAATCAGACAAGGGCCACCGCGACCATGATGTTATGCGTCGCTACCACATACAGGATCCTGCCACCTACGCGAAGTACAACAAGATCTGTGGGTCCATCCGCCATCTCGCGCACCGGCTTGCGCTGCTGGAGCCCTCCGACCCGGTGCGCCGCAAGCACGAGGACTTGCTCCTGGCCAAGCTCCATTCCATGGGCATCCTCGCGCAAAAGACAAAGATGTCCGATGTGGAAAACAAGGTCACTGTGTCGGCATTCTGCCGGAGGAGGCTGCCGGTCGTCTTGACGAGGCTGAAGATGTGTGAGACTATATCGGCGGTATGTGGTTTTTTTATTTTTTTTATTTTTTTTTTCATTTTTCATTTTTTTCATTCCTTCCCCCCCGTTATTCTAGATGACCCATGTCTGCCGTGGCTTGATCACTACTACACTGCGGTAGCTTGAAACCGAAACACTCAGGCTTAGCTTGGCTTAGCTGGCTTAGCTGCAGTGTGGCGTTGTGGCCCGTCACCGGTGGAGAGACGTTGTGAGGCCCGTTAACTAACGCCAGGTGGATAATGTAGGCTGTCAAGTTCATTGAACAGGGCCATGTCCGAGTCGGGCCAGAGGTCGTTACGGATCCCGCGTACCTCGTCACAAGGTAAGAGAGAGGAATTCACTCCAGGGATGTTGTTGTTGGAGGGGCCGCGCAAGTTCAGCTTATTAACCGCCCTCCAATCATGATAGAAACATGGAAGACTTCATCACGTGGGTCGACTCGTCCAAGATTAAGCGAAACATCATGAAATACCGCGACGAGGTCGACGATTTCGACCTCCTATGAGCGGCTACATTTGTTTCTTTTTTTATTTGTAATTTTTGCGGCAATTATTTTTTTAAGTTAGGGCGTGCAGCGGAAATGATTGGAAGTGAGGGGGAAAAAAAATTAGGGCTATCTGTATCATATCCTTGGAGTTCGGCTTGGAAAGAAAAAAAAAAGGGGAGAGAAGAAGAGGAATTCGAAGAGAATTAATGAAAGTATAACGTAACGTCTCTTGAACCTCGTCCTCTCATCTCATTCTGAAAGGTTCAAGAGCAAGTTAATTGAGTTTACATTAGATCAGCTATTAGGCGGTGTTTATAGGAATCAGACCACGTGCAGTTTTTATTCCTCTTTCCAGCCAGCTGTCTCCTGATCCTGATCGTCTTTTTAATCAAACCTCCGTGTCTATCGTCGTCCTCTCAGTCAATCAATCAAGAGGGATTTTAGTCAAATCAATGACATTCATGTGCCATTGAACCCCCCCCCCCCCCTCATCACATGGCTCTGTTTCAATTCGATTGTCCGCGGGCCCATACAGAACCACGTTGATATGCAAGACGCACCGAGATCTGCTCGTTCTCGGGCCTCCAGTTGGTCAATGGCTCTCTGGGTATCACTCGATGATCCTTCTATACAGATGATCTGCTCTCTCACTATGACCCTTATAATCGCCTCACCATTTTGAGGAATATACACCGAATTCCAATCAACCAGTTCTAGGCACTCTGTGCATATAGGGCGCCTCGGTCAGTCAATCAGTGGAGTGCATGCAGCAGTGAACATATTACTCTACAAACAGACTGTTTAGGAATATCAAACATGTCCCTTCGATCCAACCATCACGAAAAGACTTTAATTCATTTGCAAAGGCTGATTGGGAATATTTCTCGTATTTGAGAAGAGAGAGCCCTCCGGGATACTACTGCAAATTAAAAAAGGAAAAAAAAGGGCAAAATTTCCCGTTCTACAGGGCCTCAATTGTTCTTTTTCCAGCCACTAAATACAGCACGATCGAATAATTATGAGTGTGATCAGTATAAATAATATAATAATAATACAAGTCGGTACTTATAGATACGTTTCCCTTATGGGGCGCCGCCCAATAACGACTCGTCCGAATGTTTGCTTTCTTCAAGTGGGTCACTGCAGGGTCGGATATCTATCCGAAGGGTAATATCTATCTATCCGTGGCTCGAAGGCATCAGCCCAAGATTGCATCCCGAGATCGACCGCTGCCCTACGATCCTGTCACTTTTCGAGTCGAATAATTAGGAATCGGTCCTTTGAGCCCTTATTCCCACCACTATTATCAGATCTTCTACAATGTCCACATACATATGCTCCTTAATCCCTTCTAACTACTCACATTCATCCCTCCCGCTCCCGTCTCTCTCCTTCGTATCTAGCATTCGAGTCATTTCCACCAACACTTATCGCCCCGTTCAATTCGACCAGTCTGATATATGGGCCACTGCCCCTGCAAACACCATGTCTTTGGAAGGAGGGCCGAGGTCTGGATTGCCGCCACCAGTAAAGACCTTATCATTGGGTTATTCAGGCCTCGGTAAACCACTAAACCTGGGAATAAGCTTCCCGCTGGCTCAGCTTCAGCTCCTGCCGAAAGTCATAAATCCTGGTTGAAGCTCTCAAGCAAGAAGGCCAGGCACATTAGGGGCCCTGCCAGGGTCAGCAAACCGTCAGACAGGGCTTGCGAATCCCATCCTCTCATCCCCCTTGATCGACTGCTTACAGTTCAGCGCATCTGTGCAGCAGGCAGGCAGGCCTTGCTTGACGCCTTCCCCAGCATCTCCGCCAATATGTGTTCCCCAGTCCCCATCCATCCCAGGGGCTCTTCTGGATCACCCTCGCCTCCTAATTTCTCCATACGTCTCTGGCATGTGCCCTGCCCTGCCCTAAAAGAACAAGCATATCGTTCAATCACTCGTCGTCCTTTAGGGGAAAATAAACCCCTCCCGGGACTAAACACAGGGCGCCACACGGCGGCTCTAGAACACCCCATTACCTGCCACTAAGTAGCAATCATTGCTCCCGGTGCCAGATGACCTCTAGCTGCGCAGTTGCGACAGGCTAGCGATGTCCCAACCGCTCGCTACCAACCGCTACTTTAACTCAGTGAGCACTTACCGAGTGGGCCATCACATCACGCTTCGAGTGGCCTGGGCTTCGATGCTCTTCATTTCTCTTTTAGTGTCTTTTTTCCTTTTTTTTTCTTCCTTGACCTTCTTCGGGAACGGGAGAGGCGCACGCTTCCCCCTGGGCAGGGCCGGGCTGGGGATAGATGACGGCATTGAGCTTGCGGGGGGTTGATTCGTTATATCATCTATAATTGTACCTGTACCACTGAAAGGTGGATTATCGCGTCATTGACCCCCCCCCCCCACCCCCTACCCCGGCCCTAAAATAATAATGGGCCAGGGACCTGGGAGAAATCATAGGTAAATGCAGTCTAAGATCGATCGAATATAGAGGCGTGATTTTTTTTTATTTTTATTTATTTATTTTGATTGACAGGTAAGGGTTATGGGTTCCCTGTCAATTCCCACGAATCTAGACGACCTTCTATCCCGTCCATAGTACCTTCCGTGCAGCTCCCTTATTTACTTTTTCTCCTTTCACGTCCTTTTTTTCCTTTTTCTCTTTATTTTTTCCTAGACTGGGATTTCCAAGATCTCTCTTCAATTGGCAGTCTGAGACTGTTTTGTTTCTAATGCCCTCTTTCTCTCTCTCCGGCGGCGTCGTGTGATCGAATAGCTGTCCTCCTTGAATTCTGCTCGGGAAAAAAGGATGCAGCAAGAAATACACTCATTGACCCGTTCTCACCCGTCGTGTCAGTGAAAATCATCCTCCACATGTAATGTACCATAGAGGGACAAACATAATATGTACATGTAGATGTAGTAGCACAAACAGAATTTTTTTGCCTTTCCTTTTCCTTTTCGTGGCCCCGCTTTACATATCTTTTTCAACTACCAAGCAATTGATTGATTTGATCGACAACTAGCAGCAGCTGCTGCTAGTTATCGTAGTACTGCGTGCGCAGGGAAGAAGAAAAAAAAAAAAAGAACAAAATAAATCTTTTCAGAAAATGATTATCTATCGAAACGCTTGCAATAACCTATCCAAGCCTGAGGAGTGTTCAGAACGCAAGTACTCTACTGGGCCCCATGGTAAATACTGTGATCCCTATTCCTCATCGATCCCAGGCTAGTAATAGTTCTTGTAAATAATTGCGCCCCATCTCTTGCACCACCCCCTTAGTCTCAGTCTCACGTTACTCTACTCTCCCTCCCGGGAGAGCTAGCTCGAGTGCTAGTTTATTTACTAGGAGCCCTATTTGGGATTGTAATACTTACTCTAGGTATGCTGCCCTGATTCTCCACTGTGTTGAATGCAGGCGGGTCTTTGAGGGCTGAGCATATGTGAGCAGCAAGCAGCCTTTTCATGCAATATTCCTATTATTATTGCATACACGGCTGGGCTCGAGGGGGAAGGGATCTGCCCCTGCAAATGATGAAATGTGGTACAAAAGTAGTGAAATGATAGCAAACGGTAAAATAGTAGAACTAACTAATACTGCGGTACTGTATCGACTGTATGTACCAGCTTTTGAGGAGAGGGAAAAAAACGTTAGATGGCAGGGACTCACTTCATGTCTTTTGGAACGCTTGTAACACCTAAATCCGGTCTGATTCCCCAAGGTTTAACACATCGACGGGTAAAAGAAAGACTAGTCCTGCATAATTTCAAGCGATACCAGTGAAAGTCAGGAAATCGCAAGCAGTTGTTGCTTCTACTTGTAGAAAAAGAAGCTACTCTACTATTTTTCCATGGATCGTCACGCAAGCGGCGCTAAATAGCTAAATGGTATCTTCCTTGATTCCACGACATGCCCTCCTCAGATCTCCTCCAGATCACCAAGGTCATCAACAGCCGGGAAATCACCAATTTCAACACGGTCTGGTCTCACGAAAGAGCCGTGTTTTGGTGGGCACTTGAAGTAGTACTCTCCATTGACAGAGCCATCGTTTTTACCTGTTCAAGAAGCAAAACCCAACAAAAGTGTGGATTACCAGTTAGCCAAGATTAGGTGGCTACAAGTGCCGGCCTCATATGCAGGAGAAACACGACCACACGGGGGATTGATTCGGGGGCTAAATACCCGTTGGTTCATCGGCCTCCACACCCACCCAAACTCCGCCATTAGGGATCTCCTTAACCTCTCCGACATACCTAACGGTACCCCGGCGGTCCAAATCCGCGCCACCCACCCGGCATCGCGCACCGACGACGATCTTTTTTGCCTCAACTTCTTCGTACTGACGATTCAGCTCCTGCTGTTCCTTCTCATCCTTGTTGGGGTCGAATCGACCAAGCTTATTTCTTCGCTTCCATGCCAGAACGGAATCCTGGAGTTTGTCGTACTCGTCCACCGGCATTACGTATTTCTCGACTGCGGAAAGGTCCTGGAAGTTGGGACGAGCAGATAGCGGGCGTGTATCGGCAACCTATTCAAACATGGGCATGATTAATCAGAGACACTGTCAGAATTCAGATTGGGAGGGGGGGGATGTAGAATATTTTCTTTTTCCGCCAGGCGACACAAAACTCAGGATGACAGGCGAAAGGCTGGGCAAACTACGTAAGACTGCCGCGGGAGGGCGTATCAAAAAAATAAAGAGAAAATGGGGTAAATAAAAAAGTACAAGCATAAAATGTTTTTTTTAAGAGTAAAGCAGTATATCGAGTAGAAGATTGTGTACTATTGGAGGGAAAAGAAAAAAGAAAAGAAAAACGCCGATAATGGGAAAGAATTGACGGAAGCAAGCAGAAGGACCCAGGCATAGAAAAATAGATATCAAAAATAGAGGTCGACAGCTGTCGAGAGGAGGGGGGGGGGGGGGATGTCATACGTGTAATTCAACGTAAGGCTGAAGAGGAAAGCTGGCAATTTGCGTAGTCTCCTCATCGTGGCTCGAGATGGGAATAGGCTGAGGTGCATGCGGTAGACGCAGTGTGAGTTGCTGCGAAGATGGTGGGATTCCCGTAACTGTCTCCAGCTTTGCTTTCAGGATTGCGATGGTCCATGAAGGTGTGATACGGCGTTCAGCAGCAGCATTATCAGATACGACTCTCACTGGAACATCTGCGGCTGTTACAAAGCTCATTGCTGCTGTTTCGATGATGGCAAAGCTGATGTCTGCTGTCCTTAGGTTTTGTGGGTGTGTACTGAACTGTATTCTGGCTGGTGGTCCTGATGCGTTGCCGATGCCAGTGTTGATGAACCCCGTTTGCTTTGCTCGCTAGTCCGGTTGCTGTTTATGCGTTGTGGTTATTCGTGAGTATGTCCTCCGCTATAGTTCGTGGTGTTGAACCGCAATATAACAGGCACAGAGGAGTGCTTTGCTTGAGTGGGGTAAAACGATCTGTTACTGGATGGATACTTGAGGACAACGTTACTAATGATGCATCCTCACGTTGATTGATAGACTCCAAGCCTTTTCTTTGCCCCTTACTACAATTAAACATTTATGTATTTCAATAATATAAATAATGTATACATCTAATGTATCTCTAAACGTGTTTCTGCATAGTGTAATGTGTATCCTACATGTATTCTTTATGGAGAGTCACACAATAATTTACCAGAAACTTTCAACGTGAATGAGATTAAGCACTAGTTTGATTCCACCTACTATACTACCTACACATTTAGTTATTTTCCCACGCACAAATTCATTAAGTGACACAACTCATATTCATGCAAGAAGCCCCTTCGCTGAGGAGGTGGAGGATGCTATACTAGTAGAGTAACTACGACGGGGAGCCAAGTCGGATATCTATTGACAGATTCCGATATATGGCTGCTGTGACACTATATGTACCTGCTGTTTCGCTTGTATGTATCAGATCCTGGTGTATCGGTGGGACATCTGTATACCCCGGTTCAAGCCTACCGAATGGTAGGTTTCGAGCCGCGGAGCATACTCTTCTTGCAGGAGTATGATCTCAGATGAAATCACAGAAGAGCAGCAAAAAAAAGAGAGAAATAAACGTAAGTATAATAATGAGAAAAAGAAGAAGAAGAAGGCGAGTACTCAAATCATCAGTGAATGCACATGGGACGGCCGGGAAACATCGAAACGTGCTGCATGTATGCACTCCAGTACAGTACCAATTAGATTAATATGTAGTATACACCCCTACGACAATGTATACCACACCTAGGAAAAGAAAAAAGGAATGCTTTCGTCCGATAATGAGCACAAACATAACCCGACGTCACATGTGCCCAAGAAGCCTTTTTCGTTTGCAGCAATATGACAAGGAAATAGAGTAAACCCTTGGTAAATATATATGGTGCTACTTCTCCAAGGTAACGGCCCGATATGCTGGGTGGTCTCCCACCATTTTGGATCCCATATATATCTGAAAAGCTTCCAGAAGCCTCCAGTTAAGGAGTCCAGAATCCCTTTACCTGGTTCTTCCCTGCAGGGCCTAGGCTGAGAAATTAAACACATCACGCATGTTAATACATGAATACATGTACATGTAGGCATGTAGGTACTTGGTAAGAACCACAACTCATTGATCAGCTTTTCTCATCAAACAGAACATGAAAAAAAGTAAAATACCAGGTACGAAGTATTGGTCTAAATACAGCCGTGTATGTAGTTCTAACAGTTCAGAACGTACCAGATCAAGGATGTGTTCGATTGATCACAGCTGTGCTGTGCCATTTACTAATGGGTATTCTCTGGTGACTGTCACACCTTACCTGCGTATGTAGCACCAGTTTGGCCATTAGCAAGTACGTGCACGGGCCAAACGAGCCCCCTAGAGGGAAGCACAATTGCGTACGAGTCTAGCCACTTCAAGCGTACGCATTGTCCTTCGGTTCATCGCATCTTTTTGGAAAGCCCTACAGTCTTTCTAGAGTTACACCTCAATGGTTCACTTATGTAGAAATGAAACGCCCCCCCCCCCCCCCCCCCCCCGGCGCCCCCACTAGCCTTTTCCCAGGATCAGAAGTATAGGCTGTATGATTTTACTATGTACAGTACAGTGATAGTAATTAGTCTGATCTTCAAGACACACTAGAAGTTTAAGGGAAGCTCTTCTGGGCTTGATTTGCAACAATACAGCATCCATGTATACAGGTCCCTACAGTAGCGATTTTTATACCTACTCATGGGAAACCCCTTGTAATATACGTCAGTCAAGCTCTCAATCAACGCCCCTGAGACCTATACGCAATTCGTCTATCATGTACATGTATTGGTGCTAGACAAATTTCTAACCTGAGTGCAGTTTAATAAATTTTAAGTGGCCATGGCCAAAAGCTCCCTAAAGAGAATTAACGCGACAACGCCCCCCCTGGCCTTAACTCGTCAACACACGATAATTAGTCCTGACAAAAGGGCTCATATTGAAGAGTAGAGGAGACATTATCTGCCAAAAGGATGTGATTCATTGATCTCCCGCACGTATATCGAGCGTTCCAAGGTATCGTAGAAATGAATACCTTGTTCCCGTATCTATATCCAACCCTGTCACGGACTTGAATTGATTCCTGACACCAATAGAATAGAGGGAAAGGGTTTAAAATGTCCCACGCCACCCTCAGCTTAGCTAGACTTATCTCGCCCACATCCATTCCTTCATAAGTCACCGTGCAGGAAGCGCATCTGCTCTCATCACCTCCATCTTCCTACACCTCCTTCATTTGTGCTCATCTGAGTGAGAATAACACCCTAATCCCCACACCTATTTTCTCGACGTCATAAACCGACAAACATTTCCCATTCAACCCGGGTAACACCGTCCCGCTGGCTTCCATCTCATACCTCCTCGCTCCAATGCCGCCCAAGCAGAAAGAGCCTCCAAAACAAAAGGAGCCTATTCACCTTCCTCCAACTTTATCGCAACCACCTCCATCTCCCTCAGCAAAGCGACCTTTACCCGAAAATTCAACAGCCTCGCCTGCCAAACGCCAAAGCAAGTGGAGTCCCGATGAAGATGCAATTATCATCAATCTTCGAGGGCGTGGCCTGAAGTGGGAAGACATTTCAAAAAATTTGCCTGGAAGGTCTGCAATTTCGTGTCGTCTTCATTATCAAAACTACTTGGAACGCCGATCTGAGTGGGACGAGGAGAGAAAAGACCGGCTGGCTCGTCTGTATGAAAGGTAAATTTCACCCATTTCAAACCCAGGGATCGGCCAAGGTTCATCGGGGATTTAATCTCGGAATGCCTTTCCGTGGTGCAACGTGAGCGACTTTAAAACAACCCGCTGACAATGTGTTTCGTGGGAAACAGATTTAAACAAGAGATGTGGAGCCAGGTTGCGAAGGAAATGAATATCCCCTGGCGAGCAGCTGAAAATATGCACTGGCAGTTAGGTGAAAAGGAAATGGCCAGGCGTGCTGGTGTTGTACCATTCTCCCAAAGCTCAGTTGCACTCGATGTCCCTCCGAAAAAAACGAGTCCGCGCCGAAGCCCAACCCCCGAGGGGCCGGATGAAAGACCATCTTCGGGACCTTCTGCGCCTCCAGTGGAAGCCGGTCCCATTTTAGGAAAAGAAGATACTACCAAGTAGATCGATAACCAAACTCTCCGGACTAGATACTAGTCCATGAGTATCGGTAAGTTTTTTCTATAGACAAATTTGTGTGGTATGATAGATCGTTTGTACTCTATGATTTTCTTTCTCTTTTTCTTTTCCTTTTTTCTTTATATCATTTATATACGGGCTTTGCCCAACTAGGGAAATGGCGGCAACGGATTGTAAGGGCGAAATGTGTTCGGTTCTGTTTGTATTTGATTGTATTTTTTCTCCTGTACTTTGGTGTTTTCCTGAATGCCTGTTAAGTTTAGATGTTTGTGACTACTTTAGCTTCGTTTGCTAGGTCTCGAGTTTGCATTGCATATAGTAAACGGATATATTATATCATTAGAATAATGGAACAAGGATTATACACCTACAATAACAATATCCCGGGACGTCAAGTTCGGCTGTGGTGATCGGGAGTAATTCCGGCCCAAATTTTAGACATGGTTGATAGGGCTACAGCAATAAACAAGTTTCAAACATGATCTGTAGAACGCATTGACGGCGAGTGAGACGGGCCGTTCTGTTGTGATTCCAAACTAGATGCCTGATACGCAAGCATCCCACTTGCTTATCACTCACTGGATGTATGCTGCAGGCCGTTGCTCTGCGAACACCCCCATTCTGTGATGACTGGTTCAAGACAATGTCTTTCCAAACCCCGTTCAGCCAAAGTGCAAAGGTGAGCAATATCTTTGATTCTCATCCACACACACACATATACATCCCGTTTACCTGTGCGGAGGGGCACAGATAGCCCACCAATTATCTCTCTCATAACCAGATTCCAGTACTATGCCTCCAGCAGCCACTATATCTTGAACCAACTCCCCTTCCCTGTAGAGGTGGTAATATCTTTGGTACGTGACTACTTTGTCACCCTTGCTCAGCTTACCGCTCCCACCTTTCACGCCCGAATAACCCTCGGACGTTTGCCATGGGACCATGACATCCTGTGGATCACCTTCTTTCCAGCCTCTCTTTGAATTCGGCTGCTCCAAGGCCCAGACATAGATAAGCGCTTTCCCGCCATTAGTCTCGCTATTGGAGGACGGTTTTAGCGTAGCAAGGATGCTTCGTATTGAAGCGATTCTTCGTGCTGTGGTCGAAAAATGGTGAATAACAGCGATGCTAATTGCAAAGTCAAATCGGGAGTCTGGGTGGGGCAGCTCTAAAGTATCTGCTATAAGGGAATCCTGGGTTTTTAGGTCGTGGGCTATTTGTACAAGGGCAGTTGACCTACACGTAACAATCAATTTATGCAAATTTGTACAATTGAAAAAAAAAAAAAAAAAAAAAAAGTGAACCCCCAAAGGAATTGAACCCGCGACTGACCTGTCTGACCCGATCATGAATACATTCTCATTAACTGTTAGATACTTTCCGTTGCCGCACCCTAAATCTAATCCTATCGAGCCAATGGGAAGGCCCTTTAGAAAACCTTCAACTATTGGCCATGGCTAAAGTGTATTCGGTCAGTAAAGCCTCATTAAGAGTCCGTATTGGTCGAGAATACGTAATTGATAGTAAAGAATATGTACCTTAAAACGTGTTGCAGAGAAATGGGAGGCGATGAGTTCATAGACACGATGCACGTGTTCAGCCTCGTAATTTTGGGGATTGTTGATATCCATCCGGTAGAGATGCGTCTTGTGGCGTGGTGGTTATTCGGTATCTCGAATCTTGGGGAATGGTTCCGAGGTTGCTTCGTGGGGGACACAGGTCGATCATTTGGTTACAACGCTTTGGTTGGGGGAGTCAAGTTTGGTGTGGTAACAGGCAGGCCCTGGTTGGCTCCCCACAGTCTTGGCATAGATTAGCGAAAAGTTACCCTGACCAGCCCTTCTCGCGAATCTTATGCGGGTCATTGGCTAACCTGCACTAGGCTCAAGCTCTTCTACTATCATTTTACAATCTACAGATTTACTACGACATTCTTCGTCACTCCCCACTATGTTTTCTATAAATAAGAGTAGTCATATTAACTTTCATGAGAATAGTTTACTTTAGATAATAAAGCTGGATTCGCGGTTAGTACGTACTCGTGCTCATGATCATCGAACGATAACCATACAGCTTGGTGAAACTGTGACTCAGTAAGCCCCCCCCCCCCCCTCCAGCTCAGGGTAAAGGCCGAGGATTAAGAATAATGTTATCTGTATATCGAGGAGTAGGCTTACCGTTTTTTCTGCCAATGGGGGTTGGATCATGTTTTTCCTTGCGGAGCCCGAATATAACAGGCATTCGATACATACAACCAGGGTAAGCAAACTTGATTTGTTGAGTAACAGGCCCCTTTAAATTCCCTATGGCTAACTAGAATCCAGGGCACGCTTTGTAAACATAATTCCGCAAAGTCTGATAAGGCGGGATGAACGACCTGTTGTCGGTATATCCCAATTCCCAAGATACTCTTACTGATATCTCAAAAGATCATATTCTACAAGACTCTAATCATAATCCTTTACGGTAGTCCATGCCCGAATTTAATCCGATGACTCAATCACCTGACTACTCTCATGTCATTTCAGTTATTTAATTGGAACGGGAATTTCTCATCAGTATTAAGTTTAGTCACATGGACACGACTAAAATAGGATACAACTACAATAATTGGCTCGGTTTTAATCGATTCTCTTGCGCTTCGGATCCGTAGCGATCATCGAGAAATTTCTATGCCGTCAAAGAAGCTAAAGAACTATACCCCTGGTAGTTCCAACCTATTAGAATTAGCATACGGAAGATCAAAGGGGCACATCTCGGATGACACGGCTTTAAAATCTTTGGTCGCCTAGATGAATCCAGCGTCTAGCTATCAGCAAATACTGAAACTGGGGGATTGTTGGGGATTCGTTACATGCCTCAAGGGAAAAATAATTTCTATTGAAGTAGATTTTGCAGCGGTCACAGGTGCTCAGGGATGAACTTACAGATCTCCGGCAAGAACATGGCTGAGTGTGTAATATAACGAACACCATCCATGCCGAAGAAATCTCTGGCACCTGCCGAAGTGCAGCAGTTTTGGGGGGGGGGGGGGGCTCGTACCATGAAAATCACCCTTGATAGATACACCAAAAAAGCAAACCCCCTGGTATGACGTTTGTTCAGGCACTAATGTATCATATAACAAGCATATTGCTAGAAATAAGGCTGTCAAACCAACTGCCAAGTGATCACCAGTGTTAGGGTTGCCGATATGTAAGTACATGCAAGTCAGCCAAGTGCAGGGCCCGCTTTCTTTTCTAAGATGCTAATCATAAGCTAGATTCCACCAGGAGCTAAAACCAAGGCTAGCACTCGGCTAAATTCGAAGAGTGAGTCACAGTGCGTCACTCGGAATCACATTTCATGGAATAGATTATTCAAGTACATGCCGAAAATCGACGACTCGTGGCCAAACAACCATGACATGAATAGTTTTCGTAGAAATTTAGAGTAATTCACTTTTCACGACCCCGCTTCAGATTTGCCGATGCTAGCTGTATGTACCTACCTTGTGGCGCCGAAAACTCTGATCCGCTTGCATATAACCCTACATGGTTAGGGTAGCCGTAACACTACATTTTTATCCGTTCCGAAAGAAATAATCAAACTGACCAAAAAAAAAAAATCTAAGACTCAATACGTGGAAACACAGAAAAAGCAACAGAGTAGGAAAATATCGAAAAACGAAAATAGAGGGTTGAACGTTGCAATAGTCGGTCTTGGCTTGTGTGAGATTGATTGCTTCTCAAAACATATTTCGGTAAAAATCTATTTTTTGGCCATGGTTCAGGGATCTAAAAAACAAATAAAAGGATGAGAACTCGTTTATTTCACTATTATCCTTATTGGGTATTCCAAATTCCTTAATTATCAATATCGATATTATTGAACGAATATCATTCTTACTAATCCTTATTAGCGTACTATTGGGTTGGTGTGCAGTAGTATAGAGGCGTGCGCGTGCGATATATAATATATTAGTACGAGTACCTAGATTGCAAATACTCAGACGGCATCCAAACTGGCTATAATATGCGCGTATAGTAAAAGCCGACGTCCCACCCTCCTCTACTCGTTCGGGTTCGGGTTAACCACGATTCGCGCCGCGCCGATGTAACTCCACACTGCAACCCGCAATCAATCGCGAAATGCGAAGATTACAACCTCTCACTCGTAAAGAAATTTGGCATAATTTGGTATTAACGACAATTACCAAAAGAGATTGGGGAATGCGATGGGGCATAACTCTGCATACATAATTCTAATATGTCTACGGGGAGGCATAAGGCAAGGTTTTGATTTAATTGAGATATGGTACGATCAGATTAGGCCATGTGGAGCCCATCGGCACGTTGTGCGCACGCGATTTTTGAATCGCACATGTACAGGGTATATATCGTTCCTGACGGAATATATTGGTGCTTGTTTACTCTATTGTACCCGAGATCTCGGGTTATAGGATAACATAAGTTAGTTTCAGGGAACCGAGCGACGAGCATGTGGGGATGGCGAAATTGACTTTCCTTTCAACTACTCTATTTTGATGAACCTAATGTCCTGTCAAGTCTAGATCTAGCTAGGGCCCTAGGCCCCAGTCCAATCGCGGAAGATTGTAGCAACCACCTGCCTATTTGGTATGATCTCCGTATCAAACGTTGAATCTATATCTCTCCAATGCCAGTGATTTGACGCGGAGTTTATTACATATATCTAGATCAGTTTATACACATATGATATAAATTCGGCGCGAATTCCGTCTGTTGTTAGTACGTATACTGCAATTAGCTAACTATAGTAAAACTGAATCAAACCACTTTATATTCGATAGCTATAGTACTACGGAATTTAGTAGAAAAACCTGTTAACCAGGATTTGAGGGGATTAGACACTGCATACGGTTTTCTAGGATCCTGTCCATATAACGCGAGGTATTGTTGCCCTTTTGGTTAAATTTTATCGTAGGTTCATCTTTCATTTCCGCGCGTATATTAATTTTATATCGA